TTTTGTGTGTCGTACAAACTGGCGTAATTTAATTTACGCCGTTTTGTTTTATATGTGCATCTTTTAGCGTGTGTCTCACAAAAAGGCGTATTTCAAGTTACGCCTGTATGTAAGGTAGCGTCAGTGTTACCAGATTCTGTCAAAAAAAGACCGTACGTTTCGTTCGAATTTACCTTAATTACAAAAATGACTCAATGGACAATATTAAATAACGTCAACTTGACATAATTGCATTTATTTGCATTGTTTCATTGTGTCATTTTGTAGGTAAATTCGAACGAAACGTACGGTCCTTTCTTGACAGAATCTGGTAACACTGGGTAGCGTTGACATTAGAAGAAAATTGTCTAACCTAAAAATAGTGTATTACATACTTACTGTGTGCTAGTTTATACTATTTAATAGTGTTTTTACATCATGGATGTGCTTGTGGAGTGGAAAGATGGGACAAAAAATGTTGTAGTTTCTAATGAGTTATTTGCAATAAAATCCAGTCAAAAGTTGAAAGAAGGTGTAAAAGTGAAAATGTTGTTTCGGCGCAAGTGGTATTACGGAAAGATTTTGGCTATTGAGGACGAAAACGAATTAAGTGATGACTCTGATAATATTCCACTAAACAAATTGGTTGATGAAAAACAAAATAAATCGGGTCCTGTTGCGAATGAACTGTTAACAGATAGTTATACTGACAAACTATGTTCTAAAGATAGTTATGTCGAAAGTGGCGATAATAATATTATTTTCAACTCTAATAATGCTTTGCTACCTTTTGAGGAGGTAAGTTTATTGAATTTATAATTTACAATAAATTTAATACAATTTCTATATAGGTACAGCCTGCAGTCAATTTGCCTGTACCCACTGAGCACGTAAAAGAAGTAATTATTTATGAAAAATCACCAGAGAACAATGATATTCCAAATGGAGTGGATTTAAAATATGATGGGGTATTTTTACATATAAAATTATTATTTTTTTACAATCAATAATTTGTTTACAGACCACGGATTCAACTGTATATCCCATTATTACAGCACACAACACACTGTCAATATCACGAACCGCGTACTTATCTGATGATGACTCGGATAATGATGCTTCATTTAAGGAAGTTTGTCAGATTTATAAATGCAAAAAAATGGGTTTCAATTTTTGCGGTTGTGGATTTTGGATATGTAAAAATCATTTTTTTGATAAAAAACTTTGTAATATACATAAAAAACATGATTCTGACTCTGATACCGCTGATGTGTTATCAAAAAATAGAAACAAATACAAAAAGGTTAAAACCAAAACTATGACTGATCAATCATTCAAATTACCCAATAATTGTTGTGAACACCGTCATTGTGGACAAGAAGTATTTGCTGCATGTGTTTCCTGCTTGGCGCTCCTTTGTTGGAATCATTTTGAACTTAACGATTCTTGTACTTTCCATACAAGTATGGATACCAATGAACAGTCTGTATCTAATAAGCGAAAAAAACCAGAAGATTATCAACTCGATGGAGCCGAAAAAGAAGTGGTGAGAAAAAAGAAAGAAATAACTAATCAAAAGAACATTAAGAAACATCTCCATTTATCAGGTCAAGGCTATGTTAAACTTAATTCAATGAATCTTGTTCCTCCCAAACATGTTAAACCTCCATGCAAGGGAAAATTTTGTGATGCAAGACTTGGTGGTCGAATGTGTATGAAATTTTCAGAGGATCAGCGAAGGGAAATATTGCAAGATTTTTATAGTCTAGCTAATCTTCAACAACAGCGAGAATATCTGGCGCGGCATATACAAGTTAAGCAAACTAAACAGAAAACTACTCAAGATGTATCTCGTAGAAATAAAAGTAATTTATACTATTTACCTCTCTCAGGAGAAAAAGTTCGTGTATGTAAAATTTTTCTTTTGAACACGCTAAATATATCTGAGAAGACAATGCGTACATCTTTGGGGAAGATAAAAGAAACAGGTATTATGGACAAAGAGAGGCGTGGTGGAAGAAGACCTACATTACAAAAAAATGATCAAAGAATTAGAGAAGCAATGGAAAAGCACATAAGAAGGTTTCCCAGAGTAGAGTCCCACTACTGCAGAGCAAATACTACAAGAGAGTACTTACACTCCGATTTGAGTATCCCAAAAATGTACGCATTATATTTAGAAGACAGCGACTTGCAAACACCTGGAAGTATAATAACATACAGAAGAGTTTTTAAATCTCAAAACCTCTCTTTTCATTCGCCCAAAAAAGATCAGTGCAGTCTTTGTGCCACTTACAGAGAATCGTCAGAAGAAGACAAGGGAAAAATCCAGAGTGTTTTTAACAAGCATACAGAAGAAAAGGAGAAAATACGTGAACTAAAAAACTTAAGTAAAATTCGAGCAATGTCTGACTCAACCAAATTATGTGCTGTTTTCGATCTCCAACAAGTGATACATTTACCATTATCTAAAGAGAGCGAAATCTTTTATAAACAACGACTTGCTGTATACAACTTTACAGTTTATAACATTGCATCGAAAGACTGTAGTTGTTATACCTGGCACGAGGCAATAAGCAAAAGAGGATCATCTGAAATAGCTACCTGTGTGCTATTATTTTTAAAAAAATATGATGAACTTGGTATTACATCGGTGGACTTTTTTTCAGATGGATGTTTCGGCCAAAACAAGAACTCTATTTTGCCGACAATGTTTTTGTATTTTCTTAGCAAAAGTAAACATATAAAAGAAATAACACATAGATTTTTTGAAAAATGTCATGGTCAAAGTGAGGGAGATTCTGCACACAGTGCCATTACCACTGCAATTTCTAAATCAGGTGATATTTATTTGCCCAGTCAGTTTATACCAATATTTAAATTGGCAAGAAGAAAACAGCCCTATGAAGTTGTTCAATTGGAATCAACTGATTTTCTTGATTTCAAAACTTTGTCCAAAGATTTAAGAATATTAACGATTAAAGAAGATGATAATTCCAAAGAAAAATTTAATTGGACCATGATGTCAGAAGTAACTGTTAAAAAAGATTCTCTGGGTAAATTTTTTTCAAATGCAGTCATTTAGAAGAGGATTATCGTACCCTTGTCCTTAAACGACAACAAATAAATAATTTACATGCTGTAAGGTTAAACAAACAACCACCAAAAATTTCAGCAAAAAAATACAAGGCTCTAACATCATTATGCCAAGGACCTACGCCGGTGGTTCGTCTTCAGGAACATAAAGATTTTTATATTTCCCTGCCACATGAAATTTTATAATTTTTGTAAAACATACATAATTAATGTGTAGGTAGTTGAGAATAAACTTTTTTTTTGGTTGTATAAATTTTTATCTATTATCGCATTTGAATTCAAGCTAAAACTTACTTTTGGTACCTTAAACGTGTTCAGTAAAGTAGGCGTAACTTGAAAATAAATTATTATTCTTATTATCACAAATCTCACAAACAGGCGTATCTCATTTTTTATAATTTTTTTAGCCGACACGAACGCAAAAAACCAAAATAAACATTGGAGAAATAAAATTTAGTTATTTTCCAATACTTTTCTGTAATAACATATTAAAAATATGAATAAACAAATTGTTAATTGCGATTATTAAACAGGACAATATTTGTTTTTGCTCTCCTGTAAAATAAGAAAAAATGAGATACGCCTCTTTGTCAGATAAACGACGATATGTATATTATGGTGGCCCAAAAAAAGAATATTTTTTTCCCGTCTCTTGTAAAAATATCATGCTGTAAGAGCCCTGTCAAAATATCAGCTCGATTAACAATTTTTTAGGGGTCGCTCAAGATTTTTAAAAAAATTTCAAAATCGTCAAAAATTGAATTTTTGTTTTATTTTAATTTTTTTTTTGTTTCGACAATACAATTCATTATAATTAGAACCAATAAAATGCCAGTACCTATTCCATAGTTACGCATTTTATCACAGCGACAATATTTTTTATCACCTTGTTTACACGTTGCTAAGGATTTTGACACTTTTCTTGATTTGACATTTGTTGAAATTTAAATACTGTGTTTGTTAAATAATTAAAATAATGAATTATAAACTCTAAAAGATCGAAGGGTTGGTGTAAACGATAATAAAATTAAGGTAAGTTTGAATAAATAAGGTTTATTAAAGTCTTTTTATATTTTAAAGCAAATTTCAATTTCAAATGCCAAACTGACAATTCGTTAAATCCTAAAATTCATTATATTTTCTCACTAAATATAACTCGTGGCATGATTAATTATCGATGATATTTACTCATTGAAACCGAAGCAGCAGGTTTCAATTTGAAAATATCATCGATGATAATCATACCACTTGTTATATTTTGGGTGATAATATTTTTTAGGTTAAAAATAATAAAAATTATGTAAATTTCAAATCAATATTTTGATTTCTAAAGGTCGCTAAAAGTTCTTTGATATTTATATTCAGAGGTCGCTCGAAAACATTCAAAATACTCTACTTTGAAAGTTAAAAAAATCTTGAGCGACCTTTAGAAATCAAAATATTGATTTAAAATTTTCAGAATCATTATTATTTTTAAATGAAAAAATAATATCGGAACGAGAAAAAAAATAAAAATAAAAAGAAAATAAAATTTTGACGATTTTGGAAATTTTTAAAAATCTTGAGCGACCCCTAAAAATTTTTTAATGGAGGTGATCTTTTGACAGGGCTCTTAAAACATGACAAACCAACAAAAGAGACGAGGTTGGCAAAATTGTTGTAGACCACTGTTATTATTTATTTAACAAAGTCTTTTTTGTCATTAAAGGTAAGTTACCTGTGTAAACAAAAATTGTCTAAACAATGAATTGCCAAAATTATTTTAAACATAATAATCTAATGTTTATAACGTGTTTTTAGAATGCTTAGTATTATATTATAACAATATTATTGTTTACAAACTGATAAAATCACGTCTTGGCGTAATAATTATTTGCTTAATACTGGATTAATCGAAATTTTTATAAAACAATTTTTATTTTTAGTTTGCAGGTTTTATCTTTTGGTGGAAATAATTTGACCGAAGTTCCTGCAACTTTGGGACATTTAAAGCACCTCTACGCCTTGATACTATGCGACAATAAACTGGAAGGCCTACCAGCCAATATTGCCAACCTACACAACCTTAAATCGCTCATGTTGCACAAAAATCATTTAAGAACCCTTCCTCCTGAAATTGTTGCCCTAAAAAATCTAACAGAGGTAAGACTTATATATTTTTTTGCTAGGGATGTCACGGCGGTTCTGCTGGAATATAAGGTAAGAGGCATTAGAAATAGGATTATATTAGGAAGCGTCTATTTACCGTACGAGGGACCGTGCCCTACTCCGGAGCTAACTCGATTAATCAAGTTCGCGAGTGACAAGTGCATACCCCTCGTGCTAGGATGTGATTCCAACGCCCACCACTACGTGTGGGGCAGTACCAACACCAATAGTAGGGGAGAATCTCTGCTAGGGTATTTGGCATCAACAGACTTGGAGGTAATAAACAGAGGCAAAGAACCAACGTTTGTTATTTGCAACCGGAAGGAAGTAATAGACATAACGTTGGCATCAAGGTCAGTATATGAAGATGTTTCTAACTGGAGAGTGACCAACGATATAACGATGTCTGATCACAGGATGATCAGATTTGAGTTAAATGTCGACAAGGTCACTCCTAACCCAAGGAGGAATCCAAGGGCTACAGATTGGGAGAAATATCTCACCAATCTAAAAAGTCAAACTTGGGAACCTCCTGTGGACATTACCACCAAAGAACAGTTAGAGAAGGAAGTTAACCACCTAAATAGTACGATTGCCACAGCCTACGAGACTGCTTGTCCGGCCAAGGTGGCTAAGGGCCGAAAGGTCCCGTGGTGGAGTGACGTGCTTGACGACCTTCGAAAGAAGGCAAGGCGCGCATTCAACCGGGCTATCAAGGATGGGCTGCAATCCACGTGGGATACGTACAGGGAGGCCAGAAAGTCTTACAAAAAAGAGTTAAGGCGCAGCAAGGATATCAGCTGGAAGACATACTGTGGAACTGTAGAGTCACTTCAGGAGTCAACCAGGCTGATGAAGATCCTTAGCTGTGAGTCAAAAAGGAATGTAGGAATCCTAAGAAGGTTGGATGGATCGTGGACGAACACCAGTGAAGAGTCCCTAAGACATCTCCTGGAAACGCACTTCCCCGGCGAAACTCCTTCCCACACGTCAACAACGGAGGGGCCAGAGACCCTTACCTGGGACTTAGGCCTTGCCAAAGACGTCGTGAAGGAGGGATCGGTGGAATGGGCAGTAAATGCGTTCGATCCATACAAGGCAGCAGGACCGGATGGAATATTCCCAGCATTGCTACAGAGAGGCTTGGAGATTCTTCTCCCAAGAATAGAACGAATATTCCGAGCCAGTCTGGCACTGGGATATGTCCCAAGAGCCTGGAGGGCAGCTAAAGTGGTCTTTATACCCAAAGCAGGGAAAAAAGACTACTCGGCTGCAAAGTCCTTCAGGCCAATAAGCCTAACATCCTTTCTTTTTAAAACATTAGAAAGGATCGTGGACCGGTACCTGCAAGAAGGGGTGCTGAAAAGGTACCCATTCCATAAGAATCAACATGCCTATAGAAATGGAAGGTCGACCGAAACGGCTCTTCATTCTATAGTGCATAGAGTCGAAAAGGCACTGCACTACAAGGAAATGGCACTAGCTGTTTTCTTTGATGTAGAGGGGGCTTTTGATAAGGCGAGGACATCTACAATCTGTGAAGCGCTACAAGCCAGAGGCACTCCCCCAGTCCTGGTTAGTTGGGTTAAATCTTCACTGGAGGAGAGGCAGGTCAGTGCATCTCTGGGAGACTGCCATTTGGACATCGGTGTGAGGGGCGGCTGCCCGCAAGGCGGCTGCCTATCACCCCACCTATGGTGTTTAATAATGGATGGACTTCTGGAGAGACTGACGGCCGAAGGGCTGTATGCACAAGCATATGCAGATGATGGTACAGTCCTAATCAGAGGAGGCATTCTAGGTGTAGTCTGCGACAGAATGCAGACAGCATGCAGAATAATAGAAAATTGGTCCAAAGAAAACGGTCTGTCGGTTAACCCAACAAAAACTGACATGATTCTTTTTACCAAACGAAGGAAGATACAGGACTTCAGGGCACCAGCCATGTATGGAAGACCTCTTGAGATTACTGAAGAGGTCAAGTACCTAGGTGTTACCCTAGATAGGAAGTTAAGTTGGAAATCACACGTTGACAGAGTTGTTGACAAATCGATTGCAACTTTCTGGCAGCTGCGCCGGGTGGTGGGAAAACGCTGGGGAGTAAATCCCAAAGTCCTTCACTGGATTTATACTGCTGTCATCAGACCGCGGATACATTATGGATCAGTGGTCTGGTGGCGCAGTGTGAGCAAAACCACCATCGCTCAAAAATTGAGCAAGATACAGAGACTGGCATGTCTCGGTATCACAGGCGCAATGAGGACTACTCCAACGACGGCATTAGAGGCCTTGCTGAGCTTGCCTAATCTTTCCCTCTGGATAAAGAGAGAAGCAATGGCGAGCCATTTAAGGATGAGGGATGCCAACAATTGGTTAGGAAAAGGAATAACTTATGGTCATGAGGGCATCGCGGATATGGCTGAGAGGGAGGTCCCAATTAGCAGTATTAGAACGATGCCAGCAAAAGACCGCCTAAGTTTAAAAAAGAAGTTTTCCCTCACGATACCAACAAGAGAGCAGTGGGAGAAAAAGGATGTACACTTTGCACAAAATGCACTAGTGTGCTACACTGATGGCTCTCGTATGGCGAGTACACTGTCTTCAGGGGCAGGTTTCTGCGTGGAGGACAGGGATATCCAAAGGAGCTACCCGCTCGGAGGATATACCACTGTCTTTCAAGCGGAAGTGTTTGCCATACTTGAGGTTGCAAACTGTGAGGATATAAGAACAGGGAGTGAGACAGATATATACATCTGCTCAGATAGCCAAGCAGCTCTGAAAGCGCTTTGGGCAGCGAGAACCACATCGAAGTTGGTTCAAGAGTGTGAGGAAGCGCTGGAAAAGCTAGCAAGTACAAAAAGAGTGCATCTCGTATGGGTACCAGGTCATAGTGGGGTTGAGGGTAACGAACGGGCTGATGAGTTGGCCAGATTGGGATCTGAAACCCCCTGTGTAGGACCCGAACCAATTTTTGGAATCACGAGAAAGCAGGTCAAATCAGCCCTAAATAATTGGGCTGATAAAAGAGCGAATGAAAGCTGGAGAAGAAGCGGTGGCTGTAGGCAGACCAGGGATTTTCTGGTCACCCTAAGCAAACCCAAATCCATCTGGCTTCTAGGTAGAAGCCGAACCTCCTTGGGCCCACTTGTGAATATACTCACAGGTCATGGCCTAAGGAAACACCTCACAAGAATAGGGGCTGAAACCAGCCCCTCCTGTACCCAGTGCGGAAGGGAGGATGAAACCTCCTTTCACTTCCTGGGACAATGTGAGGCCCTCGGCAGACTAAGGTATAAAATCTTTGGAGTGATGACACTCCAAAGGGAAGAGTTGGCCTCTCTTGCCTGGCAGGATATCCTGACCTTTATAAGAAGGTCTGGAAGATTCGAAAGGGCTGGTATGGGCGAAGAGGAAGATGAGGAGTAGTCTGGTTGGTTTAGGAGGGGCAGATAAAAAGGACCATGGAGTCTAATTGTCAGGCTTCGAGCCTACCCAACCGTACTACTACTATATATTTTTTGAAGAAGTAATATGTTTTCGCACTCGAATGGCGTTAAAAAAAGTTTGTCTATGAGAGTGTAATAGGCTTTTCCTGTATTTTAAGCAGGGTAAAATTTACACTATTTTTTTTAATTGCATCCAAGTGATAAGCCTGTGTGCACATGTGCATCGATCGATAAACAGAACACTCAAGTTGGCAATACTTAAATAAGTTAAATAATTTTTAACAGTGTCATATCGAGGGGGTGTAAGGGGTGGGACACCTCCCAAATAGTCGGCATTTTCGGGATTCGAATATGAAGTCGACTAGTCGGCAACAAATTGTAGGCGGCAAATCAAAATCGCTGCCTGACTCAAAAGTCAGAATTGGCAGTTTTCGGTCATACTATGCAACATTACTTGAGTTGAGTATTCATACTGCAAACTTAATCGCCTTAATTATCGAGTTATATTTTTACTTGTTAAAAACTTATTAAAACTTAAAAAGTATTACAAAATCGAGTTGTTTTTAAATTAAAATTTTATAACAGTAATTCGCCGAGCTTAAAAATTGCATCGCATGTTACGACTCATTAAATCATATCATGTCAAAACATAAACTTACTGAAAATTTAATTGATTACTTCGTAATTTTCGCTTATACAAGTTAACTTTCTTAAAAAATAACTGCGACTCTAACTTACACGTCTATGAATCGTTTAGTTGCAGTTATTTTTTAAGAAAGCAATTAGACTTTTACTCAAATCGCTCGCTACGTCTTGCATTGTTATGATTTAATTGCTCCAGGTATTATCACATACTTTCACATATTGCTTATTCGCTATAGGTATTTTGTGTTTATTCTCGATTTGGCGTATGGATCACTCTTATGCACATTGTCAGTTCATGAGTGGGGGATTTAAAATATATGATACAATAGACATATTTTATTTTATTTTAAGTTTTAATGTGCTTCCAACAGGCACGGGCCCATTTACGGGAATACACAAACAAACACAAATAAACAGCCATACCCCTGGTGGGATTCGAACCCACGACCACTCGGCTTGTAGCCCGCAGCAAATCAAATCAAAAATATTTATTCATATTAATGTATAACGTATATAATATTGTAAAATAAATTCAAACATATGTATAAAGTGTATAAATAAAACGAACAAAACAAATGTGCCCGCAGCGTTGACTACTACACCACCGAGGGCGGTTTAATACTTCCACGTATAATACGAACTAAATAAAATTTAGGTTAAATCAAATTTTTCTAAATCATTTGCTTACATCGCCTAGGTTAAACTTATATATAAGTTTAACCTAGGCGATGTAATGAGTATATATACATTTCTGTGGTTTGGCTTTATAAAAATCAAAAAGTGGCATAATAGGCATCATATGTAAAGCCACTAAAAATCTCATAAACACAATGGAAAAAAAGAATACAAAAACAATTGGTATACAACAGAAAACAAAAAAATGGTTGGTTATAAAAAACATGTACATTTTAATGTGTCTAAAATAAAAACCTTTTGGCTATCTTGGTCGAAATACGACGTTGCCAAATTTTTGCTGTTATAAACATACCATTATAAACTCTAAAATGTTATCACTTTGTGTTACTATTATTGTTAAATGCTTTTTTTACACAAATTATAATTAAATATATTTATTATACTTCCCAAATAGAGACAAAAATATGATATTTTTTTTAAACCGGCAATGCCGCCATGAAAATACCCGTATGATTGCATGCAATCATACGGGTATTTTCACTACCCCTACTTTAACACCACGAAAAGAACACAGTCTCAGTTAGAAATTATTTGTATACGAGGTGTGTTAAGAAAATATCGGGCATTTTCGTTTTTTGAAAAAAAAATATTTATTTATTCGTCTACATTAATGTTGTCGCCTTCAAAATAGTCCCCATTGGATATTATGCACATGTGCCAGCTCTTCTTCCAATACTCGAAACACTTCTAAAACTCGATCTTTGGGATAGCCTTTAGTTCTTTCAGCGATGAGCTTTTAGTGTCATCTATGCTTGCAAAACGACGGCCCTTTAAGGTTCTCTTTATTTTTGGGAATAGGAAAAAGTCAGACAGAGGCATGTCTGGCGAATATGGAGGCTGGGGCATCATTACAGTATTGTTTTTGGACAAAAATTGTATTCAAAATTTAACAATTTTGGAACAAATTTTTCTGCCACGCGTTTCATACCCAAAACATTCGAAAAATTTTTATGAGATGAGCCAATCGATATCCCAACATCATCAGCGACTTCTCAGATGGTTTATAACCATTTCTTCCACGTTTTCCATGTTTTTATCGGTTGTTAATGGGCGTTCGGGGCGTTCGTCATCTTCAACGTCTTTACGGCCATCTTGGAAACTCTTATACCACTTGTACACTCTTGTTTTACTTATAGCAGACTCAATATAGGCCTTGTTAATATTTTACAGAATTTATTTCATTTTTTAAGCAAAATTGGATACAAATTTCTTTGATCCATTTCTTTTAACCAACGAAAATCGCCGAGCTCATAAAACACGTCTAACCTTAGCGGCTGCCATAGACAAAGTAAACGATAAAAACAGTTTTTATCATACTTCGGGGGCATGTATACCAACATAATAAAGAAAATTTTATGACAACCGGACCCTCCGAACCCGCGAAATTTAACAATTCCCGTTATTTTCTAAACACACCTCGTATTTGTGTATCTATATATATATATATATATAGGTATAAACAATATTATTTATACCTATCTAGTAAATTAATCCTAACCAGCTTCGGTTATGATTAAATTCTAACAAATACTGTAAAGATTTAATCATTCAAAGAGTTATCTGTTGTTGCTCCTTTATTAAGGACCGATCATAATCAAAATAATATAATAATAAAGTTTAATTTGGTTAAAATTTAATATACTCCAAATTAATAAGTTTAAATAGCTAAATAAACATTATTTAATAAATACCCATCACTTATTAAAACGTGGAAATATTATATTTATTACTACATATAGTTTATTATTCTTTATACTATAAACTACCCCCTGCCCACTAATAAACAAAATAATATGAATTTTAAATAACAAAATAAATAATGCCTGCTGGGTATTTATTAAAAAGTCTTATTAATATATTTATTATTTAAAAAACTACCTCTTGCCCCAGCCAAAAGTTCTTAGTTTTTTTTAATTGCAAAATAAACATGGCAAGATGGGTATCTATTAAAAGGTGCTTATTTTTATGGTATACACTGGATATTGAATTAAAATCCTATAAATAAATTAATTTTCATATAAACATTGTAGAGCTCCAACACAAATAAAAAATAAATTAATTATAATTAAATAATAAATGATTTATCTTAAAAATGATTGTTGTTTAAAGTCCGACTTTTAACTTTTTAAACTTTTTAAATTGGAAATTTAACCTTTAAATGGTATTTTATTATTTATCAATATTATTATCAATATTTTATTCACCCCTAATTTATTAAATTTATACAATGCAAAATTAACTTATCACATTTGTGGTCGATTATAATATTTTACAAACGCTTTAAGATAAAATAATGTATTTTCGGAAAACCTATGTTTTTTTACTAAAATTTCTTATTTAATATTACCTAAATTTTTTTTAAATTTGTTAATTTATTTTTATTCGAAAAATGTGCATTTTTTTGATATTTAACAAGAGCCTTTTTTACAGCCAACTTGCAAAAAAATTGCACATAAAAAAATACCCCTGTTTAATTTTGTTCTTATTTTTAAATTTAGCATAAAAAGTAAAGTAAGCAAAAAAAATTTAATTATTTTATTTCAAACCGGTTCCGAAATGAAGGTAGGCCATTTGCCGACCTATGTAAGAAGATTTATTTCTATTTTTTAGAAATTACGAGTAAAGTAAATCACACTATTTTCGGGACCCTGTATAATAATAAACATAAATAGAAATTTATTCAATAAAAAAAATGATTAGGATTTTTAATAGATACTCATCTTGCCATGCTTATGTTGCATTTTTTTTAATTTAAGGTATGACAGGGTTTTTGGAATTAATAATAATTATTATTAAATTAATAATATATAATAATACCAATGGGATAAAATAATTTTAATTATCTAATGCATAATATTTAATCTTAGATTAGTATTAATATAATTCCGATACACTAAGGAATTAAATCCCAAAGAGTTCATTATATTTGTTATTTAAGATATAAATCTTTTAATGATTAATTCTCCAAAAGGATGAAAGTGTTTTGTTACTACTACTCTACTAGGTATTAAATCCTTTAGTCCAAAGTGCATAGTTTAACTCATCTAAAGAATAATATGTCTTGGATCGAAATAGGTTTAAATCATGAGCGAATGGAGAGTTATTCGAGCTTGATGATTTAATCCTAGTCCCTGATTTTAGGTCTTACTTTAATTGCAGCATTTATTTTTAGTTACGCAACGAAAATCCTATAAAATTGTTTTATAAACTGGAAACGTAAACGTCCAAATATTTGCACAATAATTTGCAACTGTAAACAACTGGTTAAGTAATTGCTTTGTGCAAATAATCATTTAAATAAAACCGTCTAATATCTTTTTAATGGCTTCACCAAATTTCTACGCAGTAAACTTTGTTTTTCGCAGCAAAAAAAAACAATAAAGATAACAAACATATAGGTCAACCATTTATCAATTTTACAAATTAAAATAAAAGGAATAAGGAATAAAAGGCCTTTTTACTTTAATTATTTCTTTACATATTTTTTTCAATAAATAATTATCCATAAAATTATTATTTTTTCCTTTAGTTAAGCCTTCGAGAAAACCCCCTGGTAGTAAGATTCGTCTCAGACATGAGTTACAATCCAGGTTCATTACTTGAACTATCAGCCAGATCTGTAAAATCACACAATATGGACGTTAAACCTGGAGATGTCCCGCTTACGCTGCTAGATTATTTAAATTCTGCCCATCACTGTGTAAACCCAAATTGCAAAGGTAAGAATACTTATTTTCGGAAAAGTTGTCAGGCCACTTAAAAAAAAAAAATATTCCTTAAATAATGGTTACTACGTTGCTATAATATAATCCATAGACAATGAAATCAGATCGTTGGAAATTTAGGAAAGTGTGAACCAAGCTGCAAACAGTTTCATGCATAATTTACTTATAAATGATACTATTGTTTATTTAGAAACTGTTTTAACAGGTACTGATTAAAATAAATAGATTTATTTATTACCTTAAATATACATTTTTACTGGACAAAGGCAATTCCAGTCTCTTTCTTGTCACTATAACTCTTTTACAACCAAATGCAGAACAAACTATCATTGTATTTTAAGTACAATATATTATATAAACTCAAGTATACTTGACCACAGAATTATATTTTAAACAATTTTTGTATATTTAGGAATACTTTTAAAAAATGTCCTTCAACTTAAGTATTTTTGTTTCTAGGTGTGTTTTTCAATAACAGAGTGGAGCACATAAAGTTCGTTGATTTTTGCGGCAAGTACCGCATACCGCTTCTTCAGTATCTGTGCTCTTCGAAATGCGCAAACGGTCCAAAGGAAGACATCGTCCGACCATCCAAGTCATACCTCATGAAAAAAGTACTTTTGGGTTAAACATTTACCTGTGATTATTAATATGTTTATATAAATTTAAATTTGTAAATGTTGAATAAATAAATATTTATTTTATATTAAAACAATTATTTTATTTTATTATTTACAGGCCCTGTAATACAGGGTGAAACAATATTGAAGTAATAAAAAATTTGACTTATTGACGCTTTTGAAAATTAAAAAATTTAATGAATATTATTGAAATTACAAAATTGAATATTTAATAAAACTGAAGAGCGTCCGGTAAAAACCAAATATATCCACTCCCGGCAAAAATTCAAGTAAGCTCTGCATGTTGTTATTTGCGTCTGTAACTACCTTGAAAGTAGTCTAAGACCAATATTGCCTATTTAAGATGATACCAATAAACAAAAGGTCTGATCAAAACCAGCCTGCTGGTCCAGTCAGAAGGAAACATGTCCAACCAACTAATCACAGCTCTACATCCAGTGTGTCCTCAAGATGGCACACTCAAAACAGTAAAATTAGCACCTTTAAAATGTTTTAAGTGATTTTTATGAATTTAATAAATAGGGTAAGTGATATTTTAGTGTATTTATATATATATTTAAACATTTTAGTTTTTATAATCAAATAAATTAACTTTATAATAAAAAGTTTTTGACTTTGAGTAGTTGTCCAAGTTTTTTAATTTTTTGTTTTTTAATCTGTTTGCCTTTTTTTTACCTCTTTCGACTTCTTAATTTTATGTTTGACTAACTTCAAGTTAGTAACTTGACTGTTTGACTTACCTACTTACTATTTTTTTTTGTCTTTTGCCTGTGTAATTATACCAAAACAAATATTTATTTTCAAAATAAATCAATCTCGAATACCTAGGTAACCAGGACCCCATGGTCATAAACAAACATCATTCTTAAATTTTATTTATTTAAATATTTTTATAAATATGTATTTTTAAATTGTAAAGTTGATCACGATAGCTTTAAGCCAATACGTCAGGCGCCAATAAGTCAGGCATGTTGGGGAGCCCAAGAGGATATAGAAACACACTTTACATTGCAAGAATTTAATGTTCCTAATTTAAAAACAGTTTTTTCGCTCTCCAGAAAAATGTGATACGTGGGACATATTATTTTTGACCGGATACTCCTCAACTAGTCTACTGCAGCTACAAGGTCAGTTATAAGAGAAAAGTTGCGTAATTAAAAGTCTATTAAAATGGATTTAGATTTTTTTTCTGTGAGCGCCAAAGTAGAATTTAACATGGTTAGATAGAACAAAAACCTAGGAGTACAACGATGAATCAAACTAGGCTAGGGCGGCCATTATAAAAAATATGGTGATGGTAACAAAACTTACTTTTTTTTCAAGTTAATGACAGGTTTTTATTTTTTTTTTAATATTTTAAGAACCGTATTTTCAATTAATTAATTTGATTTTCATAGGCTCGTAATTACGCATTCTGATATGACCGACCTTGTAGCTATTTGAAAAAAAAATGCCCATAAAAGGATACTTGGTGCACCCTGTATACATATTGCAAAACATAATTTTAAAAATAGGTTGGGATTAATAATTATAAATAAAAAAACTTTACTACAACTACTGTTGGTTTTTGATAAATCTAGTAGACTGTAATTATTGCATAGTTAAGAAATTCTTTTTACTGCACTACAAAATGTACGTTCAGTACAGTAAAAAATTGTGTATTTAATGTTTTATAAAAACAATAAAAAAGTGCAAATTCATTTTATTAGTTAGTTTTAAAGAATGTGCTGTGATAACCAAAGATGTATTTATTAGTCGTTATAAATATTTTATTCTTATTATTTCCCTTATATATTACCGCAAGCGAAAATTCCCGACACAAAAATGAATTGGAAGAATTAACTAAAACGTTTTTTAATAATTTAAGAGCACTGCCAGAATTATTGGGTAAGTGATTAATTAAAATAATATGGTTTTTACTACAAATATATTATTTAAATCTTAGAAGAGACACATTTGTCTGAAAAATCCAAAGAATTTATTCAAAAACAGATTAACTATTACAAAAACCTTAATTTTCTGGAAGATAAGGAATCAAGGTTAAAAAAACGCAGTTCAAATGATCAGTTGGTTAATTACACTAAGATATTGTTGGGTAAATATATTAAGTATTTAAAATATTTAAATTTAAATAACTTTAAATAAATACTTTTAGAACTGTCTCCAATTTTAAATATACCAAGCGAATATCCTTTGGACATAGTTCTAGGAAAAAAGGATTTCCATACGTATGCAATAACTTTAGAAAAGTATGGGCAATTATTAACAATATATAAATATAATGTAAGTAAAAAACTCTGAATTCTAAGAAAAGTTTTATACCAATTCTGTGTATACATATATGGAAATCCAAAATAAAAGATGAGAATTAATCATAAAAATATGTTCCCTTTGGGAAACCGTTTTTTAACTTTCCAAGTTTTACACGGTGCCCCAACTAAACTAAGGAGTTTTTAGGTAGTAACGCAAAAACTTTAGTTAACTTTTTAAATCGCTTTACTCTTTTGCGCAACCCCTAAAATTTTATTAGATAGACAAGTCATACCTACCTCATTTGAGTAACAAAATAGAAAAATTATATTCATTCATTTTTGAGACCTTTAAAATTGAAGTTCCAACACACCTTGTTTCTGATTCAAATAAAATAGCACAGGTAAGGAATTTGAGAAAAAATAGTGTAGAAAAACTACCGAATCATAAAATAAGCCTTCATCATTTTTTAAGTACACAAAATTAGTTCAGTTTTATTAAAAAAAAAATTAATTTTGAGTGCGAAAATCGTGTAGTAGATTTATTCAATAAAAATTTAGGGGTTGTGACCACTGCGCGAAGGGAGGAAGCGATTTGCAAATGCAAATCTAGAGCAAACTTGAAACTGAAGTCACTGCTTACCACCTAAAATCATTATGAATGTTTTATTAATTACAACAAAAACTGTTTTGTTATTTGAATAACAACAACCCAATGAGCCAGTTTCCGGAAAGTTTCTTGAAATTTGCTGGATAGTTCCAAGAAATGTTTCCGTCCGTTTTGAGGCATATGCGTCAGGAATAGGCCCGCCTTTGGACGGCAAAAACGTTCACCAACCATTGAACGCAACATGACGGAAACTGTTTCTGACACCGAAAAAGTATTTACAGAAACTGAAGCGCAATTTGCTGGAAACAGTTTCCGTCTTATAAAATTTTGACAGAAACTTTACGAAAATTTAATGGAAACGATTTCTACTGTCAACTGTTTCCTGCATTATTCCAGCCATTGGGGAAAAAACATATATTAGAAATTTTGTGAAATATGGAAGAAATTGTTTCTCAAAGTTGTTTCCGGCTTATTTCTTTTATTAATTCTTCTTAATCGTCAATAAATTTATTTGATTTTTCTTTTCTTTTAAAAATTATGGCAATAAAACAAGTATTTTAAAAGAACTTTTATTGTAACAAAATTAAAATATATTCTATAATAAATAAAAAAAATATAATATTCTAATTAATACATTTTATAAATAAAGTTAATTATGGCTGCCCAATTATTTCAATAATAGTTATTTATGTCATTAGGTTAAGAAGTAAGGCTTTTTGTGCTAAGCTCAAGGTTTGAAGGCCGACGCGTAGCGGAGGCCTACAATTGAGCGAAGCACAAAAAGGCACTTCTTGGCCGAATGGCATACAACATTTTATCTTCAAAGCACTTTATATAGGTCAATTTAATTCAACATCAAAGCAGCCTAACCTCACTTTTTTAGAGTCTCATTTATTTATTAGCTAAAGATAACATTAAATGTACAATAATTATTATTGCTTTTAGAAGCAGTAATAGTTTGACAATACCTAGCTACATGATTTAAGTAGAAATGGATTTTTGCTATTACATTGAATTCAATTAATTGTTTAATAAATAGGTAGGTATCTAATTTCAATTTGTTTGGATTTTTATTTGAAAAATAGGTAGTTTGGAATGTTTAAGCTGTGTTTAACATTTAATTTCACTGAAAACTTAATGCAAATTAAAACTTAAAGATAATTTAAATCGTAGAAACAGAATCGCGCGTTTTCTTGGTTTCCTAACCTCACTTTTTGTTTAATTATTCATATTTAATTTTACAATAATTTAATGAAAAATATTAAACATTAAAACAAACAAATTATAATATAATACACTATAGTGCTTATTACAAATAAATTAAACCAGTTTAGTACGTTAATTTCTTAGAAAAGGATTAATTTGTCAAAACAATACCCCTAGCGAACTAATAGATTCCATAAAACAGACTTTTGGATAGCGCGTGCCTGAAGAAGAGTGGTATCTCTTTCTCTTTTATAATTAAAAAAAGGACGAGGTGCCTTTTCACGCACGCGCTATCCAAAAGTCCGTTTTATGGAATAGGTCTATTACTTGCCTCATAAAAAATTTTATCGGCCTAGGCCATAACAAGGTATTTCTTTATCGAATGTTGACAACAATAAAGTTTAAATTATAGACCGCGTGGAGATAAAAATTATTATTGAAATAATTGGGCAGCTTCCGACTCCAAATTAGTTCTTTTTCTGGTCTCCCCAGGATTTCTTTCACGTGCGTTAATCATACATTGTTTTAGAGATTTTAAGGATGCCGTTACACAATCCTTAACTTCTTCTTTTCCACTTTTATATTTCACTTGCAAATTTCCATAATTAAAAAAAAATTATATTTTTTTCATACTGTGTATAAATTTAAAATACGTTATAATAAAAAATGCTGTTAGCAGACACCATTTTTGATAAAGTTTGACAAAATGTTATTCCAAAAAACAATGCTTTTAGCATGTTTTACTAAAAACACTTAAAATCTAGCGATTTATATCAAATTTTGACCAAATTATCTACCAAAAAAAATTTATGGTAGTGGAAACACTGGTAAGAAGTCAACTCATTGTTCATTGGCTCCCACCTAATAACTTTTCCAACTTTTCATAGGGGGTGCCGAACTTTTCCAACTTTTCGACCGAACTTTTCCTTGTTTGCAACACTAACCACAAGTCTGGCACAAGACATAGGTACATGAAAAGTTCACTCTGCAACAATAAAAACCATTTGTTTTATTCAAGCACAAATGACATCGACAATATTTTAGCACAATATTATCACAGATTATACAACTTATATATTATATCATCGCTGTCAGAATGAAGGGGCCTATCTCAATATTTGGCGAAAAGAGTTATTCCCATAAAAATATATTTAATACTTAAAAGAACCATATCTATGTTGTGACAAACTGGCATATCTCCATAATACACCTTGTGGCCATTATTCAATGAATTATATCCAGTGCTACAGACAAATTGTTAGCAAAAGTTAGCTTCAAAACGCTCTCCTGAAAAGTTGTTAAATCAGAGATTGGCCACGTTATGACAGCGACGATATATACCTACAACTATTTAGATCTTTATTACCCGAAATTTTCCTGCACGAGATTTTATTCGATATTTACCTTTTTCTGTAGAACTTTTGTACACTACACTACAATAATATACCTACACGCTGATACAGACTCTTTCTAATCTATGCTAATACACGCTTAGAGTCTATGTTCTAAGGTGTAAGCGTCTAAGCCTTAGACGCTTACACCTTAGAACATAGAAAAAGAATGAGGTTATCTTTGGTTATTTCCCAAAAGCGCAGGGTTGCCTACCTTAAATATTTTGTTTGCGTACAGAGCATGGAGCCTACACAAGGAGCCCGAACTTAATAGGGAAAATTGACAAAACCTGTCCACTAAATTGCACAATTTAAGTCTTTTTTTTTCACCACCAGCGGCGCGCGCCGCTTGTTAATGCGTCCGAATGACGTGAAAATAGTATCGAAAATACATGTGAAGTAAGCAAGTAAGTTTTGACAATTGATTTGCAATAATGTTTTGACGTACGAATCATTTTGTTATTTATGGCTGTACCTGGTAGGTAGATGCTAATGAAAAGGTTTTGGTTGTGAAATATAAGTGATTCTTTATAATCTGTGAAGTGAACCAGGTACATGGGTACATTGTTTTCAGAAAGTGATAAACTGACAGTTGCATAACCTCAATTATTTGCACAATAATAAGTGGTAGGTAGTGGCGCCATCTCTGGTTATACCCCTCTACTGTTTTGGACCGGTAGTACACCAGCGCCCTCTTATCTTAGGAAGATTCTTGTTTACATGAAGTTCGGGCTCCTTGTGTAGGCTCCATGGTACAGAGGATTAAATCTCGTGGTTTTGGCTCTTAAATGGAAACCTCGTACAATTTTTCTAAATAAAAAAAGGAAATATTAACCAATATTAAATACTTTATAATTAAAGGGGCAAGAGCAAAAATATGTTAACTTTTTTCGAGTTCAAATAGGTAGCCACTAAAACCAAAAGTTTGGCAGAAATACACCCGGCAACGTTGAAACCAAATATTGGCCTATAAAACTTCTAATTTAAAGAGGGGCAATAGTTATTTACCTAACAAGTGCGGAAAGTGATACTTTTTCGCACGCGACTGTAGTCGAGTGCGGAAATGACACTTTGAGCACGTGTTAGGTAAAATGTTTTTTCTACAAGCGTGCGGAAAGTTGCTACTTTCCGCACCCATAACTGTGCGGAAAGTAGCCCTTTTCCGGACTAGTGCGGAAAGTTGAACTTTTGCACTTTCCGCACGCTTGTAGAAAAAACATTGTACCTAACACGTGCTGAAAGTGTCATTTCCGCACTCGACTGCTGACCGAACTCCGCTTCGCGTCGTTCGGTCAACTACAGTCGCGTGCGGAAAAGTATCACTTTCCGCACTTGTTAGGTAAATAACTATTTTCTACAAGCGTGCGGAAAGTTGCTACAAGCGTGCGCACGCTTGTAAAAAAAAATTGTACCTAACACGTGCTGAAAGTGTCATTTCCGCACGCTTGTAGAAAAACATTGTACATGCTGAAAGTGTCATTTCCGCACTCGACTGCAGTCGCGTGCGGAAAAGTATCACTTTCCGCACTTGTTATAACAAGTGCGGAAGTGATCTACTGGACATTTTTGCTGCCTGGAAATAATAATTAATTTTTTTTATTTATGTTAATAAACTTGAAGAACATGTATGAAACAATTTCTGAAAAACGGTTTCTTGCAATTTGCATAAAATTCTCGGAAATTTTCTTTTCGAAACAGTTTGTGAGATATTGGCGAGAAATAATTTCTTCCAACTTGTCAAAATATTCAGAAACTTTTTTCTTGAAACAGTTTGTAGGATATTGGCGAGAAATAGTTTGTTCCAACTTGTCAAAATGTTTAGAAACTTTTTTCTTGAAACAGTTTGTACGATATTGACGGCAATATTTGTGGAAACTGTTTCCGACGTATTGCGGGCGGATTGCGAGAAATGGTAGCAACGACATCTGGTTTCCCTCAAATTTACACTAACGTTACGGAAATGATCGTTGGGAAACTCATGTCTTTTGAATTTCCAGGACTACATGGCTCATTGGGAAAGTAATTTTGTTGCCAGCTATAAAAAAAGAAAGTCAAAATAAATAAACTTGCCTTTTCAAAAATGCATTAAACTTTTTTTTATAATGTAATTAATAATGTTACAATATTAAATGCTGTAAAAGTACAATTATTAAAAAATCATATATGTTTTGTAAAAACTACTATTTATACTTACATGTTTTTCCAACAAAGACGAAAAGGTTGATTTATTGATGAGTTAATTAAAAATTTGAAAAAACCTTTTTTTAATTTAAAATTTAAATTAATTGACTTTTTGGATTTTAACAAAGCCAAAATAAATTAAAAATTAATGTAATAAAATTAATGAATATGGAGAATTCCACGTCAAATCGACCATTTTGGAACCCAGGGGTCGTTTGATTTGGCTAAAAAAGTTTTTCAGGAATTTTTCAATTTTTGTTACCCAACCAAAAAAAAGTTTTTAAATACACATAACTATTTAAAAATTGACTAAATGGGAAATTTTTTTTAAAATGTTTTGTTATTTAATGTACTTAAAAAACATAAACAATTTTCGTTGTCAAATTCTATAAAATTATTTAATTTTTTGAGAAAAACCATCAATTTTTCGCCATTTTTAAATTTATTTCTATTCTTTTTCATAAAAAAAATTCGAATAATTCTTTATTCTTTAATTTTTAAAGAAACATTTTCCCAATCGTTCATTTATTTTCTTATAAAAACTTTGTTTTCTTATTAAAATCAATTTAAGTAAATGTTTTTATGATATTTTATACTTAATTTATAATCTAACCTAATGATTAATTGATACGAACAATAAATAACTATTTATTGGCGTTTAAATAATTTACATTTCGGACAAAAAGACAACCATATACGAGGTGTGTTCAGAAAATATCGGGAATTTTTGTTTTTTGAAACAAATATTTATTTATTCGTCTACATTAATGTTGTCGCTTTCAAAATAGTCCCCATTGAATATTATGCACATGTGCCAGCTCTTCTTCCAATACTCGAAATACTTCTAAAACTCGATCTTTGGGATAGCCTTTAGTTCTTTCAGCGACGCGCTTTTAATGTCATCTATGCTTGCAAAACGACGGCCCTTTAAGGTTCTCTTTATTTTTGGAAATATGAAAAAGTCAGACAGAGGCATGTCTGGCGAATATGGAGGCTGGGCAGTATTGTTTTTGGCCAATAATTTTGTTTAAAATTTAACAATTTTAGAACAAATTTTGCTGCCACGGGTTTCATACCCAAAACATTCGAAAAAATTTCATGGGATGAGCCAATCGATATACCAACATCATCAGCGACTTCTCTGATGGTTTATAACCATTTCTTCCACTTTTTCCATGTTTTTATCGGTTGTTAACGTGCTTGTGCGTTCGGGGCGTTCGTAATCTTTAACGTCTTCACGGCCATCTTGGAAACTCTTATACCACTTGTAAACTCTTGTTTTACTTATAGCAGACTCACTATAGGCCTTTGTTAACATTTCACAGAATTTATTTAATTTTTTAGTCAAAATTTGATACAAATTCTTTGATCCATTTCTTTTAACAAACGAAAAATCGCCGAGCTCATAAAACACGTCTAACCTTAGCGGCTGCCACAGACAAAGTAAACAATGAAAACAGCTAAAGTTTTTATCATACTTCGGGGGCATGTATACCAACATAATAAAAAATTGTATGACAACCGGACCCTCTAAACCCGCAAAATTCCCAATATTTTCTGAACACACCTCGTATGTAATCTTTATTATCTTAGATTATAAATTAAGTGTCAAATAGTATAGAATAATGGTTAAATAAATTAAATAAATAAAATAAATTATATTAATTTTATTATAAATATAAAAATGTCTTTCAATTAAAAAAAAATAGAAAGAAAAATCGACCCACTTTGGGAAAAGTTTTTTTGTTAAAAAATTAATAAGAAATGCAAACTTAAAAACTGATAGTTTAAAAAAAACTAAAAAAACATTTATTTTGTTTTTTTCTATGAAAACTGCATTCAAAACCAAAAGATTAAAAAAACGTCCAATTTGGTCAATTTTAAAAAAGTGGGTATTAAAAATAGAGCAATTTTTTGAAAAAATTTAATTTTTTTGGTTAGGCACAAAATTTTTTAAAAATTCTGAGAAACATTTTTAGTTGGGTAGAAAGCCAATTCAAAAGATCGAGTTTAAAGGTGGTCCATTTGACGTGGAACGACCCATATATATCTAATTAATTATATGTATACAAATAAAAGACAGTGTACTTAAAACTTATTTTAGAACATAACTTTTGAAAAGCAAGTGTCCATTTCTATAACAAATGGTGTAAAGGTCGATGCATTTCCATTAAAATCATCCCTTATAATCGCAGTGGCTGAAAATAGAAATACATCCAATAAACTGGAAGAAAAAACAAAAATATATGAGTGGGATTTCAGAAATAGTTTAAAAGTTCGTCAGTCGATTGATGTTTCATACGGAAGCGATGTAAAAATATGGTATAACAATAATAATTGACTTGTGTATACACTGTGTCCAACTTTATCTGCTCATCATTGTAATTTATTACACTGTAGGTAAATTTTCAACTCTTGAAATATCACAGCTAAACGCTCGGACACGTAAACATAATTTTTGGTCGCTGATTCCAAATCCATGTTCGGTTTAGCTGTATAAGGTCTAAAAAAGTTTTTCCTATTCGCAACCTGATCCGGGGACATATAGTCCGGTCAAAATAGACATTTCAAATAACAAAAATTCCGACAGAGCTAAATTTTGGTAGAGACCTTGGGTACAACAGTAGAAATAAAATGCCAAAAGTCCCCATTGATCCCATGTGTGCTAAAAAAGTTACTCAAGGTCAAAGTTAAAATTTTCTTTTTTTTTTATTTTTCTCGAAAACGGTAAGTTTTATCAAAAATATATTCTAGACAAAAATTGTAGATCATAAAATTGTCTACAAAAATTTTCCTTATACTTTTTTTCCTAAGAATTACCATTCCTATGATATCGCCATTCTAAAAGTTGAAGGAGTTACATTCTACATGATATCCACAGTGTGCATATACGTGGTATTTGTGTGCATTGCGGCGGTTTATCTTGGCGGTTGCTTGGTAACGAAATCAACAAACTTATGATTTATTATCTATGGCTCATATTCCTGCTTTTCTCAAGTGGTTAAGTGAAATACTTTTAGTGTTGAACGTTCCTTTCGGGTGAATACGAGTGAATACATGTATTTATTGCTAGCGTCTACTATTACAGTTTGTACCCAATAATATTTTTTTTAATGTCACAATTGTGCTTTATTTGCAATAAACTTTTGACGGAAGGTGAAGCTGTTACAGTTAGTCGTGGAATGAAAACTTTGATCGATGCAAGTACCGAAAGAGGTGATGAGTTTGTTGATTATCTGAGAAGTGAAAAGTCTGTAACAATTCACGTGGATTGCCGAAAATCATACACCCGGAAAAATTTAATTGCTGCTATCAAAAGACAACATAAGGATGGACAAGCTAGTACATCAAAAGTAAGTCCACCTAGTACTAGAGCACGAGAAAGTGAATCCGACTTTTGTTTTAAAAAATGTTGCGCCGGCGATGAAGCGGATGAAGAGGCTAAAAAAAAATCGCTACATCGTCGACAAAAAATGTATAACGTTGCTACACTTTCATTTAAAGAATACTTTTTGGCAGTAGCTCAGGATCGTTCTGATTACGTATCAAAAGCTGTCACTGAAATTTATAATTTTATAGAAAGTAGTGATGATTACATTGGACGAACAAAAGAATGTTATTAAAAATGTAGCTTTAGATAAGAAAACTATAAAAATACGATTAAAAGTAAAGAATGGTAGTAGAATTATTATTACAGAAAAGCCGGGAAAATTAACATTTATTTGTTTCATTGACAATTACCAAGACATTTTAAGTCAAACCTGGTCTGATAAAAAAACTTAAATAAAAAAAAGATACAGCAATTGAACAACTCAATGCAACAAATACAACCGTTGTGGTTCGTAAAGATGTTGATTTGTTAGTACTACTTACTGCACGGACTCCAATTGATAAAATTATTTTCTTTTTAAAACCTGAAAAGGCTCAACAGCGAACAGAAATATACTCCTCAAAAAGTTTATCTGCTTATCCAAAATGCCAAAACCATATTTTATTTTTACATGCGATAACCGGCTGCGATACTACATCAGCAATGTTCAGAAGGGGTAAAAAATCAGTATTAAAATTATTTGAAAAAATGGATTTAATTGATTGCGCTAAAGTATTTGAAGAAATTGAATCTTCTCCTCAAACGATAATTACAAAAGGAATTCGCTTTCTCCTTGCTGTTTATGGAGCTCCAAAGAAAATTGATTGTATAGACAAGTATAGATATTTAACTTTTGTAAAAAGATACACGGAACAAGAAACAAGTACAACTATAGTTGTATAGATATATCTTGTCTTCCTCCAACATCGGCTACCACACACTTGTATCGAGCATTTTATCAGGTTCAGACATGGCTAGGCAATCAACTAACCCTGAAGACTGGGGTTGGAAATTAACAGACAATATTTTGGAATCGAATCAAACTATCCTCCCACCTGCACCGGAAAAACTCTATTTTTTGCGATTGTAAAAAGGTTTGTAGTGCTAAATGTGGCTGTAGAAGAGTAGGATTGTCGTGTTCACCAGCGTGTACTAATTGCCAAGGCCAGTCTTGCTCGAATGTTTAATCCAATCATATAGACGAAGATTCGTTTGATATCGATGAAGAGACTGCTGATTCATCTTGAGTTGAACAATTTATGGACATCCAGCAAGAAGAAGAGAAAAAAGACATGACTGTTGAAGTGGAATTTGAAGAGTATGAATCAGATTAAAATATTAACGTAAAATATAACTACAGTGTAAAATAATCACCTATATCAATATCACTAATCATCATGCAGTAAATACAGTATGTTCCCATAAAACTCGTGGAATAGGTCTACTGGGGAAACCACGTTAAAAAAAAGCGCCAAGTACACTACCTCATAGGTGGCGTGGAAATGTGTGCATATCATGTAGAATGTAACTCCTCGAACTTTTAGAATGGCGATATCTTAGGAATGGTGATTCTTAGGAAAAAAAGTATGAAAAAAGTTTTTGTAGATAATTTTATGATCTACAATTTTTGTTTGGGCTATATTTTTGATAAAACTTACCGTTTTCGAGAAAAATAAAAAAAAAAAGAAAATTTTAACTTTGACCTTGAGTAACTTTTTTAGCACACATGGGATCAATGGGGACTTTTGGCATTTTATTTCTACTGGTGTACCCAAGGTCTCTACCAAAATTTAGCTCTGTCGGAATTTTTGTTATTTAACCACTATTTTTATGTCTAATTTGACCGGACTAATACTAGTATACAGCTGTATACTGGTATATTATAATTTTTAAAATAATACATTTCACCTCTTGTGCCAACATTCCTTTGCTTTTAATTTGATTAATATAACATCCTCAATTATGCTCAATAAAAAAAATCAGCAAAGAAACATTTTGAATTTTCTACATTATCTAAGAAAAACCTTTACACAGAGAAAAAGCTTTTATATTGTGAATGGGTTAACCATTGAGCCAATGGTGAACTGTATTTACAATACCTGAATTACAGCTATGATCAAATAAAAGAAGTCATTGAATTAAATTGTGATTCTATTAAATCCGTATAAAAACTTAGTTAGTTAAAACATAAGAAATTATTGAATTAAATTGTTATTTAATTGAAGCCACATTAAATCTTAATGAAAAATTGGAATAAAATTTAATAAAGTTATGGTTTCTAATGAATGCCTACATTAAATGCAATCAAAGCTCTATTTCCCTTAATTATGTATATTCTTGTGCAAATATTGTAGGAACAAAAGAAACAAAGACTATTCTTATTTTATTTGTTTTTAAATTTTTGGTTGAAGCATTATAACTTTTAATATAAATCAATTTTATATTTAATTAAATATTGTTAATTTTACCTTGATCAGATAAACTTTGAATTCAATCATTTCTAAAATTTTCAATGAACTACACATTTCCATTAGGTTTAAAACGAAAGAGCCATTCACTCTATAACAAGTAATTTTAACTTGATAATATTTTGTTATGGGCTGAATATAATATTTTTAATAATCAATCCCTTGCCCTCAATTGCTCCAAACATATTTGATTAAATAAACTTTTTATTGGAGAAATGAAAAAACAATCAATTATAGCATTGTTATTGACTATATCATGATATCAAAGCGTTTTTTCGGTGTAGGAACACGTGCTCCTTTTGATGAATTAACTTCACATTTTGCAAGAATTTTTTTTTCAATTTCGAACTAATGTTTGGGTCCTGCCAAACACAGGGTGTTTAAATTGAGGGTATTTCCAATATCTTTGAATTTTGACCTGATACAGCTAAACCAATCACGGATTTGCAATCTACAACCAAAAATTAAGTTTACGTGTCCGAGCGTTTAGCTATAATATTTTCACTTCCCTACAGTGTTATTGGAGCTATAAAGTTTATTCACACTATGTGTATTTTTACATATTTTTTAAGACAATTTAATTTTATTAGTGCATAACTACCCTAAACTTTAAAATAAACAATTAATAGGCAAAAGTTTCTGATTGTTGTTAAAATAAAGTAATACATTATTACTAATAAAATGGTTATTTCAACAACCATCAGAAAGTTCAATTTTTTTAGTTATTCAAGAATATTTTTTTGTTTCAAATTAACTTGTCTTTTAAAATTTGTAAAAACATTACAATATTAAAAAAATATTTAAAAACCGACTTTGTAGCTCCAATAATAACAGAGTTAAAATGGTAGCAATGGTGAGCAGATAACTTTGGACACGCTATATATGTATTTTTATTATGAATGTATAAACTTTTAGGAAATATAATGAGGATATTTTTATGTCAATTTTAAACTACAAAAACTCCAATAACGAATTTGAAACTGTATCTCCAATATACAAATGGACAGACAAATATTTTGATGTCATCCAAAATATTGAGACCAGTGGTGCGAAAACGTTAACACCCATATGGATAAACGATTTGCATTTTTTGGCGGTATCAAACTCAAAAAGGAATTCTGGTAAAAATCTAACAAATTTAAATTAAAACCTATATTTATGTTATGTTTAAATTGTAGGTAATACTAAAACATATTCAGAAATCTTGAAATACAACACCCAAGCTGAAAAATTTATACCATATCAAAGAATATTAACACAGGGTTGTCATGATATCAAATATTTTAAAATAAGAAAAACCAACGAATTTTTTTTAGCAGTTGCAAATACATATAAAACAGGTAATTTAGAATACAAAAATAATATATTATTTATCTGGCTCCAGTCCCGAGGCGGGACTATAGTTTGTTCCCGAGTGACTTCATAATTTGACGTCCACCATTGTAAATCGGTAGCTATACACTGTATACTTCTATGGGTATTTTTATTTGAAGAGCTAAGAGGTCGGTAAAATTAGAAGAAAAAAATTGAGTAATTAGAAGCCTATACTTGAAAAAGGACAACTTTGGTCATATGTTAAACAAATATTAGAAATATTCCCCAACAACAAAACAAAACACAAAGTGCTTAAAGTACTTTTCGTCAACGATGTTGGCATCTTTAGAAGCTAAGTTTTACTTTGTGTTTTGTTTTGGTGTTGGGGAATATTTCTAATATATGTTTAATTAGAAGCCTATTAAAATAAAATTTATAAATTAAAAGCGATTCTCAAAATATATAAAAAAAATTTAAATCAAAAATTGTTATAAATTAATTACAATTTCCAGGAATAACGAAGTTATAACGATATTTGGTTTTGGCAGGTTTTCAGTTTTTTTCAAATTATTTCAAAACCGCTGATTTTTTTCCAATTTTTAAATGCCATTTTAATAGACTTGTAATTATGCAACTTTTGTCTAATTTATTTAACGCGTGACGTCACTCAGGATCGAAATTAGGTCCGGCCTCGGACTATAGCCAGAGCGTACTTTTAGTTGCAAAGTTTCATAATGTTTTAGACAAAAATGGCACTATTAATTATAACACCAACTCGTTTATTTATAAATTTGTTGATGAATATTTTATGCCTCTCCAAGTTATTCCCACAAATGGTATTATTCAATGGGAACCAGCTGCTGTAAGTCATATCTATTTATAAATTTTAGTCCCTAATAGCAGGGATGACAGTTTAACATTTACTCCCTGTACTATTAGGGACGAAAGTACGTACTTTTGACCGATGTATGAAGACAAATAGTATACACCAGTGGTGTAACACCACACGGGTCAAACGTCGAAATCTCAGTCCTGCGCGCAGGGCCGAAAATTTAACTTTCGGCCCTTGTACTATATTAAACATTTTTGTACCAAACTTTTGGGAACAAACCTAGGTAATTTTGAATCATAAGTAAACATTTTTTCTTCCCACACTGTTATAAAGATAAATTTTACCATCCCCATAGGGACGTGAAAGTAGCTTTTTTTTTGAACTAGCCTTGCAAAACACCTACAAATGGCTAGGCATGCTATTTTTACTTTTTGACTACCCACAATAGGGACGAGGAAGTAGGTGTTTCTACGGATAGCATAGCAAAACGTATAAACACCCACAAATAGATAGACAGAATTTCTTTCCCATATTTCCAATAGAGAGCGCTGTTTAATTAAAATTTTAAAAAAATATTGCAGTTATATTATGCAGGTGTTTAGCAACCTTATAGAGGTCTGTAAAAAATTGACCCAATGTTATTCTGTCTTTATAACTTCCTTGGAACAAAATATGAAGGTCAACTCAAAATATTTTTGGGTTGGCCTTCGTAATACTCGCTTGTACATTTCTTCATTCTGGAAAAATTTCACTTTACCACCCAGGTCCACAATATAATACATATTATAATACTAATTAGTAATAAAAAAAGTTTTCTTACACTATACAGGGTGTTCCTTTACCCAATTTTGTTGTTCTTTGGTAGTGTTATTTGTAGTGTGAGAGCTAATTTAGCTCTAACTTAATTGCATTTATTAAGTCCAGGGGCGTGCCGAGGGGAACCGAATATTTTTTATAAGAATGCTATTTTTATAATTTTTTCAAATTAATCAACCAAAAATATATCTTTTTTGTCTCCTGAACTTTGTTCGTATTTTGCTTAGTTTTCGAGAGAAAAATAAAAGCACTTGCTTACCCATGGGCCATGTTTATATGAACTATTTGTCTTAAAATCCCTTAAAGAATCGTCTTTTTAATTTATTATACATACTTAAGTAACACCCTGTATATTTGTTTCTCCAAAATCCTAAATGACCGCAAAATAACGTGTTAATCAAAACGTTAAAGCGATTTTTCCAGTTTAAAAAAAAGTCACAATTATAATAATAATTATGGATAAAACATATGAGATATTTTATCTCATACCATTTGGCCATTCAAACCTCTAAATAATCGGAAAATAATAATTAAAATTTCTCTAGGATATGGAAAACGGGTTTGTTCTTTTTTCATTGGATAAAAACGGTCAAATATTACCATATTACTATGATGGTTGGAGATTTTCCTCGGAAAAACTTGCTGGAATTAAAGCAACCAATACAATAAAGGCCATTAGTTCATATTATTTAGACAAAAAACTAATTTTAGGTAAGTTTGTGTAGGCTCAGAAAAAAAACTTGTAAATGGAAGTAAGCGGATTGCTTACTTAGTGTTCAGATTTTTGAAAGCAGTACATTAAAATAAATAAATAAAGGTGTAAACACTTCCTAATTTTTCAGTCATAACAAATTCCAGTTCTAATATCGACAATATTAATGTTTACGAAATAAAAATAGCACACGATGATAAGCTGGAAAGAAAATACAATGATATGCTTAGCTGGTGCCAGAGTAGTATTAAAAATATTAAAGAAAACAATAAACATCCCATCACCAAAAGACAAACTAAATTTGTAAGTATATTCTAAGAAAAAATATTTAAAAGACCTCCTAAAATACTGCAAATATTATTATTAAATTAAAAATCGTAATAAATTTCTCACACCTTCTTTTTCAATATTATAAGTTTATATTTTTTAAAACTAATCAATAGAACTCAGAACCCATTTTTAATTGTATATTGTATTTTATTTTTAAAGGTTTCTTTTTATAAAACATGCATTCTGAATTATTAATGGAAAGTGCAAAATTCTCATACTACGCCCAGTTTTAACTGTTTGGGTGTTTTTTTCGTAAGGTTTGGTACAATACCTTTAAACCTTTTCAAAATATTAAAATACATATTACTTAAAAATAAATATAATAATAAAAACAATGACAAATAAAAGTATCCATGAATTTTTAGGAAACAACATCTTTTACATCCTTAGAAAAAATACACCAATCTTTAGATGAATGCAAACTCCAGGTGAGCGAACTCGAAAAGAAATCAAAAAACACTTATCAATTTAACAGCAAACATATCATCGATCATAACATTGAAGCTAACCAAATTATATTTACCAAAAATTTAGAAATAATGAACACCCAAACCAAATCAATTAATGGCATAAATTTACACGATTTAAAAGAAAATATTATCGATATTAGAAAAAATACACACATTAAAACCCAAATAAGTTTTGAAACTTTACAAGTCAATAATTTCTCTGAAATAACAGTAATTAACAACCACCAGGTAAAAGATATTATGCATACTTATGATAAAATGCATTTGGAGTCATTGAAAATAAATGGAGAGGCTGAATTTAACCACAACATCTACACATCAAGTGTAAATAATATGCAGCTAGATAAAAGCAATGTTTTACTCAGCAAGGGTAATCAAAAATTCGAAAATTTCCACCATGGCTCAATTATTGTCGATGATCTGCAAGCCAAAAATCTGAATGAACTGGATTTGACTAATCCTGATGCATTTAAACATATTGGAGAGACGATTAAAAAGCTTGAGACTCTACGTGCTAAAAATGTCGTTGTTGGTGGTTTTCTAAATGATATCGATGTGAAAACCCTACATAAGTATGCTTTAAGAAAGTCTGGTGATCAAGTAATATCAAAGCCATATTTCTTCGACTCTTTAGAGGCCAATAATATGTTGATTGAAGGGTTATTGCGTGAGAAAAATGTTTTGGATTTAATTTCAATAAGTAACGGCGTTTATGATACAAATAAGGATGTATTGTTTAATAAAGATGTATATATTGTTAGCCTTAATGCCACTAAATCAGTTGATGGAATTCCAGTTAAAAATGGACAGCTGATGGTTTTACTAAAGGATTCAGATAAAACACAGTACATAAAGGGAAAGAAGTTTATCGATAACCTCGATATATTAAATCTAATAAGACTACGTGGCAAGATTCTTAACAAAGAACTCTCAGAGAAGAACACATTAGCCATAGTGAACGATAAATTAAAGTTAGACAACGATATAAGAATATCAGGTGATGTCACCATCGAAGCCCTTCTTAACTGCAAAAACGTTGTAACTCAAGATCACCAACTTTCACTCAAACACCTCAAATCCGAAGGTCTTCTATTGGAGGACTCGGAAATACCACTTCATCTAAATTTAGTTCAACCGCTGGAAGTGGTCGAGATTTACGTCGATAAAATTAATAATGCCTCTACGAGTTCGTGGGTTTTAACAGGGGTTAACGAAACTCAATTGATTGATGGATGGAAGCAAGTTGTAGGGGATTTGGCTGTTACAGGTGGCACCAGTGCTTATAAAATTAACAATATCGATTTGTCCGATATGGAAAATAATATTTTGTTGAAGCACGGCGATCAGGATATTAGTGGTAAACATGTTCTCAAGCATCTTGTTGCAGAAAATGGGTAAGTCAATACTCTGTATTCATTATTTTCTTTAAAAAAACATTCATAAAAACAACAAATACATATCTTGCTTTAATTTTAGTATGTCATACGAAACCCTTTCCTTTGGACAAAACCAATGGGATGACGTATTAACAATATCTGGAGAACAAACCCTAACAGGAAACAACGAATTTGTTCAAGACACAACTTTTGATAACGCAAGGGTTTCTAAAATTATTATGAATGGTTTTATAAATGGTATTGACTTAAGTGAAGCACTTAATGATGTAGTTATTAAAAATTCCACCCAAAAGATATCAGGTCATAAAATATTTAAAAATTTAAATGCAGAAGAAATACACGTTGGCGATGATAATATTAAAAATACAATGGAAATGGTGAAAGAAGAGTTAAGCAAAATTGAAATAAATCAAAATGTACATATTACCGATAAACTTAATACAAAGAACGTCTTTGTCAAAAATCTTTTAAATAATAAACCATTAAGTGAAGTTAATAAAAATGATGATACTGCTGATAATAATGAATTGCTTGAAATAAATGAAGACCTAGACTTTGACACCATTACCATTTTCAGCACTGCTTACATATCCTCAAATAAAATTAACGATATCAGTTTAGATCATATAGTTAATGGATCTGTTAAAAAAGATGAACCATTTGATTCCAAAAATATCGTTTTTGGTAAAATACTAAAAACATTGTTAATAAAGATTAATAAATAATTTTTTAGAAAATTCTATTACCATCAATAAGACTCTACAACTGGATGGCCAAATTGAAAGACTGGATTTAAACAACATCATTAACTCCAACCCAAATCAAACTCAGGCACTTGAAGATGAGAAAATATTTAATAACGCTTTTGTTGTTAACGGAAATGTTTATATCGATGGGAAATTAAATAATTTGGACTTAAACAAAATGTGTTTCATGAAAAACCCTACAAATCTTAATATTAAAGGTAAACGAAGAGTTTATTTATTTTCCCTGCATTTTAATTATTTAGAAATTCGACAACAAATATTACTGTAAACAAGTATAAGACAGTGTTTGTTTGAATGTTGTAGACAACAATGTTTGTTAAATGACAGAAAGGTTTGGGGATTCCATTTCCTCAGTATTTTTAATCATGACGTTTCGTCTTGAATAAGTTAAGTAGCTACAGATCCATTTATATTTAGTCCGGATGCACTGGAGCATCCAGGTGCAACGAAGCATATTGGAGCACTTGAAAGAACCACACAGCGGGGTGCAGCATACACCAGAACCCTGACTGCTTAAGTAAGCCTTTAGTCGATATAAGGACCGTCTGGAAACCATTGTTAAACAAATTTAACCTTGGAATTAAACCATGCATAGATAAAGACGTTCATTATGTCTACTAAATGCTTTCTAAAGCAGTCAGGGTTCTGGTGCATGCTGCTTCCTTAAACTTCCCCTTTTTTGATCTATAGATCGAAATTAAATAAAATGCAACATATTTATAATTTCTTCATTTATAACATTATTTCTTCAGATAGTAAGATTTTGTATGGTTATATAAAGATAAACTTATTTCCTTCTTCATATGGAGTGGTTAATTTCTCTCACACTGTCACTTTAAACGATTTAAAAAAAATGGCACGTAAACTACGGTAATAAGGCATGTCAATCATTACATAATCGGATACATGTACTAGATACTTTAAAAGTTTTCAAGTTTTCAAGGGAAAAGAAGCTACACCGAAACACAAGAAGATATGGTTATTTAGATTTTTGGTTATAGCGAAAGTTTAATTGAATTTTCTTTTTTTATCACTATCTTAAAATTTATTGTTCGAAATATAAAATATTCAAGCATTTATTTTAAGTTCATTTAAATTTGTCGATATCTGTGAAGTTAAATTAAATGACAAAATTAAATTTTTTGTTTGCTACAGGGGAACAAACAAATTTTATATGGTTGTTTGGGTGGGCTGATTCCAAAAATGACCATCATTTTGGTCAATTAGCCTTTGTATAATCAAATACTTTAATCAATGATCATTGGCCAAAAAATTAATGAATTATTATAAAGTTCCTAATAAAAGTACTTTTAACGAAATTAAATCGTTTTTTTTGGCAAAAATTAATTATACATACTTTATCTATTCCGATTGAATAATATTGTTTTTTGCTTATGGGTCAGAATTTCTCAAACGGGCCACCTGAATTAGGTTAAAATTAGTTTTTGATTGTAGATACATTTTTTCGATAGTATTTTACATCACTAACACAAATCCTAAAGGATTTTGTAAAAAAAAAAAATTTTCAATTGACATATTCATGATATTAAAAGTAAAAGTTTTTAGTAATTAAAAAATAAAAAAAAAATCATTATGTCTAAACTAATTATCCGATTTCAACGATTTAACTAGCGTTGGAATCTTGTTTTGACATAGATTCTTTGTTATTTTTTTCAATTGTAAAATTTTCATTTAGGTCGATTTTTTTTTGATTTTTTTATAACAAATTCGGAAATAATTGGCTTCTGCGCCAGCTATCGACTCAAAAAAAAAAACACATATACTCCAATCATTTTTCGAAATTATGCTGCTGAGAAAAAAAATGGCCCGCAGGTTCCAGACCACCGTAAGACGTCGCGTCACAAGCGCGTACAGCGTACACGGTTCGGAGCGTGAGCTGACACCGCGCGCGGCCACAAAAGGACGAATAACTTTTTGTCAACCTGCGGGCCATTTTTTTTCTCAGCAGCATAATTTCGAGAAATGATTGGAGTATATGTGTTTTTTTTCTCGAGTCGATAGCTGGCGCAGAAGGCAATTATTTCCGAATTTGGTATAAAAAAAAACAAAAAAAAATCGACCTAAATGAAAATAGGACAATTGAAAAAAATAACAAAGAATCTATGTCAAAACAAGATTCCAACGCTAGTTATATCGTTGGAATCGGATAATTAGTTCAGCCATAATGAATTTTTTTATTTTTTAATTATTAAAAACTTTGACTTTTAATATCATGAATATATCAATTGAAAATTTTTTTTTTACAAAATCCTTTAGGATTTGTGTTAGTGATGTAAAATACTATCAAAAAAATGTATCTACAAACAAAAACTAATTTTGACCTAATTCAGGTGGCCCGTTTGAGAAATTCTGACCCTTATATAATGATAAACATTATAAATTGCCTGCATGCCATAATGAAATAATTTCATGCATGTCACGTTGTTAGACATCAGTGATTGGCCCCATAGATAACAAAGCCCATTTCAATATTTACTGTGATTTGAACCAATCGGGTTTTAAATTGGGAGAAGGAGACTATAATAATATTTAAAATTGGTAAAAAGTCAGGTTAACCATTTGACAGATTTCAAATTTTATTTATTTATTTTTGAAAATCATCTAATTATCTACTTGAAATTGATAAAGCATACATAGTATTACACTCAAGATTATACAATGCATTCACGAGGTTGATTTGAGTGGATCATCCTCTAGTATAATAATATACTATAATTGTGATAAAATTTTAATCAAATAAAAGTTGTTAAAATGGCACTTCAAATTTATTTATACGCTAAAGAAGCATCGCTAGTACAGTGGCGGCTGGTGGATTTTGGGTATATCAATATCTCAGTCATTCGACATGGGACCCACACCAAATTTATAATAGTTTATAATGACATTAAATAGACAAGTTCGGAGCAAACAGAATTTAAATTGAAGTTTGCGAAAAAAAGTTAGTTTTTCGTGTCGCCTCACCCGCCTCCTGGCCCTTTATTTGAGATAATAAGTGGTGCAATTTATAATTTACTATAATTTATGGACAAATTTAAAATTTTATTAAAAAAATCCAAATATTACAGATTTTATACGATTTTAAATTTTTATTATTTATTTTATTAAAAACACAATTATTTACCATGATCACTTAGATAAAATACACACAATAACGTAACTATATAAGCATATAAGCCTTGAGTTTCTTAATCAATGATATAAGAAATAATAAATTGAAATCGAGTACCTGCTAAACCAAAGTTTTTTAGTTTTTACTTGCAACGCGAAACTCAAATAGTGAGCGATTTAGCTGTGCAATTAAACAAAATTTGTCAAGTAAGAATTCTACCTTCATCTCTTTTGTGAAAAAACTAATTATTTATTTAAAAATGATATGCAGATGTATTCTTAAATGTATTGTTGAGATTTCTTGAATTGTCAACAATCCTATCGAAGACCACCAGATGGCGCGCTTCTTTAGCATAAGATGAAAATCTACTAAAATATAAAGTTTTTCTTAAATATCCCAAAAATGAACCGTCCGACGAAAAACTAATATACCAAAATGTAAGGATTTAAAAGTGCTTCAAAATGAGGTATCCCCAACCCCTTTTCTATTTAAAAATTGTAGGGGTAACCATCACCCACGATTAGAGGTTGATGTGGGATAGAAAATATAAAAATAAATTGTCTGAACCGGGGTTGAAACTTTTTATTGGCCTACCCTGTATGTATGAACATAAACTTGAACTCATTTACATAATTTGTACTACTCTCTCTTCCTCTAAGTTAAACTCCCTCTAACTCGAACCGTTTAACATGTCAGATGACAAACCAAGGAAGTTGACTGTAATACCAAAACTGGACTTGACCTAAGCATACGAAAACTCAATTTTGTAAATTATCTATATTAAAATCGGACAAAAATTGTTCGCAAAACCGAAAAAATTGTCGAATTTTTACTAAAAACCGATTTTATTTCGTTAAAAATAGGGTTTCTAAAGGGACTAACTTTATTAACGTGCACGTATGTGTGTATCATTTATTTTTTTAGTTAAATTAGGACCTATAAGTCCTATACGCAATAGCGTCATGACCAACGGTTTTTTAGTTAGTTGTTTTAGTTATTTTTTGTTATTCTAAGTTTTTTTACAATAAAGGCTAGTTAGGCAAAACTATAGTTTACATTTTCCATAAATAACCATATATGGTTATTTATGGAAAATGTTGACCAGTACACGTGTTTAATGTTAGGATGTTGGGAAAACATTTTTGATTATACAAGGCGTTCCAAATGTAATAATATTTTATGTTGATGCAAAATTTAAGGAAAAAATTTTCAATTACTAATTTAAAAAAAAAAATATTTGGCGAAAAATAAGGTGACAAGTATATGATGATTAAAACTTGCTATTGCACTGTGTAATAATATATACATTTAAGGGAACGTTGTTTTTGCCAAAGGACCAAAAGTAAGAACTATCAACAATCATATTGTTGACGAAATTTTAAACAATGCTTGGTTTGTTGATACTACAACCTCTATCAATGAAAATATTAGGTTGAATGATGTACAATTTCTGGATAATGTTACAATTCAAGTAAGTAATTTTTATCAATAGATTAATGATTATTTTGATACTTTGTTTTTTTCATATAGGGATCTTTGAACAGTGAAAAATTGGATCAACTAGCCAAAACTTATTTAAGTAAATCAAGAAACCAAACAATTTTTGCCACTTATACTTTTGAAGATGAAGTACTTTTTGTAAAGGATTTAATTTCTCCAATCATTAATACAACTGGAAATATAAACGAAATAAACTTCTCTGCATTTTTGCAAACTGTTTTGTTAAATAACACTGATCAAATTTTTGAAACTCCTGTGTTTATAGAAAACTTTATAACCGGAGGTAAACAAACTTAACTATATTAGAATAGTACCTAATAAAAAAATATTTTATTTAGTTGTTAATGGAGAGTATAAAGTCAATGATTTGGATTTGGAAAGCCAAGTAATGAGATATGATGTGGAAAATATAGTAACAGGAAAGAAATCTTTTGAAAGTATGAAAGTAAATACTCTACACATTAAGGATCATTTAGAAGTACAAAAAATCGCATTGGCTAAATGGCTTAGAAATGTTTTGCAAAAAGAAGGAGCATACCAAGTCCAAGGAAACTATACATTTAATGTGCCACCTACTTTTGAAAGTGGAATAAGGTAAACAAACTTTTATAAATGTAGTGTATTTTTAACACATTTTTACAGTCTTAAAGGAACTTTGAATGATATAAACTTCAACAAAGACAACATCATGATGGCTGATATTCCACAAGAAATAACAGGTCAAAAAACATTTAAAAGTGATCCATTGGATCCAATCCATTTCAAATCAGTCAAAATAAAAAAAGGAGCGATAAACGGAGTTTTCTTCTCGGAACTTATGAGCAATGAAGCGCGCTTAGACAAAGATTCAACCTTTGAGAGTCCCATGAAGTTTCACAATAATATTACAGTGGATAATATTAATATAAATAAGCTTTATAACGGTGTTAATGTTACGGAGTTGCTAAAAAATATTTCCTCTTTGAATTCGTTAAATAACTTTGATGATAATTATTATGATCTAAAAATGATGGCGCAAAAAATACAAACATCACTGGAAAGTAAGTTTTAAATATCTATATACGAAGTATACACATATTTTTTTTTAGATCAAGCGTACTTTTTAAACTATTTTAAGCTTGTCATGACCCTAATTAAAACAAACCATATTATGGGAATGACTTTAGAAGATAATATTGATATAATGTTAACTTTTTCAAATAGAAGCAATATTTTGGAAGTTGGAAAATTTGTTTTAAATCCAGATGCTGTAACCATTTTACCACAAGGTATGTTCATATTCAAATTAAATCTAAGCTTTGGATGGGTTAATAGATTTGATTGTAAAGTTTGTAATAAAGGTTGTTTTTAACACTGCTAGAACTTTTATCAAGGCACCTACGTCCTTATTATGTCGTATCGAAAGCGAATTTAAATCGAATCGAATCAAATCATTCGACCCAGTGTTGACGAGACATATTTCTTTTTGAATTTCTTGTTAAAAATTATGCTGTTAAACCTTAGAATAAAGAACCAAGTATAAAACAGTTGTGTTTACATTTTTAGTAATTAAGTGATTAGATTTATTAAAATGACGACGATATTTTATATCTTGTTCAACACGCCCATTACGAATGACGAATCGAACTTGACGACTAGAAAATTGAATGAGTCGAACGACATCATTTGACATAATGTTAAATCTAAAACCATGTTGTCATTTTTGACAATAGTTTGACATTTGTGTTTAATAATATTGGACAAATTATTATGAATAGATAGATATACAGACTCTTGACAAGTCTAAAACAACGCTTTCCTATCTTTCCTAACTCATTGTATAGGTTTTTCCGAAGACTCAAGCTTACCTATAACAGATCGCCCTTTAATAAGGTCTCTGACCTAGTCAAAACCTTAAAAAATGTTCACTTCATGTATATTGCATTATTTTCAAAAAATAGATGGGTTGATACTAACAGAAAATTAACCTTAATTATTTTTATCAGTTACGTGGTGGGACTTTGATGTGTGGAGCATAGTACTTACATTAATAAAAAAATGAGTCCGACTTGTTCTATACTGTTGTCAATGAACGTAAATTAATTAAATTTATAGTTTCAAAACTTATTTTGAAAATCGTTCTTCAACTGCTCTAACGCATAGAAGATTACGTATATTTTTATGGTCCATGTACAGAGCTAAAGAAGGAAAACGAATTTTTGGGCATTCTACATTTATTAATTCTATAATAATATTAAATAAATGCCACTCAAGTTCTTCTTCTTCATAAATCTGAACACAGAACACTGTGTTCAGGGTAATGTCCTTTAGCTTACTTAAAAGCTATTTAGACATCACATTATGTAACATAACATAATTTATGTTTAAAAAAATTTAATGATGATCAAGTGTCTCAATCAAGAGAATCCGAGTTCAACTCATCCCATGGATATTTTCTCATTCAATATTAATATCTCTATTTTCTATCACTTTCACTTTTTTACAAACATTACAAATTACAATACAGGTAGGTACACTTAAAAATCATCCATATAATTCTTCTTGAAAATTAATTATTTTCACTTTTTCTTCCACACTTGTTTCTTTATTCATTTGTATTTTAAATACCTATATCTTTCTCTTGTCCAAATGAATCATTACACACATTAAGAAAAAATCATCCATATACTTCTTCAGTTCGTTTTCCATATAATCACATATAATAAATAATATAATACATTTTGTATTGATCAAACTCCATTTTATAGTTAAATTCCAACTATGCACCATATGGAAGATGGTATGATATTTATTTAAATATTTCACCCATCCATCGTGGAAATCATTCGTAAATCCATTAATCTATTGTGAATTTTGTATATTTGGCACTGATCAACGTATTGTTGTGCTGGAATTCCAATTTTGTCTCTCCAGGGTCGCAAAGTAAAATATTTTCATACTCTTTCATTTAGCGAAGTGTACTCTTGGAACAACAAACCCCAAATCGTCACTTAAGTTGTACATTCTAAATTCTAAATGCCACCTTACTTTTAGAGTTTGTTTGTAAAACAATGTGTCATGTCATGATTGGGAGGGCTCTCGCTCTTCCCCAAACATAAATTCTGTATTCGCCCCTTCAGCGGTGACATGAGTACTATCATAGACAAGGGATTGGTTGGGTGGGCGGGGGGTTAGTACTATTTTTTTTAGTACTATTTTTTTTTTAAATAAGGCGTTACCAACGTCACCGTGAAATGATAATATGGACGACATTGATCGGGTCAATCATAGAAAAAGAATATATGGTTCCATCAGGTTGGCGCCACGTGCCATACCTACTTCAAAATAAATTATTTACTAATTAGATTACTTCTGCAAAGTAGGGAAGTATCTCTTTTAATACAAATAATTTTTAACAAGAGTGTAAAAAAATATTTTTGATAACCGAAAAGTCACACTGGCCCAATAAACTTTTCAGATGCGTTGGTAAAAAGTCCACATACCTACCTAAAATCGAGTTTAAACATAATGTCAAACACACTTTACTATGTTATGTTATAATCTTGGCAAACAATAATTGAATCGGTAAGTTCAAGAACAGTACAAGTCCAAAATTTAAAATTTTGACAAATTATTTTATAAAATTATTTGTTTAGTTTAAAATGCATTTTTGTGAGATTGTTTCAACTATTGTACAATACATGGTTATTATATTTTATAAAATAGTTAAAATATTCTCAAAAAATGTATTTTAAACTAAAAAAATTATTTTATAAAATAACTTGTAAACAATTTAAATTTTGGACTTGTACTGTATTTGAATTCACCGATTCAATTGTTTTATACATTTATACTATTGTATATATATAATATAAAAAAACTCGTTATTTTGAAAATACGAATAATTAAGCCTGTCAATTGTATTTAAATGCATACATTGTTTGCGGGTATGCCCGTTATTGTCCCCTTAATGTAACTACACATCTTTTAAAATTACGTAAACCGCCAAAATTTAATAGTACCTATAAATGCATATTTAGCTTTGGCGCATGATTTAACCATTTTTCTTATTTTCGTGCATATTTGTGCATAATAAATGGTTTTAATAAAGTATTTACATACTCTTTTTATATTTTAGATGTGATTGTAATGGGGTCATATCCAAATGTCATTGTGAAAGTTAAATTGGGTAATAAAGACATGTTGTACTTTGAAAGAGAACTCAATAGGCATAATAACAAAGGTAAGTAACTTTTGAAAGAATAATTTGATAGTAAAGTTAAGTTAAGTTAAGTTTAATATTGAGTATAAGCCGTATTTTCAAGTAGTTTTAGCTTTATTTAATTACTTATTTTAACATATGTTATGTGGTGTGCGAGTAAAATTATTTACCAAGAAACAGCGATTTAAAGTTCAAGGAACGGAAAGCTATTTTCGACTAAAAATCGCAAATTTTCATTGCTGCTCTAAGAAACACGTATCCTGGATGCTTGTACTGCGGCATGGTGATTTTTATTGTCCGCCATAGGGTTTTAAAAAATAGGCCTTTAACAAATAAATGATTTTTTTTCATTTGGGAACTAGTGTTTTATGACAATTAATAAAACAAAATTCACTCGTATTTATTTATTTATATTTTATTTGCTACTTACAATAAATAACTTTTTTTGGCGTTAAAATAATTTACATATTTTATAATCATTTGAATTCGAAAAATTTTATACAAAAAGAAAACCATTTGTGTAATCCGTATCATTAATTAGGTTAGATTAAAAATTAAAAAATTAAAAAAAAAACAAATATAGTCAATCTTTAGGCTGCTTTCATGGCTTTTGTGTTTAATGTTACGTACATTGTTAGAATAGGATATAATAAAATAATTATGCCTATTTAGTAAACATACAAAAACTGAAAATTTCTTTAGTTACCCGCTTCAATATTTTACCCGCAAAAATTACGAAAATAGCCTGACCCTAGTGCTATCTACAAAACGCGGGAAGATGATCACATGACAATCAGCTGTGATCTAATTGGTCAGATGAGAAAATCGATATTGCGTCAAAAATACACATGTGTTAAGCTGGATTTAAAGTTTTAAAGGTAGAGGCAGAGATAACCCCAGGGTTATCTCTGGTAGAGGTAGCGGTAGAAGGTAAGAGGTAGCGGTAGCCGAGTTCCGCATTAAATATTATATGGAACAATTTATATTTGTTAGAGGTAGCGGTAAGGGAAGTAGAGGCAAGAACGCAGCGGCAAGAGATGACTATCTTTCATCTTTTCTTACTTCAACCGCTACTTTCAGTTGGCAGCCTTGCCTTGTAAGTTTAGTGTCTATGCAACTTGCATAATGCAAGGGGCAACCAGACTTAGTAAATTGTCAAAAATGGGCACCTTAATTCGTGTGTATTTAAAGAACTGGTCTTCATCAGTCAGTTTAATTTTTTTTAAATACTGGAAATGGCTTTTCTTAGCTTGTTCCCGATTATAGAATCGTTTTATAGCGAGGTACTTAACGACCCCCATAAGGTACGTATAATTTAATAAACAAAATTACAATCTGCATTTAAGTATGCATGGGCCGCCAATACCGCTACCGGTACATTCTAAACTATAAATTGCAGAATGTGATACTGCTCCCGCTTCCGCTCCCGCTACCGCTACCTTTTGAACCATAAATCCAACTTTATTTGTTTTTAAAACAATTGTTTGGAACAATGGTTAGATGAATATATGCGTATATAAAAAGAAACTATTAAAATAAAACGTACAGTGGCAACAATGAAACCAAGTTAAGCGCATCGTATGTAAAAAATTATAATTTTTATAATTATTACACCTTACATAATACATATTATGTAATAATATAGGGAATTATGCAATAAACTTGGCTTATAACAACACAGAAAAAAGTGCAATAAATACTTTTCTTCGTGTTTTATTTTACAATAACCAAATACAACATCTCTGAATAATTCTGGATATTTATTTTTATCGCTATAGATACCTACCATTTTTCTGCTAAAAGTCTCTCTTTCAGAAAACTCAAATCTTGCTATTAGTCTTACTAAGACTTATTTTTACTCCACAAGTGCATGATTAGGCTATTTTAATTAAATCAAAAATATTTAACCAAAAATCATTTTAGGTGCTTCCCACATTGGAGAAATTGTTAATATCAAACCAAACAATACTGTGGACATATTATATAAATTCATAAACAACGGTTCTCAATTTGTGTCATCATTTCATTTAACATCAATAAATGAAGATTGTCTAGCTTTCATCGATCTAAGTGAAACAAATATACAAATAGCATGTGAAAATAATGGAAACATCCATTACCTGCCTCCTTTAAGCCACAGAACTGCACACGAGGTATTTAATTAATATTATTAAATTACAAGAACATGATGTAATAGTACAAAACAATTTGAAATATGTTTTGAATTATTCCTTCAGTTATTATATACTATAGTATTTTTATATTTTTAGCTGCAATTTATGAATATCCTAAACGAAACGTACATGGTGGTTATTTCTCACGAGTTTGAACATAAAGCATCTTGCACAGAAATTTTAAAATTCGATCCCACTTCATTGGAGTTTAAATCGCAACAAATTATATACGAAGATAAACCCAAAGCAGTTCACTCGATACTTTATAATGGACAACATTATTTAGCGGTCGTTTCAGGCCATATGCAAAACACTATGATATTTGGAGAGGTCACAATAAGAAGGTAATATAAAATTACAAAAAATGTGGTAGTTCTAGATTTGCTAAATGATTTGGCTAAATGATTTAGCCATCATATTATGATTATATACATCGTCGGAAATTCACTTTTTTCCCTAGTAGCAACTCCGGAAAAGTCTTGGCCCAGCATGGGTCAAGATACTTTGGACAGATTTTTGCTCAAGAATTGTACAAGAATTGTTCCAGATTCTTGGCCAAGATTATTGGGCAAGGCTTGAGCCAGACTGTGGCCAGAATTTGACAAGAATTTGGCCAGAAATCTGAGGCCATCTATTGCTAAACTTTGGGACTATCCTATAGAGTAGAGGTTCTCATTCTACAGTAGTATCATTCACAATACTGTATACTAGTCGAGAAGTGAGTTCTCTGTAGGAAATGAGTATAGTTTTTTTGTTTATGTGAAAATACGAATAAGAGCTTATTGGATTCGTCTTCTAGCTGAAAAAAAAATTGATTTTTTGAAAAATAAAAATTATTTCTAAAAATCAAAAATTAAAAAAAAAGTGTGTGTCAGCTCTGACGCATAACTAGAGTTTGCTCTTTATGAACATGAAAGATTATAAAATACATGTTTATTTTTACGGGCACCTAGTTTTTTTTTAACATAGAAAATTAAAAACTTAAACTCTTTCAAAATTTGTTTCGTTTTTAATTCTATTGTTTACCAGATTTATGGATAAAAACCGAATTTACTGGAAAGAAATCGTGGAAAATTAATGTTTTTAGTAACATTCTTAACTTTTGAAGTTCAACAAAATTTTGTATTGACCAAAAATCTTGAATTGAAAGTTCCTATTTAACGTGTAATCGTGTAAAAATTCTTGGCCAAGAATCTGGTCAAATTCTGGTCACAGACTTGTCCAAGTCTGCCACCAGTCTGGATAAAGAATTTTGATCAAGAGTCTTGGTCAAGAATTGTCCAATTCTTTACAAAGTGCTTCTCCAAGTATCTTGACAAAGAATCTTGTCCAATTCCATTGCTACTAGGGTTGTCGATATCAGTGTACAGATATTTAAATATAATAAATTTGCAAATTTTTACAGATATGGAGGTAGGTACTATAGTTAGTACCTACCTCCATATCTGTAAAAATTTGCAAATTTTTAGGAAAATTGACTTTTGCATTTTTTCGTATTATTCTTTGAATAAAATGAGAAAAATGCAAGTAAATTTTTCTGAAAATTTCCCAATTTATTTTTCTGAAAAAAAAATCTGTTTTAATAATAATCAATTTTTTCGGAAATTTTAAAACCCTAAATCTTAGATAGTTTTTTGTTGGACTGAGAAAGACTATTTAAGATTTGGGGGGCCTTCTGGACCGGGGCCCGGGGCGGACCGACCCTACCGCCCCCGCCCCTTCCCTTAGTTCACCAATCTTGTTATGCATAAATTGTTTTAATAAAAGTTTTGCCTATAATGACTAAGCTATTATAAAAAAAATGTATACCTACCTTCCTTAAACAATTATCAAAGTCGTGCGCATTAATTAAGTATGCATTATTGTAGATTTAACTTCACTTCTAAACAATTTGAAGTATGGCAAGTTCTCAATCTAAAGGCCCCACACAAAGTTCAGTTCAGTATACTTCCTTCCAACGAGTTGGTACTCTACGTTTTAACCGAAAGTCCTACAGAACCTTTTATCGTTTACATTTACAATGGAATATCTGGTTTTACCGAAATTATCAAGGGTTCCACCGTACCAAAAGCAAGATACTTAAAAACATTTACGTTAAATAACAACGTATTTGTGGCGACTGTACACAAAGATGAAATAAGCATTATGCAGGGCATATTTAAGGGAAATAAATTGCTATTGTAGGCAGTTTTTATGTACAAAGTGTTATTTGTTAATTTTTGTTTATTTGTTATAAAATATAACATGTTAAAGTCATTTTAATTGTTTTTCTAACCTTTTTATTCTCCTGTCCATTTATTTATTTAAAACTTCTGTAATCTGCTCTGTGGATGTCAAATTGACTGTTTTGTGGCAGCCACATGTCAACCAGAGATAAAGATGTCAACTTAGCAACCATAGAAAAAGGATTTAGCAAAGTGAAGAAATGACAAAACCAAAGGAACACTGCAGTGGGATTCTGTAAGCACATAGAGCATAGAAATAAATTTCTTTCTATATTTATTACCAAATCGCTATTCTGTAAGTCACTTCGTTCGTTTCCGTGAACCATCGTTCGTAGCCGAACGGATAGAAATAGAAAGAGGGTTTTTGACATTTCCAACATAAATAAGCAACTTTTAAAGGTTATATTTTAATGCTTTCGGTATATGTAAACAAAACAAAGTATGTTAGTATATAAAAAAGTATGTAGGTAAGTATATATATATATATATATATATATATATATATATATATATATATTATATATAACTATTCAATTCAATTATTTATTTCGTGTTAAGTTACACATGTCAATAGATATAAAACTTACATAAATAGTTATTAAATGTAAAAAAACATCACATAATTTTTTTTCAGCAGTGGGATTCTTTGTAAAAACCTGGAACACTGCTGACAACTTAGGAATAACACTGTGTTATTCAAATTGGCTGTTTTGTGGCTGTCAACTTGACAACATGATATTTCCATAAGTAGCTGACAACTAGTATACCTACTAATTTACCAACTTAAACTATCACATATATAAGCTTATAAGCTGTCATTTTACCAATGTTTAGAAAACTAGTAATTACCTACTTACTAGCTTTAAACATTAGAAAAATGACAACTACTGTAGACTTTTTTAAACGACATTTGTATTATAACATTTTTTGTATGGGTTTTTTCATTATGATTATATATTTTTTATATTTTCTTTAGAAAGTATTCTATTGGATTTATATTGTTTTTAGGCAAAATATTAATGTTGGTAAAAATTAATTTTCCGTTGACTGGCAACACTGAACAACAACAACGTAACCTCAAACAAAATGTCAAAATTTTAGTAAGTGAAAGAGAATAAAACGTATTCTCTTCACATAAATTCATTTCTTTTGGGTATGTTCAACCAAATTCAATGTAGTGTTTTGAAATTGTCGTCTACAGTTAAACATCTTCACACTTGCAGGTAAGTAAATAAACAATTAAATTAATTATGTCATCAAAAGTAAAATTTCAGCCAGTTATCAAATCACTATGATACCTTAAAAATATCCAAAAACTGTTCATCGAAGGAAATTAAAGAGTCTTATATTAAATTAAGTAAAGAAGTAAGTAAATACCCCCCCTAAGGGGGTACCTTAGAATGACAAGGTTCTTATCTGCAAAATTTAATATTGTAGATAAGGCATTTTCGTTTAACAGTGCAGCTGCACCTAGAACCTTGTGATTCCAAGGTACCGACTTATATTAGTCTCCAATAAAAAAGTTTGATATTACTATTGAATGAAGAATTCACATTATTTATCTAAAATTTGTAATTGTACTTAAATTATTATTATATTGCAGAATCATCCAGATTTAAACAAAAATACAAATGCACACACTGAGTTTTTAAAAATTAAAGAAGCTTATAATGTTTTGATCAAACCATCATCAAGACGAAATTATGATTTGAATATAAATTACAATGAACAGGAACCTGCACACCAAACAAGATATACAACACAAGAGTAAACTATACTTACTTATTTATTACAGGGTGTTTAAAAGAATATGTGTACAACAAAAAATTGTACCATAATAACTTTATAGCCATCTATCAGCTAAACAAAGTTAAGATGGGCTAGATTGACTTATTTAAAGCCAAGAAAAAAATATTTTGTTTTACATGTATTTTTGGACAGCCTGTATGTGTATAAATTAGTTAATAAATATTTATTTTTTAGTCCCTGGAAAGACCCTATATTTTATGCCAATAGAGATCGCACTAAAGATTCTTATTACGAATCAGAACCTTATTATGGGATTAAAGGTGTTGGAAGGGTTTCAAACTATTTAGTTGCCTATATGTGTGTTTTATTGACGGCCGTTATAGTAGGACTTCAAGTTTTTACCATTAGGTAAAATTAAAATATTTTTAATTTTTCTCTTTTTTTGCTTCTGATTTTTAATTTTGTTTAATGCTATAAAATAACAGGCTTGCATATTATAGGAGATTATTTGAAGAAGATGCAAGATTTATAAAAGCACAACGAGAAAGAACAATTTGGGTTAAACGTCTTCATGATGAAAAAGTAAAAATTGACGCGTTAAGAATTTTAAAAAATAAAAATGATTCTGATAAAAATGAAACCTAGAAAAATAGATAAAAATTAAAAAAGTACATTTAAAGGTATAGTTCAAGTTTAAAGCTTGATTTTTAGTATATTTTTATACTATAAGATATTATAAAAAGACTTCAAGGTATTGGCCTAAACTTAATGAAAATAGCACCAAATCGGCTAAAGCATCATTTTTACATTTGGTTGGCTACAGTTTGACAGAATATTCATGCACTTGTCATTTTTCCTGTAAAATTTAAAAAAAAATATTTATCCGAAATCGGCAGTAAAGTAGTCAACAATCGGCAGTAAAGTAACAGAAATCGGCAGTAAATTAAATCTTTACTGCCGATTTAATATGAGTATTGTATGCAACCCATTATACATTTTAAGATTAAATTTAGATTATTAAAAAAAGCCCGGTCGCGGAGGTCAATTGGACCCTTTCATAAAATGTTGTTTAATAAAAATAATAAGTTAATTTTATTAATTAGATTAAAAATCGCCGCGGCGGGCACATATATAATAACCGTCGCAACAAACAGTATACGTAGACACTTCCTACATTCAAATGAGATTTGATTTAATCATCAATATTAATTATTAGTTTTTATCTGGACTGCGGCAACGTTGCAAATTTAGGGTTTTGGTTGGTAAATACAGTTGTCAAGTTGGTCGCATTGATTAAAACAAACTAAGCTAGTTATAAGTCTAATTGTGGTTATGTATAAATTATTGTACATGAGTACATTAGATGCACAACTCTGTATTTGCAGGATAAGTGATTTTAAGAAAAACACGAAAAACCGCTCATAAGGTCATATTTGAAAAAAAAAATACAAAAATCGTATAGACGTGCTTTTGCATCATTTCTTATTCAAAAAGTAAAAAAAAGTCCTTTAAAATTAAGTAGTTTAGTAAATAATTGAAATCAAAAGAAAACTATAAGCAACCATCTGGTTTCCAGGTAAAAAAAATATTAAAGTTGCTAAGATGTTATCGTTCATTATCGCTAAACAATTCTACAGAAAAAAAATCATCGATTTTTTATTTTTATGTTATAAGATATGCGTTAATTAAATACCTTTCCCATCCAGTCCAAAATTAATAATTTTTTTCTCTCTATGCACTTATGACTAGAGAAGTGCCATATAAATTTCTTTCACCAAACAGTTTTGCAATAATTAGTTATTTTTTATAATTGAATCAGTGAGAGTAAAATCAATTTAAAAAATTAATAGGTATGCATTTTTTAAAAAAGATAAATTATTTTAAAAAATATGATTATTATATTTTATAAAGTACCTACTTAAAATATTCTCAAAAAAAAAAACCTTATTTTGAACTATAAAACTGATTTTATAAAATAATTTCTCAAAATTTTAAAATTTTGACTTTGGACTTTTATATTTTTCTTATCTTTGTTTTCTGCTCTTCCCGAGACTTTTGCTGCATTCAACAAACTTCATGTTTTCTGTTGCTTTATTTTTGCATCCGATACTTTTTTAATAATTTTTCCTTGTAATGCACTTCATTCGTTTCACATGACATAATAAATCGATTTTACAACTCATTTTATAACACTGCATATAGAAATGTCACCGCAACTCTCAAAAGCAAAAAGCGTTACCATACAAACCAAATATCAACAACTTGCAAGGTTGTCGCGTTTTTTACGTTTTTTAATTCACGTTCCTGTGTTAGATTATATAGGGTAAAAATTTTAAAAATAACAGCACTTGATATTTCTTTAACTGATGAAACTATAAAAATTTTGTGAAACACGTCAATTTACATATCAAGGGGGACAACTGTTGAGGTATTTGTTGTTGTATTACATTTAACCCCATGACCTCCAGAGCACCTACCCCTAAAATTTTAAATAACAACCCCTATTTATTTGACAATTTTTGAAATCCTTATGTAATTCTAGATAAGTTACATTTCCTTTTAATTTATTTTTACTAAAATTGAAGTGGATTACCTCACGAATGTATGGAGTGTATTAAATTTTAATTCATAAATTAAAATAATGCAAGTTTTCAAACGGTTGCGTTTACTGTGCCGTCACAGCCATTCATTGTAAAACTACGTTTACAATGCTCACCTTTATTTACATTTTTTTTATTAAAAACAAATTTTTGTGCATTTTTTTTATTTTGTTATATCTGCTATAATTTAAAGAAATACCAAGTGCTGTTCGTTTTAAAATTGTCACCCTGTATATGTATAGTGCCTTTTGTATTAAAATAAAAAAAATAATTATAAAATTATTTGGAAAATTGGCCGTTTTAAATCAAATGTAATAAATGACAATATGGAGAAAGGCAGTAACTGCTAAACAAGAAATCTGTGGAAAATTGGCATAAACTAAATTTTTATAAAAAGCAGTAGATATTTAAATGATTTATTTAACTTATAAGATAGTTTACTGCATTTCTTAGTTGAATTAAGATACAAAATATCCATAGCTTTATCATAGCACAAGAAAACGCATTAAGAATTTTTTAGTAGTTACTGCCTTTCTCCATAGTAGGGCAGTATAGTAGGACAAATTTGCACAATAACAAATTCAAAAAAATGATGGGACAAATTCGAACAGCAGTTAACAATAAAAAAATATTGGGAAAAATTCTCATACAAAAAAATTTTCCAAAATTTATAATATTTTCAGATTTTAAAATTATCAAAATTATGGTATTTTTATCAAACCTCTTCGATAAATTTATCGTTTTTCCTTCTTTATTATTTATATATTTTTTATCTAGGTATTTAATTTTTGTTTTTTTTTATTTACTTTAGATATTCATTTACATTTAGACGCGATGAATTAGATAAAAAATCTGAAGAAGCTGAAGAAATGTTAAGACAAGTCAGGGAAAAAGCTGAGAAGAATACCATTCAAATGCAAGTTGAATATTTACGCGCAAGAAGTAATGCTGGAAAATAATGATTTTTAAAATTAGCTTTGTAAAATTTAATTTCTAAATATATTTATTTTATTTTACCAAAGATGCATTTTTATTTTTAGTAGGGATGCACCGGAATTCCGGCGGTACCACTAAATCCGGCCGATCCGGCCAGTTGGCCGGAACTACCGTTCCGGCCGGATCGCTTTCCGGCCGGAATTTTCGGAACTTTTTGGAAATGTTTAAGTTTAAAATTTTTAATATAATTTAAATTCAAATATATGCAAAAATAAAGAAAATTATTTTAAGGTTTTTTTTAATTGGTGCCTACTCACCTATTGTTAAGTCGTTAATTAATCACAAATATTTTTTTTTTGAACAAAATATATTTTCTTTCCAAAAATTACAAAACATAAATAATAACTGAAAACATTATTAACAGCCAAATTCCAACAGCAAAAATAACAGCCAAATTCCCTGTCATGGATAAGTCTTATAAGAGTCAACAGTGAAGGGTCTGCGTGTTTCCTTGCCTATGATAAACCGGCGGCTGTGGTTCCCCGACTTCTTTTTAATTTTTTTATTATTGGCAGGTGGCTGCTATTCTCCAATTGAATGAGTAGAATTGTTTTAATTTTGTTAACGCTAATTAAAAATTAATATTTAAATAAACTGTAATTTCTGTCTAGGTAAATTTAATAGTAATAAACACTTTGCATACTGTGGCTAGTTTAAAAAAAAGTAAAAATAAATCAGCCTCAATATTTTCAATGTTTTACGTATAAAAATAGGCATGAACATACATTTTAAATTTAGGTCCCGATCCGGCCGGAATTCCGGCGATCCGGTCCGGCCAGCGGCCGAAATTCCGGTTCCGGCCGGATCGGCAAAATACCCGATCCGGTGCATCCCTAATTTTTAGTATACAATTTAACAAAACCTAATAAGGAAAGTTATTATACGAGGGTGGGTCAAGAAGTCCTTACAAAATGAAAAGAAAATTTAAATTTTAAATCATATCCCAGAAAACTCTAGGTATTTATCCCCCCCTGGCCCCCTATACGGCACGCTACCGTTCAATTCGTAGGTAGCCAGGCACGCTGCTAAATAGTCAAAACTTCTTCAATGTTTGTAACTTACTGGCAATGTCTTTTCCTCTTTCTATCTAATCCACAAAAAAGTCGTTCTGAAAAAAACTTGGAATTGACCGTCTGAAAGATGAATTCCGCGTTTTGCTCACAAAGGAGAATAAACGCAATCCTGGATACAAGCAGTTTCGATGGCAAACATTCCTTATTTGCCTTTTTAAATTGTTGCCGCCATGTGTTCACTAGATGTGTCCCCTCAGTGACATTTTTCTGTATCAAACATGAAGAAGTGGGTCGCCAGATTTACGTCGAACAAGGAGGTCAATTCTGAAACATATGTCTCTTGAGGGTCTTCTGGAATCATTTAACGGATAGAAACCGTTAAGAAAAGCTGGGCGAGTTTATCGATCTAAAGGAAGACTATTTTGAAAAATAAAAATAATTCAACGTGAAATTATATGTTTTTTAATTTACCCTTTTTATGGTTTAATTGGTATACTTATCTTTATTCTTTGTCTATCGATATTAAATCATTTCAATAAGGACCGGATTTTTTAGTTTAATCCCCTTTAATAGCTATTATATCTAGATAAAAAGGTACGTACGAAAACAAATTGCTACAGTTTTTTTAATATACAAAGTGATTCAGTTTTAATTTACGATAATTGGAGAAAATGTTTCTTCCGTTATTCTGATTCAAAAAAATATTACATATAGAACCTTCGCTTCATAAGAAAGATACAGGGTGTTAAAGGTTTTTTTGGTCATATTCTTCATCAAAATGATAAAAACCACATTTTAATATATTAATATTAAGTAGGTACCTTTCATATAAAAGGCATATTTTTAAAGAAAAAAAAAATTGTAAGTTGACCATTTAAAACTTTTTTCAGAATTTTTTGAACTCTTGGTTCAATTTCGAACAAGACTAGTTTTTATAGTTCATAAATTAAGAGCTTATAAGGTACGAGATATCTAGGTTTTTTACATGACCATGACATTTTTGGAAAAAAATTTTTAGTGGCATTTGCATTTGCTGATGCAGCATTCTGAGAAAATCAAATACGCTTTTCGAAAAGAAAAAAAACAGTAGGTATTAGATCAAACACATCGTTGGTTCTGCGAGTTCTGATTGAGAAGACTAGGTGAACCAAAACCAAAATCGCAGGGATGACACTTTCAATGTTGACCAAAACATAAGTAGGAGACGCAGAACCTTGAAGTATTTTTCGTTTGAAGACAAAATTTTTAGTAATTACCCGCAATGAGTTAATCCTCGGCCATTCCAAGCCCATGGACAGGACACATCAGAAACATGTCTAAATATATTCTTGTTACTTCCTTAAGTTTACTTATTTTTTCTACGAGTATTTATGAGAAGTATTAGCCAAATTTGGCTAATACTTCTCATAAATACTCGTAGAAAAAATAAGGAAGTAACAAGAATATATTTAGACATGTTTCTGATGTGTCCTGTCCATGGGCTTGGAATGGTCGTCCTCATAACATAAGATGCTTGTAATATACTAAAGCAGAACCAAGGATAGATAGATGCCGTGAATGTAATAATTCGACGTTGCCATAAATGTGTTAAAACCGAGGGTCACACTTTGAGCATCTTCTTTTAATAAATTAGGATTTAGTATACTAAATCCTATAGACTAAAATATTTTTTATTCAAACTTTTTTAAAAACATAAGCATTTATGTTGTTATTAACGTTTGTATTAACGTTTTTCCATGGTCAACTCGAAATTTTCATTTTTGCTCAATCTCGCCCTGACACGCCTATGAAAAACCTCGATATCTCGGTATATAAGGCCTTAATTTAAGAACCATTAAAACTATTTTAAATTGAACTAGTTCAATTTAAAATAGTTTTAATGGTAATCTTAGCTAAGATTCCAAAAAATTCTAAAAACTGTTTGAAATATTCAGTGGCGTAGTTTTTTCTCGAAAATATTTTTATTTGGCCCATTGCCACCACTGGTGAGTAAAATTTCAACAATATTTTAAAAGTATGCCTTTTATATAAAAGTTATTGTTTATTTCATTATTTTTATGGAAAATGTTAAAAAAAAGTTTTTTCTTTGTCAACTTTGCCACCCTGTATCTTTCTTATGAAGCGAGTGAAGGTCCTATATGTGATATTTTCCTGAATCAGGATAACAAAAGGAACATTTTACCCGAGTATCTTAGGTTCATCTTTACAGAGGATACCCGGTTAGGTACTACGTATTTTAAGATAATAATTAAAATTATATTAACTAAAAAAATATTTTTTTCTACTCCCACCTTTAAAACGCCCATTATAATTATAATTATAATTATCGTACATGTTTCCATGACACTTAGGGGGCATCCATTAATTACGTGAGGTGCTTAGGGGGGGAGGGGGTCGAGCCAAACCTCACTCAATCTCATGTGGGGGGAGGGTCGTCTCGGCAAATATCACGTAATTTTTTCTTTTCGAATGAAACTGTAAAATTGCGTGAAAACTGGGTTAAATTAAGTAAACAATTAGAAGAAAATTGTTTTTTTTTAATAAATCTAATGAAATCAAGTCAACAAATCGCCAAAATTGCCTCACGTAATTAATGGATGACTCGGTAACTAAAACGCGATAATATCGCGTTTTAGTTACCGACTGAAATTAGTTTTAAGTCAGTTGAAAGTTGTCAAATGTTATACAATCGTTAAAATAAAGGGCCCTTCTTGTAAAATAATACTATGTAAATATAAAAATACAAAAGTATTTGAAAAGTTTATAATCAGTTATACTCACCTTTTGATTTTGTCGGCAGTAATCTAGATTTAACTTATTTTGAGTGGAGATTCCACCGTGGAGTGCTTATAAAACATGAATTATCTTTACTTTCACTGTAAAAAAATTTTTTTTATCGGATTAAGTTAGCCAATTTTTAAGGGATAAATTTCGATTTACTCGTAAAAATTTGACATTTGACATTCCACACAGAACACAAGTTAGAATGGTTACTCTATTGTTTTATAGATGTTGCTCTATACAAATATTTAATTTAACCATTGTTTGATAATAATTTGTCGTAGAAAAAGTATGGTATGCAACTCGTTTATAAACTTTTCAAGACAATCATTTAGTTAAGCACCCGCTCGCAAGCTCGCTCGTGCCTAAAATGACGTTTATCAAACTTGATACATAATATATATTAGTATATACTATTAAATAATAGTTTTTGGTATTTAAAATTAAATTTGATTATTTGATTATTTTATTCTTATCTTTAAAACTAGCCGTAAAAAAATGCTTAAAATGATCTATCCTATCACGTATTGAGTGTAGTGTTAGTGCGCCATTTTCAGAACACTCAGTATAATGTATTTTATACTTAGGCCAGCTAATAGTAAAAAAGCTATAATATAGCAAAATTTTCCATAAAATCCGGTCTGTTTGCCTATTAATTTACCCCCTTTAATATTTTCATAGCGTTAATCAGATAAAAATAATTTATCCATTTTGCACTCAATATTCTGTTACAAATACATACGTATTCTCAATTTCAAATACTAAGGTCTGAAATATAATTTGCACAGCGTCTGCACATGCGCGTTCCATTGGGGGAAAGAAAATTATTTCAAATTATAGTGAATCAGACTTTTGGCACCCGCAAAAATGTTTAATAGAAAGAAAGTATTTTATTTATTTAGTTTAATTGTTGTTTATATGTTTTGTGATTATGTTAGTGCGGCATCTAAAGAAGAGGAATTGCAACAAAAAGTTATAAAACTGTAAGTTTGAAAATATTAAATAATATGGTAATTTTGATTAACTACCAGCAATAAATAGATACAAAAATAATAAAAAAGTTTCATTACATTCGGAAAATGGAAATTCTATATTGAAATTTTTTCTGAAATAAATCTTTTTAATTTACATATTAGTTCAGAAGTAGGTAGTTTAAAATTTGTATATAAAATATTTAATTAAATAAATTATTTGTTTAGGCTTTTTGGTTTAAATATTTGTTTTATATTTTAATATTACTTTTAAATAAATCTTTGTTCAGAATTATTTTGGTCAGTGGTCCAGAATCTGTTTGGCGCCGAACTGTCTCTTTTAATATCGATTTTGAATCGTAGGCGCCAGCGTAACTGTTTGAATGTCTTAATTCTAAAGAAAAGAATTACGTTTCAATAATTATTTGTTTAACATTGATTGACAGTTCCAATTATCTGAAGTTACCAATTACCAATTGGTCAAGTAAAGAAAATTTAATTTGTATTGTCAAGTTTATAAAATATTTTTATTTACTATTATTATTATTAAAGTGAATCCATTGTTTGCTATAAATCCCTAAATGTAACCACAAATCTCTCGAAATTACGCAAACCACCAAAATTGTATAGTGCATATAATAGCATAATTTGACAATTTTTCTATTTCTCGTCTATATTTCTGGATTGTGGTGTATATTTTTAAAATACCCCACTTCTTATGCTAGAAAATGGCTAAGAAAACACATCTCTAGAACTTACTCCATTTCACTGACAATATTATCCTTGACCGAGACAGCAGACGAACGCCAAATCTAATTTTAATAATAATAATAATAATAATAATAATAATAATAATAATAATAATAATATGTATTTATTGCCCAAAAGTTTTTTACAATACAAGCCATTCGTATTACAATTTTAAAGATACAAAAACAACATTAAATAATGTAAACTAGTGTAAATATAAATAAATAAATGAATGGATACATGAACTGTATTAAACATGTAAATAAACAAAAAGTGTAAATATTAAATAAATATATATACAATGTGTATACCAGTGGCGGCTCGTCAGGGTAGGCCTCTGAGGCCGCGCCTCACCCTTAAAATGAAGGAACGAACGACTTTTTGTATTTATATTTTTGCCTATTACAAGTGTATTTTTACAACAGTTCTACCCAATAAAAAGTAAAAAACCAATCAATAATATTAAGCGTAAATAAAAATCCAGGCGCAAAGCGCGTCGAGTCGCTTGTTGTATGTATCTTGGCTTGGACAGAGGCGAAATTTTCACAGCCTCGGAAGATCCCATTTACGTCTTGAAAGCGAAAATGACTCACCAACAAAAATATCGCCGTAAGTTCGCGAATAAACACCGTACATGAGGCGAAATTAAGTTAGCTTGGTTTGTTCTGATTGGTCGTTCGTTTATGGTGGGATGCCAGCGGAGACAAAGAAGGTTGCCAGTCTTATCTTAGCGCTTGTAGAGCATGTTATTGTTTTGATTCAGATTAAATTATTTAAAACTTTTGGCTGATCTTTTATAGTTTTTGTCTCGATTAGTAAAATTTCTTATTTAATTATTGTAGGGAACACACTAAGGTAAATTTAGCAGTTTTTATTAAGCAAATTTTATATTTTGAAATAATAGATTGCATAATTCTTCAATTAGAGACGCGGTTTGAAAATTTAGAATTACTTTTAAATCTCACTGCAGACCAACAATTTTACGACCAAATAATAGATACATTTTCAATCTTAAAAGATAGACGTATAGTATTTTATATTTTTTAATACTTAGGTAGGGGTCGACTTTTTAGTTTTATTTTTATTTTTTGATTAATTTATTTATTTTTAACTTTTTTAAGTTTAAGATTAAAACTAGTCTTTGATGTGATATTTTGTTTGTTTTGTTTTTTAGAGTTTATTTTTTGGTTTAGTAGTGCTATCGGCTCCATTTTAAAAAAGGTCAACGCGTCGGAGAATAATACCTCCCGGGTGACGTGGAAATTTATTCGTATTTAGACAAAATTTACCTTATGTAGCCTCACCCTCCTGTACACCCACGAGCCGCCACTGGTGTATACAATTAAATACAATTAAAAACATTTCAATATATTCCAAAGTATATCACAAAGATTTGTAATTTTATTAAAAGTTCTGGACATGTTATAAATTGGGGACCTTATTAAAATATTAGTACTGTCCTAATAAATCAACTTAGTCCACGGGATTAACTTAAATAAAAATAAAATGCAAATTTTTCCTTCTAACACTTAAAGATATAATATTACTATCTAGGTGACCATATAACGTACGTAAGCGTACTCCAATTTTCTAGGTACCTTTTTATTAAACATTGTATAAAGATTCCCATTTAAAATACACGTAAACTTTGATTTTTTTTAAATATTTAAATCTCAGCCGCATTTTATGCTATTGGATTGTTCAAAAAGGGGATTTATTCGGAATCAAAAGTTCTACATAAATGCTTTATGTGCCATAGCTGTAATCTGCACCTGTAGGATAGTACGGGTCACTAAATCTAATTTTGGTAAAAAATTCTCATATTTTTGAAGATATTTCAAAAGGACAAACTTCTTTCTACAGTCGGGTGATTAGAGAAAAAAAAGAACTAAAACAATCAAGCATAATTATTAATAAAATAACATGTATGTAATACACCTTGTTATATCAATTTTTGGGTTAGATTTATCTTTTCTTTTTAAAGTTTTGTTATTAATAATTATGCTTTATTGTTTTATTTATTTATTTTTCTTTAATCACACGACTGTAGAAAAAACATAATTACATGAAATTGTACTGATAAACAATTGAAAATCATCATTTATAAAAAGTTTGGTACGAAAATCCTGAAAAATTTCATACAATATCAATGTAAACGCTTTATATCTCAACAAATATTAATCTTAGCGACTCAACTGATAAGACCTTTTTTTAAAGAAAATTAAATTTTCTACAAGTTTACAAGCAGCTCCATGACTAAATTTAAAGGAGTTAAAAAAAGACAGTAATATTTTTTTACAAATTTTATTATTTAGACCATAACTTAATGAAACTTGATGTCACAATGTATAAAAACAAACATTATTTTTTAAGTTTCACATCAATATTTTAATTTGACAATTGTTTCGCCAACTCAGTAGGTTTTTCAAAATGATTTTATACTTAATCTAATAATATAATTTATATAACAAAATTCTTTAAGGTAATTGGTTTTTTAGTATGAGAATTTGCCTGAAGAAGATTTAAATGTTGTAATAAATCAGTTATGGGAAATTTATATCTTATATAATATAAAATAAATTTAACAACGGAGGATTGTTTCTTCTAATTTAATCATTTAGGATAATATCAGATATTTATTTATAAATTTCTAAAGATTCTAGTAAATTTAATTTAATTTTAAAATTATTATTAAATGGTAAGCATAAGTTTAGTCTGTTTTTAAATTAATAAAGAATTTTATTTAATTCTACCAATTTATTTCCTAGTGTGCCACCGCTAAAAAGGATTAATATAATAGCCTTTTGAATTAAATTAATACTAACCCATTTATTAAAACAGATATATTAAATACCTTTTAATTTCTTATAGAATTTTGTTTAAAACAAAATTACTTCCAATTCAACGATAAAATACACATTTGTCATAATCGATTAATAATTATTATGGGTAATTCACTTAGTCCATTACTAGCGGATATTTTTGTAAATCACTTAAAAATAACCATACACAATTTCAAATATTAAAAAATTCTTATATATGTAGATGATATCTTAAGTTGTTTCACAGGTACAATAAGACAACTTAATAGTTTCCTAAACTTTATAAATGTTATACCTACACTCTAATATTAAATTTACAATAGAAGAAGGAGAAAACAATCCGATTACATTTTTAGATCTTACTATTTAAAAAAAGAAAGGAAAACAAACATTTAAAACCTTTCACATACCTAGTTATACGAACATAATAATACAATAATAATTCCACACATCCTTTTTCACAAAAAATAGCAGCATAAAATTCTATTATGATACACATACTTCTAAACGTACCTATGACAGAATCGGATTTTCACTAAAATCTAATTTAAGAAATTGCACTTAATAATGGCAATTAATAAACAATATATTAAATCTAAAAAACAAAAAATTGCAATTAACCAAATATTTCCAATACCAAAGAATTCTAAAATTATATATAACATAGGTACTTAGGTACTAATATAAGACATGTGTCTTATTTCTTCAAAAAGCACAATATACAAATTGCATTTAAAACAAACAACAATTTAAGTACATACATAATATGTTTTATTAATATTATATTATGTTTATTAAAAACAACAAAGATAAACTAACTAAATACTAAATCTGAAGTTTATCATCTACAATATGCAGATTGTTCAAAAACTTATATATGAGACATTCTTTTACATATCGTACGGATTACAGAAAACATATTTTTTCAAATTTTTAAAATGACTTAATTTTTTTTTACAGCATCTTTTCATAAAATTAGCCGACCCCTATATCGGAATTTTTGCAGAAAATTTATTTTTCCAAAGATATATTGATTTAAACTTTTGATAAAATTTGAAAAAATGCTGAATTCTTTTGTACTTAAAATTCATTATCTCCGGTTCTACTGATCGGATCGATTTCATTTTTTTTTTATTTTAAACCATATTACATAGTCTTTTTAGATAAATATTTAAAAAGTTTGTGTTTTGTTTATTATATAAAAAAAAATATTTTTTTTTTGTATAAACAGATTTTTTGTGTTTGCCCCCTCTATGAAATAAAATGAAAAAAATACTGTTCTATGCACCATTTATTACTCTACAAAATGAATTTTTCAGAAAAATGGAGACTTTTTTGGATCGGAGGATATTAAATATTTTCGAGCGCGTGACCGGTACAAGCCGTAAGGGGGCATCCATTAATTACATGAGGCGTTTAGGGGAGGGAGGGGGTCAAGCCAAATCTCATCAATTCTTACGTAAGGGAGAGGGGGGTCTCGGCAAATATTACGTAATTTTTAACAAAGTATGTTTTTTTAATAAATCCAACAGAATCAATCAGTTTAACGTATAAACATTAAAAATAAGCATTTTTAAAATCTCACGTGAGATTAGGGGGAGGGGGTTGAACCAAATCTCACGACATCTCAGCAAGGGGGGAGGGGGTCAAAAAATCGCTAAAATTGACTCACGTAATTAATGGACACCCCCTAATCAGACATCTTCGAAACGCCAACACATTTAGGATAGTGTAAACTCATACATCGTTTTAAAAAAATACCAGCGCTTTTTGTAAATTAATTCTGATTTTAAAGGTTTTCAATAATTTTAAATAAATTAAATTTTAAATAATACAAACTCCAATTAATGAGTAAATTTATTAACTGGCAGAATTGACATTTGCACAAATAAGTCACCAATTGACCATATGCAAGGAATGCGGTCGATGTTGCCAATGGTAAAAAAATATAATTCCCTATTGGAAACATTCAATTATATTACGTTGGCTACACTGAAATTTTGAATTTCCCGCACAAACTGACATACATTCTAGTAGTTTCCAGAGATAAAGAAGGTAGTTCCAATGTTGTATAATAAATGAAGGTGCGAATTTCAAATGTGGACATTATTATTATTTATTATTATTAAAAAAAAAGATGAAAATTAATTTGGTTTGTGCGGGAAATTCAAATTTTCAATGTAGCCAACGTAATATAATTGAATGTTCCCAACAGGGAATTTTATTTTTTTACCATTGGCAACATCGACCGCATTCCTTGCATATGGTCAATTAAAAGATGTCGAATCATGACACTCTTATACAAAATATCACGTCACCCGCCACATGCACTAATACATTTGAATATTACGCGCTTGACAGTCCTGTCACGCGCTCGAAAATGTTTAATATCTTCCGATCCAAAAGAGTCTCCACTGTTCTGAAAAATGTATTTTGTAGATAAAGAAAAAGCGCATAAAATAGTATTTTTTTCCTTTTATTTTATAGAGGGGGCAAACATGAAAAACTAGTTTAAAAAATTAATCTGTTATTAACTCTCTATACTTAAAAAAAAAATATATATATTTATTTATTTGAAAAGCCTATTCAATAAGGTTTAAAACAAAAAAAAAAACAAAATCGATCCGATCAGTAGAACCGGAGATAATGGGTTTTATGTAGAAGAGAATTCATCGTTTTATCGCAATTCATAAAAACTTTATATCAACATATCTCTGAAAAAACAATTTTTTTACAGAAAACCTAATACACGTATCTGCTTATTTACTGAATAGAAGCGGTAAAAAAATTTTCATGCGAATCCAAACCCTAAAGTCAAAATAGGTGTACGATTTGTAAAAGAATGTCTCATATGGCAAACAGGCTTCAAGTTTAAAACCCGAATAGAAGAACATCCTTTATTAATTAAAAAAAAAATAATTCTAGAACACCATATAAAGGTAAAATTTACTAGAATCTTTAAAAATTAATAAATTTAAAAAATACGACATTAGCTCAATTATTAAATTAAAACAAATATTTCTTTGTCGTTAAATTTATTCTATTATTATATAGGAAATAAGTTACCTATAATTGATTTATTACAAATTTAATAAATTTAAAACTTCTTCAGGTAAATTCTCAAACTAAAAAAACCCATTACCTAAAAGAATTGTGTTATATAAATTATATTATAAGATTTAGTTTGAAATCATTTTGAAAAAGCCACTGTATAAGCAAAACAATTGTCAAATTAAAATAAGAACTTAAACCTTAAAAAAACTGTGTTTGTTTTTGTACATTTTTATTTAATTTTATTAGTATTTTAATTTCATATTAATATCAACTGATGTGCAAGATCTTTAACAAAGAGGTGCTTTAATTTTGCACATCAGTTTTTATCCATATACCTAATTATTAAATAACAATTTTAGAGTTAAAATATATGCCAAAGAAATTGGAGAAAGATTATATACCTTAAGCAACTCCATGACTCAACCTAAAAAAATCGAAGAAAGTTTTGCACCTCTTGAAATCAAAATTGAAACTGTTGGTGGTATGAAAATTTTGGAAAAACTTGCAAGAAGTTTAAGGGAACTGATGGATAACAAAACTGCAGCAGTAAAAGTAAGTAATAATTAAAATAACACAGTGGTGGTTTTTAAAACTTTTTTCCGTATTTTATGTCTAATTTTGGTATGGGAAATCAATTTGTGAAGTTAAGTGATAATTTGCCATTATTTTAATGCGAATTTTTTGGCCTCAAAGTCGTTTTTTCATTAAAATAAGCCCAAGAAACATGATAATCCGCGATGAATTTTTAAACAATAAAATATATTAATTAACTGAATATTTTAATGAAATAATTGCAAATTGAAATTTAAAAAAATAATAGTTGCAAAAATGGCGAATGCGCCGGGATGAATTATATTAAAAGTGGTTTATTTTCCCCATTTATTTATTATTTATTGTATTTAATTTATTAATATACTTAATAAATTTTTATGGACTGTTTATAATTTTTTTTAAATTAATTATTATACTTAATTCAATATTAAAGTGTATATATTCTTTCCTCTTTTAGGAAAAAATAATTGCAAGCCAAAATATTGACATTTAAAACCATTGCTAAAAATCAGTTTAACTTTACAAAATGAGTATTACTTTGTGATTTTGGTATGGGAAATCAATTTGTGAAATTTTTTGCCATTTTTTTAATTCGAATTTTTTGGCGTCAAAGTCGTTTTTTCGTATATAATACCACTAGTGGTAAAATTTTACCGATAAAATTCTTGATTTTTATACGAATGTTTTTTTCTTGGAAATTTCGCAAGTGGCATTAATTTTTAAGACCACGAGCCGCCAGGCGAGTGGTTTGAAGTTAATGCCACGAGCGAAATTTCCAAGGAAAAATCTTGAGTAAATAAAAATCAAAAATTTTTTCAGGGAAAATTTTATCACGAGTGGTATTCGGCAAGACTATTTCACGAATATTTTTAACTGCTGATTCAATTTCTGTATGATTTTTTGGACCAAAACGCATATTTTTTAACATTTTAATTTTAAAATTAAAAACGTCAACAGTGACAATTATTTTTATCATAGCAACCAATTGGTTGTTATGCAACTCGTATAAACGAGTGGTTTTTTCACCTGAATAGTAGTTTTATCGCTGCAAAACTGAAAAAACCACTAGTTTTCTGAAATCTGATTGGTCCAAAAAGTAATGAGTGGAATAGTCATTAAAATAGACCCAAGAAACCTGATAATCCGCGATTACTTTTTAAACAATAAAATATATTAATTTTCTGAATATTTTAATGAAATAATTGCAAATTTAAATTTAAAAAAATAATGCTTATGCAAAAATGGCGAATGCGCCGGGACGAATTATATTAAATATGGTTTATTTTTTCCATTTTTTTATTATTTATTATATTTAATCTATTAATATACTTAATAAATTTTTATAGACCATGTTTATAATATTATTTTAAATTCATTATTACACTTAATTCAAAATAAAAGTGTATATATTTTTCCTCTTTTAGGAAAAAATAATTGCAAGCCAAAATATTGACATTTAAAACCATTGCTAAAAATCAGTTTAACTTTACAATATAAGTATAACTATGGAAAATCAATTTGTAAAATTGAGTGATTTTTTGCCATTTTATAATGCGAATTTTTTCGCGTCAAAGTCGTTTTTTCATTAAAATAATCCCAAGAAACCTGATAATCCGCGATGACTTTTTAAACAATAAAATCTATAAATTAACTAAATATTTAATGAAATAATTGCAAAATTAAATTTTAAAAAATAATGGTTTTGCAAAAATGGCTAATGCGCCGAAACGAATTATATTAAAAATGGTTTATTTTCCCCATTTTTTTATTATTTAATATATTTACTTTATTAATATACTTAATAAATTTTTATAGACCATGTTTATAATATTATTTTAAATTAATTATTATACTTAATTCAAAATAAAAGTGTATATATATTTTTCCTCTTTTAGGAAAAAATAATTGCAAGCCTAAATATTTACATTTAAAACCATTGCTAAAAATCAGTTTAACTTTAAAAAATGAGTATTTCTACGTGATTAAATTAATTGTGGAATAGCGAATTTTTGACATGCGCAATGTTATTAATTAATTATAATTATAGAAATTCACAAAAAATAAAATATTTTACACAAAATTATACTATGTATGGTATGGCAGAGATATACAGTATATATAGTATATTATCTATCAAATATAACTTTATAACAGTGTGGAAAGAAACAATGTTTACAGGATGGATTAAAATTACCTAGGTTTGTTCCCAAAATTTGCCATTTTAGACAGGAATTTAATTTAGGCACAAGCGAGCTTGCGAACGAGTGTTGAATTAAATGAGTGTCAAAAAAAGTTTATAAACGAGTTGCACACTATACTTTTTCTACGACAAATCCCTATTATTATCTAAAAATGATTTAAATTAAATATTTGTATGAAGCGACATTCATACAAAATTAGAGTAACTGTAAGAATATGAATCTGTATTACCGGCCGCAAATGTCAAATTTGTATGTGTAAATCAAAAGTTATTCCTTGAAAATGGACTAACAACTGTTTAAATCCGATATAGAAGCAGTTTTTTAAAATAAAAGTAATGAGAATGTTTTATGGGCAGTCCACGGTAAAGTCTCCATCCGAAATTTTTAATGCTTTATAAGTTTACTGCCAACCACAGTCTTATATAAGATCGTGGTGCTGGCGAAATCTAAAGGTCAGTAAAAAATTTTAAAATATTGGCATTGAGACACTATTTAATACTTTTGTATTTTTATTTCACAAGAAGGGCAATTTATTTTAACGATTATACGACATTTGACAAATGTCAAATAACTTAAAGCCCGTGACTAAAAACCTGTTGCTAACTTCAGCCCGTGACCGAAGCGCCATAAAAACATAGCTTGTCAATGTGTATTTAAAAGATCACTTAGTGTCCTGGAAACATGTACGATAATAGGCGTTTTAAACGTGAAAGTAGAAAAATACATTTAATGTGATCAACTCCGAGGAAAGAGACCTAAGCGTCCTAGCGCTAATTTTAGAGGAGAAAGGAAAGAACACTAGACTGCGCTAGAGGTCACTTTATTTAATTAAAGTGCGGTCTATAACAGTCACAATCCAGAAATCCATTTTTGGACACTTACGTCCTTTTCTTTAAAGCGCATCATAGATATTGTATATTACATATCCATGACTTTTCCTATGCTTGCACGATTCCCTTGTTCGGCTAAAGTCTTATACAGACACATCCCGCGCTCGTACTGAAAAAGAATATGTTCCGGATTTATACTTTTTGTATACAAATTGGTGGTATTGAAAATTTAAAAGTGTATTATGTTTTTAATCTTGGGCATTCACCATTTCTAAAAAAATACTCAAATATTAAAAGATTTTCTATACTAAATCAATATTTTTTCCCGATCGTTTACTTTATTATTATATTTTTTTATTTTATAGTTTTTCGAAACCGCTCAACATTATGAACAACCTGATAATAAATTGGCTTTTGCACAATTAATTTTTCAACAGGACACTGTGGTCAAAACTAAAGTATAGGACGAACAAAAATGCCAACCAAAACTGATAGCATAATTTGATTATAGACTCTTTTGGTAATAGTCTAAGATCCCAAGTAAGGTCGACCTTCACCCATCTGCTTACCAGATGAAAATTATATTTTATCAAATAAAATAGGTTTCTGAACATAAACCAATAGGGTTGCCATAAAAAATATGATCAAGGCTAGCTATAATAAATAAAAAATTAAAAAAAAAATAATTAATTTTTTAAATTTCACCGACTTGCTTGCCAAATGAACGAAATTCCAATGGAAAGCATACAACATACAGAATATGTAACAGCTAGGTTGCCTACCTTTTTCTGGTCCCTATTACCTGGTTGCTTTGTACAGGGTGATCCCCTATAATCCCCTTTAACTTTTTTATTTTAAGTGTCCCAAAAAATTTAAAAGTGTGGTTATGTAGGAACTAAAAAATACTTTTTTTCTACGTATAAAGAAAATTGGAAAAGTGATCAGTATACAGGGAAAACAAAAAGTTTATTTTTTTCAATGGATCACCCTATATATGAATTTATTTTTCGATTCCTTGTAAAATTCTAAGCATATTTCATATATCATACCATATACCTAAATTCAACCGTTTCTGAAATTTTTAAATTATTTTTAAGATAATAAGTTGAAATAGTTTGTCTTTCTCTGTCTGAGTACGCCATTTTTACTTATTTAACAACACTTATTGACATAATGTCACTATAGTAATTTATTTTCAATAAAAATTTTGGTATACTGAGGCTTCTTGATTTCTAACAGTTTAAAAAAACATTTAATGATGACATTTCGAATGCGAATATTTCAGAAACGGTTGAATTTAGGTATATGGTTTGTTATATAAATTATGCTCAGAATTTTACAAGAAATCGAAAAATAAATTCATATATACGGTGATCCATTGAAAAAAAATAAACTTTTTGTTTTTCCCTGTATACTGATCAATTTTCCAATTTTCTTTATACGTAGAAAAAAAGTATTTTTTAGTACCTACATAACCAAACTTTTAAATTTTTTGGGACACTTAAAATAAAAAAGTTAAAGGGGGGCGACATTATAGGGGATCACCCTGTACAAAGCAACCAGGTAATAGGGACCAGAAAAAGGTAGGCAACCTAGCTGTTACATATTCTGTATGTTGTATGCTTTCCATTGGAATTTCGTTCATTTGGCAAGCAAGTCGGTGAAATTTAAAAAATTAATTATTTTTTTTTAATTTTTTATTTATTATAGCTAGCCTTGATCATATTTTTTATGGCAACCCTATTGGTTTATGTTCAGAAACATATTTTATTTGATAAAATATAATTTTCATCTGGTAAGCAGATGGGTGAAGGTCGACCTTACTTGGGATCCTCTACTATAACACAAAAATGTATTTATCAAAATCCCAGCTGATCCTTTATTAAAGTTTTGCATATTTCTTAGTATTTTAAAATTGTTTATGCCAATACTCTAGTAACATTATCAAATGTTTTTAAAAATTTTCGTTCGTTCGTCCGTCCTCTTGCCATTTTGCAGATAAAGCACATACATTCTCTAGCAATTTCTAAATTTTGAAAATTTGGCAATTGTGGCTATACAAAAATACTGTTTTTACCATATTAAAGTAGGTAATTTTGAATCACTTAAGTTAAAGTGTTCGTTTGAAAAAGTCTGCAGTAATTTTTATATTTTCTCAGAACCCTAAACTCTGAATTTTTCTATTACCAAAAACAATTTGGTCTCCACAGCCAGCACATACCTTCTTTCGATTTTCTTCATGGCTTAACTTGAATTTCGGTTAAATTTTCATTTTAAAATACTATTTTTAACTTTATAAAGTATACATTAAATAAACAACTAAAGCAAAATGTCACTTGCGTTATAACGTATAGCAATTTTTTTCATAACCACCATAATTATTGTTTTACAAAATTTGCAAGTTGTAATTATTTCATAGACAAACTTCCAGTATTTTTTGTTATAAAAAATATTTAAGATATAAATCTTCGTTTTTTTTGTTATGTTTTGTTTTGAGTGGTAAAAAATATTAGTTGACTCAATAAATTAATACTGGGGAGTAGTAATTTAAATGATACAAAGTTTATTATTTTGCTTAATTTTATTAAAATTGTACAGGTAGTTTTAGTACAATAATTGCAAAATAATATATAGAAATAGAAAAACAAAAAGTTTGCAAAACATTAAAATAGGATTAGCTGGGATTTTGATAAATACATTATAGTGTTACCAAAAGGGTCTATAATCAAAATATGCTATCAGTTTTGGTTGGCATTTTTGTTCGTCCTATACTTAAGTTTTGACCACCGTGAGGATAGTATTAACTCGAGCCGTAATAAACACATTTTGAGTTATAAATTATTACGACTTCTACTAAGTTATTTATGACGCATTTTATTGATTTTATTTTTAGAACATATCGGAATATGCGGAATTTCTTTCATACTACAGGCAAGACGATCCACTTTTTCCAAACGGAACATACGACTACTACAACGCAGATAATGTAACCGATTCTGACGATGATGACGAACGAATGAAGGTCAAAAAGGACATCCAATATGCCGAATGCAGGTGGTTCTGTCAACAACAAAACCGCAGGCCACTCTCCTACAATATTTACAAAAAACAAGACTTGGAAGCACTGTATCGCGCCAGGAATTTTAACGAAGAAATGAACGATTGCGATTGTAGAAACGTTTTAAGCGAAGACAAGGAACCGTCGTTTTATTGGACCCTACCTATGGAGTATGATGCGAGGTTTGACGAAAAAGTCAACCTTAATTTAAGTATTATAAAAACTGCTACTAATGTATACTATAGAGGTATGACAGTATTTAATACGCGGATAAAGCGCTTATATTATAGCCTAGCTCAGTGTCGCATATCTGAGCGAGTAAATATGCTTTTTCCGCCGTGTTGTATGTACTATTTTTAAGGCATTTATTAGTCTGTAGTTACATTAGAATTATTAAGTTTGCGACATCTTTTTGTTGAGATTATTGATTGCCTGAATGTATTCTAAAATGTAAATTTATATGCCCTGTAATTGTAGAGCAAAACGATTTTTTGGAAGCAAATATAAAAAAGCCGATAAATCCACAAATATACACAGCAGAATACCCCAAATATTAAAAAACTATTAATAAAAAGTGTTGATTTATTTGGTTAGTTTAATTAAAATGCTGTGCTTGGTCAAAAGAGTTTACCAAAATTAGTAAGAATCGGTTTTTGCATGTTTGCTCCACCATTATGAAAGGAACCACTTTCTTTCTATATAATTTCAATGTATATATTTTCAATATTTTACCCCGTATATGTTTATGGGTGATTCTACAAAAGTTGGGCAACTTTTGACCTCATTTTGTTTATATAGTTTTCGGAGAAAATTAAACAGTATTTTGTTATGAGAACATAGATAATATAATAAATATACTGTTCCAGACCGGGCCAGTCACTTTTTCAAACAGTTTCTGAAATATCTGTGTTTTCTAAATTTGAATGCAAGGGAAGTGACGAGTATAACAGGGTACTAATTAAACACATACTTTATTGGAAAATATCATCAGTAGCGGCTGGTGGATTTTGGGTATACCGATATCTCAATTATTAGATATGGGACCCACACCAAATTTATATAAGTTTATAATGACATTATATGAACAAGTTCTGTGCAAGCAGAATTTAAATTAAAGTTTGCGAAAAAAAGATAACCAAAACATCGAACATGGAACTGACGAAACGGATACAAATTTGAGATTATAATTTGGAATTTAATATTTTAATGATATTTTTTATTAGTGGATGCTACTTATCAACAAATCACATGTAGTCTTATATAAATTACAATGAAATAAATATACGTAAGAAAATAACTACTCACCACAGCTGTTGTAAGTAGTTATTTTCTTACGTATATTTATTTCATTGTAATTTATATAAGACTACATGTGATTTGTTGATAAGTAGCATCCACTACTGTGCACAGTACTGAAATTTTGACTGGAACTATACGTGTATTCACCACAACTTCGCCGCTTGCATCGTTTTCAAGATGACTGTCGTGCAAAGGGCGGGCTCTATTTTTTTTACCAACACTTAAAACGAGGACTTGACGTTTAAACTTCAATATTTCGAAGGAATTTTGAATTTTAACACAGAACTGACGGGTAAAAGTTAGTACAAAGATTATCAATTTTTTAAATATTGCTATTATTCGAATCTATGATAAAATATGAAAAATACATTATTTAATGTTTTATAGTTTGTAGAGAAATTGAAAAATTAAAGGTAAATTGTTGTGACACGTCAAGGTACTGATGTTTTGAATATTTATTATGTTTTTCTACAAACGTGCTTTTAAAAAAATACATTAAAATTGGGTGGACAAGTTAAAAAAACCTGGATCTTTTGTAATATACTAAAATATTTACAAAAATATTGAAATACCTACTCTATTGACTGATGACATCAAGTTGTCCAACTTTTGTAGAATCACCCATATTATTAAAACTTAAACTTAATGTAGAAAAAAGTAGATCATAAGGTGTTAATTTGAATCCAAAATTTGGAAAACATAATTATTAATTACATGCTACTAAATAATTAAAAATAAGTAAGTTCAGGAAGTGCGAATTTACTTTCAATAGAATGTGCACTTTCACAACCATAGTTAGGTAACCAATCAGAACACTTCGTTTTCTGTCGTAATCTAATGTATGGTGAAGAATGCTCTGCTTTGATTGGTTATTAATTTTTAAAAGAATATAATTTATTTAGAAAGTAGAAGAACTACTGAAAAAATGTAGACATACCAAAATTATAATCTTACGGTTTAATTTTTAGAACAAAAAGTCCTTGAAGGTGCTAGATGGTCGGAAGCCCTGGATTTTGTATTTAAGGATAACATGTTAAGAGATCCGACCTTAACTTGGCAATACTTTGCCAGTCCTCATGGGTTTATGAGGCATTATCCTGGTAGGTAAAAAAATGGTGAAAACTGGCTTTCTATTTTATTGATTGTAATAAAAAACTATTGATAAGATAATAATTAGCTCTAAAAACACACAAATTTTACCCAAAAATTGTAGTGGTTTCTAACAAGCTCCTTTCCGACATTTTCACTTTAAATTTTTACTACTTATTTGCTCTTTTAAACTCACTTTTTCCTTTTTCAGCAATCAAGTGGTCAGATGAAGCCTACGACCAAACATACGACTTTCGTACAAGATCATGGTATACCGAAGCAATGACGTCACCAAAAAACATTATGATACTTGTTGATAACTCAGGATCCATGCATGGGACCCACAGAGCCCTTTGTGCACATATTGTTAATGACATATTAGACACACTAAATGATAATGATTTCGTTAATATTTATACGTTTAATAATAGAACTGATCCCTTGGTGTCTTGTTTTAATAACACATTAGTACAGGTAATATGATTATTATTTTACATTATAATACAGGGTGCTAACTAAATTTTAGATAAAACTATTATATATTTAAGAAAGTGTACATTTTAGATAATTTTAGGATATTTTATACAAAATTAACTGATTTTAGGCTAATGAAGAAAACCTGCGACTTTTAAGAGAAAGCCTACCAGTTTATGAAGATATATTTGTATCAGATATAATTTTAGGATTAAAAAGAGCCTTTGAAATTCTTCAACACTTTAAAAAATATCGAGCTAGTAAAATATAAATTATATATATTTTTTTAATGTTAACAAATTTATTTTTAGATAACACCTGTAATCAAGCAATTATGCTTATTACTGCAGGTGTAGACTACGATTTTGATATAAATGTATTTAAACATTTTAATAATTGGGATACATCACAATTACCTGTCAGGATTTTTACGTATCAAATTGGTAGAGATTGTACTGATGCTAGACATATGGAATGGATTGCATGTGCTAATAGGGGTATGTGTTAAGTAAAAATAATAAAAAATATAAGCACAACCAACCTCATCTTATTACTTTTTTTACAAATAGTCGATTTAAAATTAAATACTTTTAATTGTATTTGTAATCAGTTATACTTTTATTATTAAAAAGAAACAGTTATAATTTTGCAGTGAAATATGCTTCGAGTATACTTAAAATTTTAAGCGAAAAGGATAAAATTTATCCTTTTGCTTAAAATTACATTTAAAAATACATTTAATGTATAATATTTTCAGGATATTATGTAAATATGACCGTATTGTCGGACGTCCGTGAAAAAATCCTCAACTATATGAACGTTCTATCGAGACCAATAAATTACGATTTTAAAAATAAAGCCACCGAAATATGGAGTTATTTGCATGTAGATCTGGCGGATCGCAGATTTTCAAATTGGTTGTGGAGAAAATTTGAAGGAAATAGGCAAAGAGAAGTGTTCTTAGATCATGTTAAAAGGGACTATATAAGACTTAAGAAAACTTTAACAAGCAGATCTCATATGTTGTTAAGAGAAGAACATGTAGTATTATAAAATTATTTAAAAAAATACGTTTTTATGTTTAATTTTTAGGAATTTCAAAAATATAAAAAGAAATTTGATTATAACTATATGACCACAGTTTCTTTGCCAGTTTATGGCAGGAGGGATGAAGAGGTAGGTCAACTATAAAAAAAGAATTTATTTTTACAAATAAAATCCACGTTAAAATATTGATGTTCTAGTGTTTAAAGAAACCCAATTTCTTTTTATCAAGCTTATGCAATTCTCCAGTAGATGTCTCTGGGTTGATGTAAATACATATACATACTACAGTGTGTACGACGTACACTGTACGTTAATAGATAGTTTCAAAAGCGAAATAAATTTTTTGGCAAGAAAAATCGATATAAAAAATATTTTAACTTTTCTTTCAAAATCCGAGCTTATTATTTTCCCTAAATTTTATATATATATATTTAAATGGGATCTTACACTGTGCGTTTTAACTAGAGATTCCATTTAAAATCAAAATTTAGTTTAGGGAAATGAAAAAAAAGTAAAAATATTTTTTATGTCGATTTTTCTTGCCCAATTTTTTTTATATGGGTGATTCTAAAAAAGTTGGGCAACTTTTGACCTCATTTTGTTTATATAGTTTTCGGAGAAAATTAAACAGTATTTTGTTATGAGAACATAAATAATATAATAAATATACTATTCCAGACTGGGCCAGTCACTTTTTCAAACAGTTTCCGAAATATCTGTGTTTTATAAATTTGAATGCAAGGGAAGTGACGAGTACACCAGGGTACTAATTAAATACATAATTTATTGGAAAATATAAGATTTATTGCAACTTTGAGCATATTATACATTAAATATTTTAAAATTAAATAATACCTACCACACATCGGTGGCGGCTGGTGGATTTTGGGTATACCGATATCTCAATTATTAGATATGGGACCCACACCAAATTTATATGAGTTTATAATGACATTAAATAAACAAGTTCTGCGCAAGCAGAATTTAAATTGAAGTTTGCGAAAAAAAGATAACCGAAACATCGAACATGGAACTGACGACACGGTACTGATGAATGGGATACAAATTTGATATTATAATTCGGAATTAAGTATTTTACCACGGCGTTCTCTATCCTATATCTATAGAGAACGCCGTGATTTTACTGATATTTTTTATTAGTGGATGCTTTTATTCAACAAATCACATATAGCCTTATATAAATTACAATGAAATATATAAACGTAAGAAAATAACTACTCACCACAGTACTGAAATTTTGACTGGAACTATACGTCCATTCACCACAACTTCGCCGCTTGCATTGTTTTCAAGATGACTGTCGTGCAAAGGGCGGGCTCTGTAGGTAATTTTTTACCAACACTTGAGTTAAAACGAGGACTTGACGTTTAAACTTCAATATTTCGCAGGAATTTTGAATTTTAACATTGGACATAGAACTGACGGGTAAAAGTGAGTACAAAGATTCGAATCCATGATAAAAATACAAAAAATACATTATTTAATATTTCATAGTTTGTAGTGAAATTGAAAAATTTAAGATATATTGAATATATTTTAAAATAAAATCACTCAAATATTTGATTCGGGAGTTGTGACACGCCAAGGTACTGATGAATATTTAATAAATAATAATAATAAATATTATTTATTATGTTTTTCTACAAACGTGCTTTTGAATTATACAAGTTAAAAAAAACTGGATCTTTTCTAATAGGTATACTAAAATATTTACAAAAAATATTAAAATACCTACTCTATTGACAGATGACATCAAGTTGTCCAACTTTTGTAGAATCACCCATATATAAATTAAATTTTTAAAGGAGAAATAAACACGTTATAAATAAATTATCTTAATTCTCTTAATACAGGGTGTTTCATAATATATGCGCAGGACTTCAGGATGTGATAACTCATCCAAAAAGATGAAAAAAGTCGCTATTAACTTACGCTCTAAAATGCACAATTTTCGAGATACAGGGTGTTGAAATTTTAGAAAAAAAATCGTTTTTTTCGAATATCTCCGGAACCGTTTATCGTACAAAAAACAGCTTTTGTAAGCATTTTCTACTCAAAATAAGCTATGTTTTGTGCCAGAAAAAAAAATTTTTCCCTCATAATTGGTGAAGATTTTGAAGGGGTAGCGGGTGTTTTTCTCCTCAAATTCTACGCCCCTGAAAAATGTACAGTTTTGAGAGGCATATGTTTTCTAAACAAAAAAGGTACTCTTGGTCATAAGCTCTAAAGTTGACCGTTTTCGAGAAAAATCAACTTTTATGTTTAAAAACATGGTCAATTTAAAAAAAAATAATTTTTTTTTACTAATTAAACAAAATTTATTTTAACGTTAGAACAAGTAACAAAACCAAACCATAATTGCAAAATAAAAAATGATTCAAAAGTTGTCTTTGCTAAATTCTGCAAACCGTAAAGGTAACGCATTTCGAACATTTCAGCATTTGTGTAAAAAATCATTTTTTATTTTTTTTTTAATTTTGCAATTATCGTTTGGTTTTGTTACTTTTTCTAACATTAAAATAAATTTTGTTTAATTAGTAATAAAAAAATTTTTCAAAAAATTGACCATGTTTTTAAACATAAAAGTTGATTTTTCTCGAAAACGGTCAACTTTAGAGCTTATGACCAAGAGTACCTTTTTTGTGTAGAAAACATTGGCGGTTCGAATGAGCCTCTCAAAACCGGGCGTTGAAGTTGAGGAGAAAAACACCCGCTACCCCTTCAAAATCTCCACCAATTATGAGTAAAAAAAATTTTTTTCTGGCACAAAACATAGCTTATTATGAGTAAAAAATGCTTACAAAAGCTGTTTTTTGTACGACAAACGGTTCCAGTGATAATCGAAAAAAACAATTTTTTTTCTAAAATTTCAACACCCTGTATCTCGAAAATTGTGCATTTTAGAGGGTAAGTTAATAGCGATTTTTTTCACATCACATCCTGAAGTCCTGCGCATATATTATGAAACACCCTGTATAGTAGTATTTTTATAAATAATATATAATTCAATAATTAAATCGCTTTTTAAGAAATTTAGTTGCTTTATTACAACTCTTTGGAGCAAAGAAAAATCTTTTTGTCTGTCCAACTTGATTTAACCCATTCGTATAACGAGAATATGATTTTTGTTTGCCTGCCAACTTGCACGGGCTGCAAGTCTGCAAAATCGTCTTATGATGCCTAATGAATAAAATATTGGGTTAAAAGGTGCATTTTTTTTAATTTAAAAACTGCTATTGTAGCATGTTTAACACAGTTCGGTGTCTTAAAATTTAAGTTTATCATTTACTTACTTTAAAATTTAATTTTTTGTGTATTATTTGTTGTCTATTTACCATAAATGGAGATAATTTATTAATTATACAACATTATATTTTATTACTTTATACATCAACAATAACCTTGTTCACACTTATTTTATTTTATTAAACTAATAATTATTACATACCATAACATACGTATTCGCTTAATTTAATCTTATTTAAAGAATGATAAATAATGTGTGAATTTTATTAATTTTTAATTTGACTAGGCAAGGCAAGTTTACTTTAATTTGAAGTTTACTTAAATTTTAAAAGATTACTTAAATTGTAGAATTTAGCATATTGGAGCAGCTGAATTGTTAAAAGAGCGATTTAATGCTGCAAAAGGAGTTCCAGGGTCACAAAAACACCATTCATTCGTTCCGGTCGAAAATATCGTTTGCTTCCGAATATTCTGTTTTTCCTAAAAAAGTAAAATAGTTTATGTTTAAATGTTTTAAGTTATAACTAAATTGTTTTAGGTTATAATGTTTTAAGTTATAAATACATTTTAAAATTTTAATTATTAAATTATAGTATTATTTTTCGTAGGACATGCAAATATTCAAAATGGAATAGGTTATTAATTATGTGTTTATTTTTCGTGTACAATTTAACACTTAAATAATAAACTACCGTTGTATCAATAATTGAGAAAAATTGTGATACCCTTTACCTATTTACTTAGCGGATCGAACAGAGCCCGATCCCTGTGCGTTTTAATGCTTTTAATTAATTTAACTGGTTTCGATATCCCGTTTAAATATATATATATATCAAAATATACGAAAAAAAAAGGATTTTTTTAGTACTTATTTAAAAAAAATCAAAATGGCCCTATTTTGATAAAAAAGTAAAAAAAAAAATTATATCAATTTTTCTCAGCCAAAAAAAATTGTTTCGCTTTTGAAACCACCACGAAAAAAAGATACAGGATAGGTATATTATTTGTCGATTAAAAAAAAAGTCATTTAAATTTTTTTATCAACCAAAACACTAACAAATGAAAAATAAAAATTTCAAGCCCCTGTATATCTGCAACCCGCTGCCCTTTTGTTGAATTAAAGTAGTCCGATAGGACAATGATTTAGCAAAAGTTTCATCAAAATCGGAAACAACAAGTTTTTAGTAGGAACACTTGGCTTGTTTTGCCCCGTACATATGTATATGTGTAAATACACAAAAGTGTATATACTTCCACACATATACCGGTTATAGGCTTTATTTTGTATAGATGACCTTTTCCTTTTTTTCAGGGTAAATTTGCCGATTTGATGTATCATTTTGCCTTATGCTCAAAGTCAGTTCATAAGTGGGGATTTTAAAGTATATGATACCATAGAAAATAGAATTTAGCTTATATTATTTTTTTTTAAATCATTTGCTTAAATACATTTTTGTCATTTGGCTTTATAAAAAGCAAAAAGTGTCATAATATGCATATTATGTAAAAGCCAATAAAAATCTTGTAAAAACAATTGAAAAAAACAATGACAAAACAATTGGTATACAACAAAAAACTAACAAAATGGATAATCATAAAAACAATCTACATAGTTATATGTCATAAAAGCTTTTTGGCTATCGTGGTCAAATTATGATGTTGCCAAATTCTTGCTTTTATAAATATTCCATTATAAAATCTAAAATATCATCCTTTTGTGGGTTTATTATTGTTAAATGCTTTTTTTCAAACAATTTATATACAATTCATTAAAATGTATTTATTATACTTCCCAAATAGGTACAGAAATACAGCCCGTTTAGAGTAAAACCGAATATAGGGAAACGTATAGGGCGTGGCCTCGCCTCCCTCCAACGCGCGACACAGTAGCTAAGCAAATAGCCTGCATCGCTAATGAGATTTTTTGCATTATTGTCATTTAATTTTTAAGGTCGTCTTACCTGCTCCACCTTTCGTCATGTCGTTTATCACACAAGCTACTGTGACGCGCGTGGAGGGAGGCGAGGCCACGCCCAAAACGTTTCCCTATATTCGGTTTTACTCTGAACGGGCTGTATGTTATTTTATGTTTTTTTTAACCGGCAATGCAGCCCACGGCTGCGCCTCAATGCCCTCTCCCGTGTGGTTTTCACTACCTCTACTTTAACCCCACGAAATGGAAACATTATCATTTAGAACTGATTTGTATTAGGAGTGGAGAATTATCGATAGTGGTGCAACTCGATATATCGATAATGCGTCGTAGAGACTATCGATTGTATCGATAGTTGATGTTATAAAATCAAATATTTATACAAAAACCTTTATTTTAAAGATAAGACCAAGTAAGTTTTTATTTTAGAACTGATTTTAATGAAGTTTGTTTTATGCTATTTTTTGTGCCATGAACAACAACAACAACAAGAACAATTTCAATTTGCGATTTTACAAAAAAAATCAACTCAACTGTCGAAACGTTTATTTCCATTATCGGGGAATTATAAATAAGACATAAACTTAAGTATATGAAATAAGATAATTAGGTGACCCATCTAGCGGTGAGAGATTTAATAGTAAATTAACAGCTTACAGCAATCTGCACGATACTTATTTCTAAATATCACAATGTTACCAGACGTATCCATCGTATAAATACATGTATTTAAACCATATATGTAGAAAAATACATATATGATTTAAAACATCTACCTTTAGTATGAATTTATAGTTGGTATACCAACTATAAATTCATACTATACCTATAGGTTATGCAGAATGTATGTGGACAGTTAACTTGTCATACTGTATAATTTTTTACCCGCTAGATGAAGAAGCTATTTTTTTTTAAATATTTTTATAAAAATATATTTTTACAGTACACTAACTGTTACTGAGTAATAAAAAAATAATCATATAAATTTGAAAAAATATCGATAGTCAGTTGAAAACTTTCGATATGTCGATAGTAAAGTTTTATCGTAAACTATCGATACAATCGATAGTTACTATCTATAGTTCTCCACCTCTAATTTGTATGTGTGGAAGTATGTGTGTAAATACACTTCATCAACCACGCAGGTATAAATAAAATTTTAAAGAATATTTAAAACTATTAAGAAATAGTGCTTAATTTTATAATCAAAAATTTTTGCATGAAAATATTATATGGACCAATTGTGTATAACAGGACAATTTAAGATTTTTAATTTCACTCAAACTTCCGTCCTCCCAGAAATTGTTAGTTAAATAATAAAATTATTATCCAAAGCAAATGAGTTTGGTGTGGAAACCATACCTGTAATGTAATAGGTATCTTCTAAAATATAATAACTGCGTTTTTCTAGTTTGCATTAAACTTTTTAGAAAACCTAATGTGATGGACCAATTCTAAGATCGAATTTAAAAATAGCACTTCAAAAATGATGAATAAAATATTACGTTTTAAAACGTACAATAAAAATATACATACATAACCTCTTCACAGATACAATACACATCAACATACACCGTACAACCGTATGACCTGGCCAATAATAAAAATAGTAAAACATGCAAAAATCTATAAATCTACTTTTCTCCTTAAAAGGGGAAACATTTTAAAAGTTGTATATTTTAAGACTGGATTTTGCTCTTTTTCTAAAAAATGTGCAATAAGACTGGGTATGCAATATTGCATTTTTTACCTAATTAGAAAGGTTCTTTGGCTAGTCTTTTGCAATAAGTTTTCTTACTTTTTAACGATTTAAAATGTAAGCACACCAGTATTACCAGTTTGGAATATGCTATTCCAAATGTGTTTCAGATTAAACTTTTTCTACGTTTCCAAAAATTTTCATAGTAAAATAATTTAATTGGGAGAAAGTAAGGTTGAATCGATCTAAAAGTTGTTAGATAATAAAACATGTTATGAGTTTTTATTCCGTCATCCGTTGACAGAATGAATTAATTTAGTAACACTTTAAAAAATATAATAAATTACATATTATGTAGTTCCACATTAAAAAGTAATATTCCGTAATATGAGTAGAATATTTCAGTTAATATAAAATTTAATTAAAACATCACTTGGTTTATTTTCAAAATTGATATTTTAATGAAAATAGTTCATGAATTTGATACCTATTGGTGTTTATATTAATTATACGTCCAATAAAGCACCTTTGTTTCTTTAAAAATAATTAATATAATTTATAAATACGAAAGGTTTAGGTCCACTCGGTACCATATGTTTTTTAACATCAAAGCTTTTAATTAAAGAAATGATAATAAAAAAATATAATGAAATGTGTTTTATGGTCTGTGATCTCCCTTTCTTTTAATTACATTAGCAAAGTTTATAATTAACAAAATTACAATGTTATAAACCTCGAGGTTTAATTTAATTTAATTAATCTTTATTTTTATTGCTCAGTGGGTACAGATCTGTGTCTACTGAGCAATAAAAATAATGATTTATTAAATATACCCACTGAGTAAAAGCCAGTATTTTCGTTTCGTTTTTTAGAGATAAATAAATTAAAAAGGTTTAACCAAAAATATTTGTTTTTACCATTTTTCCTAATTATTAATAAGGAAAACTATATTGTGCGACTAATGGGAAAAGGAGGAGATTTCTCTTCCGGGTCAACCACAATATTTATTCAACTACCGCAAGAAATTCAAAGCCAATTTTATATCTGACATCTTATAACTGCCAAGCAGTTTTAAACTTACTTTTTTCTAATTTTAACTAACTTTAACCCAAGAAGGGTGTTTCTTGCTTTAACACGTGGGCGAAATGCTATTTCCTTGATGGGCTACTTAACTCGGAAACTACAGAAATTACACAAAATTTGTATGAAATAATTTTAAAAACTTTTTAAATATTCAAATTTATATATATACAATGTAACACCCTAATATATGTATAATATACATATATTAGGGTGTTCCTTATTTAGGAGTAGGAAAACAATATTAAAAAATCATAAAAAAATGTGCAAAATTTTAGATCAATCGGTCAAAGGGAACACGTGCCCCACAGGGGTTTTTTGAGAAATAATTGAGAAAATTTGAAAGGCTGATATAACTTCGAAACGGTCTATCGTAGGAAAAAAAAGTGTTTATAAATTTTTTGGGTTAATTTGTGATAAACAACTTTCTTAATTCCAGTTCTGCGTTAAAAACATTTTTTTTTACTTAAAAAGCGATAAATTGTTTTATCTCCACGCGGTCTATAATTTAAACTTTATTGTTGTCAACATTCGATAAAGAAATACCTTGTTATGGCCTAGGCCGATAAAAAAATTTATGAGGCAAGTATTTAGTTCTATTTTTTCTCGCTAGGGGTATTTTTTTGGCAAATTAATCCTTTTCTAAGAAATTAACGTACTAAACTGGTTTAATTTATTTATAATAGGCACTAATTTGTTTGTTTTACTGTTAATGTTTAATATTTTTAATTAAATTATTGTAAAATTAAATATGAATTTATAAAACAAAAAGTGAGGTTAGGCAAACAAGAAAACGCACGATTCTTTTCCTACGATTTAAATTATCTTTAAGTTTTAATTTGCTTTAAGTTTTCAGTGAAATTAAATGTTAAACACAGCTTAAACATTCCAAACTACCTATTTTTTAAATAAAAATCCAAACAAATTGAAATTAGATACCTACCTATTTATTAAACAATTAATTGAATTCAATGTAATAGCAAAAATCCATTTTTACTTAAATCATGTTGCTAGCTATTGTCAAACTATTACTGCTTCTAAAAGCAATAATAAATATTGTACATTTAATGTAATCTTTAGCTTATAAATAAATGAGATTCTAAAAAATTGAGGTTAGGTCACTTTGATGTTGAATTAAATTGACCTATATAAAGTGCTTTGAAGATAAAATGTTGTATGCCATTCGGCCAAGAAGTGCCTTTTTGTGCTTTGCTCAATTGTAGGCCTCCGCTACGCGTCGGCCTTCAAACCTTGAGCTTAGCACAAAAAGCCTTACTTCTTAACCTAATGACATAAATAACTATTTTTGGGCACTTTAGCGCCACCTACTTTTTTAATTTTCTGTCCCAATGACATAAATGCGACCTAAATTTTTTGTTGACAAAATTTTTTTCTTAAACTTACCGATTAAAAAAAAATTAAATCCATAACTTTTTGAGTTCTTTCAAAAACACTTCACTATCATTAAGAAAGTTGAAGAAAAATTAATTTTAACTTTTTTGTTCCTACAATAAACCGTTTCGGATTTATAGCACGACGTGTTTTTGGTGAAAAATCAAAAAGTTGTGGATTTCAAAATTATATTTGTAATAAAATGGTACATATTATTAATAATTCTATGGTTTTAGATTGATCTTATTGGCGTTGCTGGTGTTGATGTGCCAATTAAATTATTAAGAAATTTTATTCCCTATCATAGGGTACGTATATTTTTTTAATTATTCCTTAAATTTTAAAATAAATTATGTTTTTTAGCTAGGTGTAAACGGGTACGCTTTTATTTGCACGAATAATGGTTATGTATTAATGCATCCTGATCATAGGCCTGAAGTAAGTAATATTGCATTTGGCAAATAAAATCTAAAACTTTATCACCTTTATATTAGAATTAAATAATAAACTTTCTTGTTTTTTTTTTAGTTTAAAAATATATTAAAACCCACTTTTAATAGAGTGGATTTTTTGGAAGTTGAAATACTAGACGATTCAAGTCAACCGCGATTATTTAATGAAACTATAGTACATGTAAGTAATTAAAAATAATTAAGATATGTTAGAAGTTTGTAAGAAAAATAAATACAATTAAAGAAGTTTATTTACGACAACAATTTTTTGTTATTTTTTCGTAACACTTAAGAATCGTTTTTATTTATCTTAAAAGACCTTGTACAGCAGAATTTATTCTAATGTATATTTAAGCTCAGGGAGAAAGTTGTCCGGAGTCAACAATGGGATCAAGTTCTTTCTGTAAAGTTTACCATAAACGAAATGGTGAGTTCCAATTACGTTTCTTGTGGGCAAAGATATTTAAGTTTAAATATTCTAGAAAAGAGTAGTATTAAGTGAGAGAGAATACTTTTTAACGAAATTGGGGCCTTTTACACTTGGCATAGCACTGCCTGCAAAGTATGGAAAAATTAAAGTGCAGGAAAATGCAAAGCAATTTTTTGCTACAGCCATTGGATTGTTAAAAACTAAAAATTGGAAGGTTCATCCTGATTGGTAATTATACAATTTTCAACAACGATACTAGGGAGTTATATCACATTTGAATTAAAGTTACTTTCTCTCTAAAATGAATTAGTCAAAAATTACCAATTTAATAGTTATTTTATTAGTGGCTGCTTTTTCACTTGTGGTTAACCATGGAAAACCATGGTATCCCAAAATGGTATCCCAAAATTTAACATCCAATTCTTATGTAAAATTGTCTGCTGAATCTGAATGTCAAAAGTTAAAAAAGTAGAACATTTTTTAAGATATAGTCAATATTCCATTTAATATGGAATTGACTATATCTCAAAAACTGCTTCACTTTCATAATTTTGTATGGTATTTTCGGATTTAGGGGACAATTTTACATAGGAATTGGCTGTTATATTTGGGATACCATGGTATTAAATGGTCAACCATGGTACAAGTGAAAAAGCGGCCACTAATAACAATTAAATTAGTAATTATAGACTAATTAATTTTAAGAGGGTTAATTATAATTATAATTATTTACCAACATTACCTACATAAATTTTTTAAACTTTTGGGTGATACCATTATATTTCGAAAGTCTGTTGCAAAAGTAATAATTTATTGATAAAACTCATGATTGGAACTTCAGGGTGTCAAAAAGCACCACTGCGCAAAATTGAATTTTAATTTTTTTTATTATATTATATAAAAAGATCATAACTTTGTCAATAGAAAATTATTATCTATTTAAAGTTTTAATTTCTGTCACAATATGTCAACTTTAGATTGCTGCAAATGCCTTGTTAATTTTATTTTAAACCATTTTTAGATACTATTTCAGCTTAATACACACAACCAATTGTAAGGAAACAATATAAACAATGCATCTAGCACCTATCTTAAGTTGACATGGTTCACAGATGTATTTCTTAGTTTGTGTAAAAAAATACAAACTTTGTTATTATTAACAAATTTTAACATTTTATTTTTAAAACGTTATTCATAATAATAATATTTACTTTATTGTCCAACAGAAAAGTCCAATTAATGGAAAAAAGTTTATAAAAACAAAGAATAATAAATACATGCTATACAAAATATCTTTAAAAGAAAAATAAAAAACTTATGCAAAAACAAATGTTTAACTATCTAAGTAAATAAAGACAAGGTACAGTGGTGTATCTCGCAATCATTACTAATACTATTATAATTTTTAATTACAATAAAAAAAGAATTACGCAACCCTAGCGTAGGATAAAACAGTTTTATTGACTTAATAAATTAGGACAATCAATTGGATTGTTTACCAATTTAAATAGAAAAATTAAACCCAGAAAAATTCTCTTTTGCCTTTAACTGGTTATTTCAAACCTTAAACACTTAAAAGGAGAGTACTTTTTTGATCAGTGTTTAAATAGAAATCATTATAAATTTTTTCATAAAACATACTACACATATCATTTACAACTTGAATGCTTTTAAAAAAACATCAATCAATACTGGTTTGGGTTAGATACAAAACCAGCTTTTTTAAAGTTATTGAAAAATTGTATTTAATAACTGTCTTAAATAAAATTATTTATACAGTGTGTTTCCTTTTGAGTGTGGGCATTGTGTGTGGGCATCGACGGATTTTCAAAAATTTCTTTCTCATTTTAGAGAATTAAAAACTGAGCGTGATAAGTATAAGCAGATTGTTCAAAACCCAAAACCCAACCTACTACGATTTAAAAAGCAAACCAAAATTTAAAAATCAGGTTAGGCATTTTTATCGCTAAACTGACTACACTACAATATCCAAAATTTATTAAAAATCTAAAAATATTAAGTGAAGTTGTTGAAATTGTGATTTATATAAGTCAGACCCCAGAGGTAATTAAGGTTAAGTGTCCACCATGTATGCACTTAATACTGGTAATGAAGCATTTCACTTTATAATTAGCTGTTTTGATCTCCTACGGAATGCAAGTTTAGTATACGTTGAGGGATCCGACAATTTAAAGCACGTTGCATTTTTACTTTGCCAACTTCCTATGGGATTCATCTCTCATTACCAAGAATAAGTGGGCTGACTTCGTCTATATTGGTCATTGAGCCACATATTTTTTTAAATTCCAAATAATTAACCGCCTCTTTTCCTTGATTTTAAAAAACTTGCTTAATGTATGCGTTAGTGTCGGGAATATTTACTTTAATCAACGTACCTTTATCTTAAATGTCATTTATTTCCATGTATGTGTATATTATATAGTTATTTCTTGAAACTAAATATGCTAGCATAACCTTTCTTGTGATGTTTTGGAAATGTTTTTTATTACACCAGCTTACAGGTTTCCTTGTACAGGCCTGTCTTTTGACTTCTCGGGAATAAATGGGCGCTAAACCTGACAAGTATTTTTTTACAATTCTTTAAATCGCAAAAAAATCTAATGGAAGGTATTATTTTAAATGATAAATAATTTAGTTATCAATAAATGTTGGGCCTTAGAGTAAACTCAACCAGTAAAAAGTACTTACTGACCTTGATACTTAATATACTATTGTTTTATATATTTACGGTTTAACCTTTATTTACTTTCAAAAAATATTAGTCTAAAGGTAAATAATTTACCTTTAGACTAATATTTTTTGGAAGGAAATAAAGGTTAAACCGGCTGTCATATAAAAATATAATGAGAGACTATATTTGGAGTACTTAAAAAAGTACTTATTAACATAAAAGAAATAGTAATCCATTTTCAATTTCTTTCTTAATAATTAATATTATTTGGTATTGGTGAATTTTTGCAAAATATAATCCAAATTTATTCTCCGGTCATCTTTTCAAAGTTTATTTACGTCAAATTATTGATTAAATACCACTTTCCAATTAACGTTTAAAATATGCAATTTATTTAATTTACTAAAAGTTTATACATAAATAGTTTAAATATGTATTTAAAGCCTTATATGGATAGAAACCCACGCTGATATTTATTAAATCCTTATTTGACAAAAACGTTTTTTAGGATTTACTGTAAAAACTGCGAAGGCAAAACACCAGAAGAGAAAATCGTAAATTTATTGAGAAAAAACTTGGGAACAAAGGAAATGGGTATGTTTATAAGGATTTAGACTATTTTATTTTGTTAAATGTTTATGTTTAGAACCGTTATTCTCAATGATGTTATATGATGCAAACAGGACAATATGGTTTGAGGATGATTTAGATGCCGAACAAAATCTGTAAGTAAAATTAATTTCTATAACAACTAATAAATAAGTGTTACGTGGTTAATAAAATTAGCCGTAACGACAGAGCTTTTATTAATACTAATAAAAGGAAATATGCTTTATTAATTTACATTACAAACAGACTTATAAGCAACCATATTATTATTATTATTATAAATTTAAAACAAATATTAAATTATTGTTGTCCTTTTAAATCTTGAATTTAATTTAGATTGATTTTTAGAAAATTATAATTTTTATATTCAGTCCTACTTCCTTATAAAAATAAATCTTGTTTTAGTTTTATAAAAAAATATTTTGTCAACAAAATATTTTTATCCACGCATTCTGGACTGACGAGATGGCGTACCTTTAACGTTACCTTTGTGGATGAAGACGATAGAGACAGTTTCGAAACACGGAACAGTAGATCCATAGACGAAGACTGGTATAGAAGATCAGTTGAAGAAAATTATAAGGACGAAAGAAGGTTTATTTATTCTGTACCATTCGAAATATCAGGTAAATAAGGCTTTGGTTACAATGTCATTTTCTTAAGAACGGTTAATTTTGGGAAAACCATCAAGATTTTTTTTTTTTTTATAAATACAAAATAAATTTATTATTGAATGTAATTACTTCTTAATAAAAATAAAAAAATATATATTGTGGCCCAAAACTGTGCTGATCTTTGCTATAAGCAGTAGAGCCAAAGAACATGTAGAAAATTGTAATATTGATTCATAAATTTATTTTAATTTAATTTTGACCCTTAGTGAATGTCCACTTAGGAAATCTTACCCATGGGTATGCATGCATATACAAGATATACAATATATAATTTAGAATATTACACATAGGAGTTATTGCTGAACCAACGAAGAATATCACTGCCTGTTAAAAATACAATATAAAAATTGAACCTACACCTCGACAAAGATTTTTGTTTTGAGTGAGTTCCACCAACTTCAAATACCGACAGACGGCTGTTTCGACCTATATTGGGTCTCATCAGTGTCGGGCAAATTGGTGTAGTGGAACACTACAAGGGTCAAGAAAGTTTCTTAAAGAAACTAAGAAAATTGAATGTTTACATTTATATCTTATAAATATTTCTTAAACTTTTTATATAATTGTATTAAAAATATTATATTTTATTATATTATAATATATTTATACTTCTAAGGGAAAAATATATTTAAATCCCTTATGTTTTAGGATATGAAAATAATACAATGATAACTGGAACAAAGGCAATATTTTTAAAAAATGGAGCAGTCAAAACTCCAATTGCCGTTGTTGGCTTGCAATTTAATCACAGAGCCATGTACGAACTTTACAACGATATAACACTGAAAAGTTTTAACATTACTACCAAAGTAAGTAAAAAAACAAGTTTTGTTTTAATTGAAAGTTAGTTGGTAAGTAACTTATGGCACGAAATATCCAACTTTCTTCGTTCTTCGAAACAACAAGTCAAAAAATAAATAAGAAATTTTAATGATATTAATCACTTACTTATAGGGACATCTACCTTTTAACAATATTTAACGTTTATGTTTTTTGAGTTAGCCTGGTTCCTTTAATATTAATATATGAAAGTGGGTGACAATTTATTTCCTATTTTATTATATTATTCACGAGGATGAGGTTTGAGTCTCGAGTCGTCAGACGAAAGACATAAATCATCCTACTGAATAATGCGCATAATCTCAAGTGTAATACTATATACTAAGGCTGGGAATCGATTACGAATAATTCGAGTATTCGAATATTTGAGTACTCTAATAGAGGTGAAAATCTATTAAAAATTATTCGAATACTCGATTATTTAAGTAATCGAAAATTTGAATATTCAAAAATTCGAATGTTCGAAGATTAAAATATTTTAATATTTGGGTGTTTGTTTTTCAAGTCTAAGCATGGGTAGGTAATTTGCTTATGTTTAAAAATACATAGTTGGTTAAATAAGGAAAAAGATGCGCAATTCGACTTCGATCAATGATCCAAAAAGTAATTTTACTTATCATTTTTAGTTTTCGAGATATCGTAAAAGACGAGAATTTGTAATTTTTAATACCAATTTAGACAATTTTAGGCAATTTTTCAAGGGAAATTTAAATTTTAAAATCTTTTCGCTAGCTTTAAAAACTAGGAGAAGATGGTCAACTAACCCATGCTTAGCCTTAAAAACTGATATCTGGTATATGCTATTAGCAAAAAACAGAAACAATTATTAAAACAGGTACAATTATTACTTACATTACTCATCAGCACCAATGAAATAAAATTTATTAATTTCTTTAATATTTAAGAGCAAAACATAATTGAGTAGTATCCGTGCAAAACCGGCTATATCCACTTTAATAAAATGTTGGGAAAATGGCAAAAACTCTCGGATTTCTGGCCTTTACAGATAAAAAACTTGAGTTTTGTCGGCTTTATGGTACTTGATTTATAAGACATACTTTGGTTTTTAAAAACTTTATGTTAAGGCCAAAATTTCAAAAAATGTTTTGTATATAGCCGGTTTTGCTCAAAAACCTACGAATGAAATGTGAAAAAAACCTTTATTATTCAAAAATATTAACAACATTAAAAGCCACATGCTCATCATTATTATTATTTATTGGATATAGCCGGGTTTGCTATAAAAACGTGGATTTAGCCGGTTTTGCTCCTAAAGTTACCTTTTAAATGTTATTTTAATATGGATATAGTCGGATTTAAACCGAATTATCTTGGTTGTCAATAGAAATGAACCCAAAGATGCGAAATAAAAAAAAAACCCTGAATAAAATGGATTTAGACAGTTTTGCAGGGATGCTCCTCAATTATAAGAAACATATTATTCTAATAATATTTAGTTTTAAATTGGTATTAGTATTTAAGTATTTTAATGTTCTAATATTTGAATATTTGAAAATTCAAATATTCGAGTATGCCAATAATTCGATTATTCGAATAATTCGATTATCCAATTAATATTTAAACGAATATTATAATTTCTAAAATTAAAAAAATTCCCAGCCTTACTATATTCTATAATTTATCTACTCAAATAAGTAGATAATGAAATGATTTTCAAAAATAATTAAATAAAATCTTACATCAGTCAAATGGTTAACCTTACTTTTTACAAATTTTAAATGTTATTATAGTCGCCTTTTTCCAATTTAAAACCCAAATGGTTCAAATCACAGTGAATATTGAAATCGGCCAATCACTGATGCTAAACAACATGAGTAATGAGTTCATAATTCCCATTGTTAATTGCCTAGCGCACAATCTACTGCCTCGGCTGTCGCCTCGGCAATGAAATGTATGCTCGGCGATGATTTGTGTTTTCTTTGCCTGGTCTATAATGTACTATTATAAGCATTGATCTGAAGAATAGACAATTTAAAACTTGACTCTCGTGAAAAAAAATTGTCAATTTATCAATATTTTTAAATTTTAAAAATCGTAAATATCATATAACAAATTTTTGTTATAGATCAAAATATAATAGTGTGCAGCAAAATTCACATTTTTTTAATATAGCCTATTACGAAAAAGGCAAATGTTGGTATCACTATTTATATAACTATATATAGGTATACCTAATTTCTAATTCTTGCAATAAAAATAAAATAATAATATAAAATAAAACATTACACTATGACCAAAAGTACACTTTATACAATTTAAATTTAAGTTAACAACTTTACAAATTTTTTTAGCCCTTTCTCCTGTTTATTTTAATTTAATGTAAAGTAAACAAAATATAAACCTAAAGAGTTTAAAACAGTTTTGATGATCACAAAGGAGAACGTCAATGGAAAATTACAAATGTTCAGAAAATGGCATTAAATTCTTAAAGTTTATTGATTTTTTTCTTTAGAAAATTTAAAACTTTAAGACAACCTTATTAAATTCTAGTGTGGAAAAGCAAAATACTGCAACATAACCTGCGAATCAGACTACCTGGATTGCTTCATACTCGACAACAATGCGTACATTGTCCTTAGCGACGAAATCGAATACACCGGCAGATACATAGGAGACATCAGGGCGGACATAATGTACCATTTGATCCAGGATGGCGTGTTCAAGGACACTCGGATGTTCGATTACCAGGCGATTTGCCAGAAAGAGCCGCCAGAAAAGAAAAAGAAGAACTCTGCTAACAGCCCCCCCATCCGATTTAGAAAAGTGAGTCCTTAATTTATGTTTTTTTTTTATTTTAGCTCTAAATTTTGAGAGGCATGAAATCTTAAAAAGACTATTACAAAATAATACATCACAAATAAGTGGATTAGTGCCATTCTCGCCTAGATAAGATAAATAGCGTTTCTAAAAGTATAATGTAGAGCTCTGTCAGATTGGTCTGGTTAAAAGCATTTTTGTTTAGTTTTTTATTTTAATTCACTCCTTTATATTTTTATTTTTTGCAAATAGATAATATACAGGGCTCTGACATATTAGATGCGACTTCTATCATAATAAAGTTTAAGAAACGTTGCTCTAGAACAAAAACAAATTTTATTTCCTAAAAAATTGAAACAAAACCAAAAAAATTACTTGTTCTTGACCATGTCTATCAAACCACTTTTGTAAAAGATTTGGGATTTATTTGGCATCCAATAGAATATTTCATATACCGGGTGTATCTGAGAATAGGCAACTCCTGTAACTTTTTTATTTATAAAGATAGATACATGAAATTTAGCATGGGTAATTAGGATATAAAATGCCACTTATAAGAGAACAAAATGAATTTTTTGAACTTTCGGTTTCGCCGGAAATGATATCAACTTTCGATTTTTAAATGGAAAGCCCTATATATTTTTACATATTTAGAATCCTAAGTCGGACAGCATCCTCAAATTGTACTTTTGACGTTTCGTCATCAGAAAATGTATCATCATAAAGATCAATCAATGCTTTGAACTATCTTATTTCACGGTGTTCCTGAATAACTTTTAATTGAAAGGTTCAGACGTATCCGATTTTTTTTTCATATTTTGATAAAAAATCACTTACGAGACAATTTTTTTTCAAGATAAACTCAATTCGCTTGGCACTTTTTTAGAAAAATCAATTTTTATAAGAACATTAATGATTTTTAATCAATTTTTTGAGATTTTTAATTAGTGAACTCCAAATAATGACTAACAGCTTTTAATGTATATGTTACATAAAATGTGCAATTCATTAGACTAGTGAACTATTTACATATATCACTTGTCACATGTCAGGTCGAAATCGTTGCGTTATTTTATCGTTTTTTTTTCAATATCTTGCAGATTTATTTATAAATTACATATAAATAATTATATTTGCATTGATTATAGTATATAGTGCAATGAAGCTAATAAAAAACCATGCATGGACTCACTCGGATAATCGCAAGAGAATTTGTTTGTTTTGTCTTAAAAAAAAAAGAAAAAATGTCTAAAATATGTGGAAAGATTCTGGAAAAAGTTCATAATGATATTAGTCAAACTTTAAGTCCAAAACATCAGCAGCAGTTACTATCGCTCTTTTAAAAAAAGAAAAAAGAAGTTTCACTAATATCGTTTTCAATATTTTCTTCTTTTACTCCAGGTTTACATTTATGTTTTTACCGCGGCCACCAGACGCTTTTTTTCTTTTTTAATGGCTTTATTTTCAGCACTTTTTATAAAATTATACCCAATTATTTCCAATTAGAAAAATCAGGCAAATTTAACGTGTTTCTATAAATTTCTTATTTAGCTGCTTTATATAATAAAATTTCACAATCTTTCCATACAACTTTTGGTAATCGTTCATCTTCTACATCATATACTAATATGCTTTGAACTTTTTCCAGAATATTTCCACATATTTTAGACTTTTTTTTTATTTAAGACAAAACAAACAAATTCTCTGAGGATACTAAATATGTAAAAATATATAGGGCGTTCCATTTAAAAATCGAGGGTTGAAAAAATTTATTTTGTACTCTTATAAGTGGCATTTTATATCCTGATTAACCATGGAAAATTTTATGTGTCTATCTTTATAAATAAAAACGTTACAGGGGTGCGCCTATTCTCAGATACACCCGGTATAGGTATTGACCTGCATGTGGTTCATAAAACATTACTTGTTGTTTCAAAATAGCATTCAAATAATGAAAATTTGTTCGTATGATTTTAAGCGTAAAATGTTTAAACAAATTTTACCCTCTTTAATGAGGATCTAAATATTATTTTTATAAACTTAAATTCTTTCTTTTTCAGTTGGTTCAACATCTTTTAGGTGCTACCAATTGGGCCTTAGCGACTGTACTTTTCTGGGTGAGATCGATTATGGCCGGTCCTGCTTATCAAAGTATCAAGGAAGACACAATTGCTGTGGAAAAACTGGAAATCAAAAAAACATACCCAACACCGTGCGATCACGAATTTTGGCTCTTCACTTTGGGAGACAAGTTCCAAAACAGTGTATTTCATAAGAACGCAACCAAGTTTGACTGTGATTGGTATGTGATAAAAAGTGGTTAAATATTAAATTTTTTTAATTATTTCATAACTTAAATAATTAAGTAGTGTCATACTGAGTATTTAATGAAATAACAGAATTATGGTCACACAAGCCACAGCTATGCTTTGGACCCTCGTATACTAAGTTACAAGCAGATCGATACCAAGACGCCTTATACTAATTGCCTTTATCAAAGAGTGGTTCAACTGTTTCTTAAAACTTTAATAGGTTTTTAATTGAGATGCTTTTAAAAAATCAGAGGTTTCCAAATTTGTCAGATAACAAATGAGATGCTTCTTACAAAAACAGCCGTGGTGCAAATTGGTATTTAGTAAAATTCTAACATGAAACCTAGGTGTGGGAGCAGATAAAACGTTATACACCAAGCAGGAGTTTTGACTGATCCCGGACTGGTAAAATATATTTTCCTCCTTGGTAGTGTAATACTATTAACATTTGTTTGTTAAAATTAGTAAAAATTTGCGTAGCTGAAACACATTGCATTAAAGAGAGCTAGAGTTTAGTTGTGGCAATGATCACACAATTTGAAGTAAATAATAAAGAACTGAATTTTTAAATTTTGAGTTGTACCTATATGACATTAAAAATTGATATTTTTGACAAATCATTACCAATCATTCATCATGTGCTGTTTGAACCTATAGGGTCAAACATCACAAGTCTATTTTTTTACATGTTTTTAGCTGAAGTTAGTTGGAAGTTGTCAAATGAGTAACAATTGTTAAAATAAAGTATTCTTCTTGTAAAATAATATTAAATGTGAAAATTATTGTATGGCGTTTTAGTCAAGGGCTAATTATCAACAGGTTTAAGTAAAGCGCTGAAGTTAGTTTTAAGTTAGTTGACAGTTGTTAAATGTCTTTTAAACGTTAAAGTGCCCTTCTTGTGAAATAATAATGTTTAAATTATTTTATTATCTTAATAAATGGTTAAATGGTTAACCAATTGTTAATATATTTCCAAGGAATAAATTTCGATTAACGCATACAAATTTGACATTTTGACGGGCGCGCTGGAAATACAGTTCCCAAGTTAGACATTTTTACGCGAGTTACTCTATTTTTTTATAGATGTTGCTCTATACAAATATATATTTTAAATTATTTTTAGATAATAAAAATTGTATGCAAACTTTTCTATACGCTTAGTTAATAAAACACTCGCTCGTGCAAATAATTAACAAGACATTTTTGGACTATGGCTCCTCAACTTTAACTTGAGATAAATGCTTGTAAAAATATGTTTCTATAATTTATAGAAATTTGGCACCTTACAGTATAGTGCCATTATTTTTTCTTTTATATTTTATTTTATTCAATCATGAGAAACAAACTTAAACTTTGGCATATTTTTATGTAAAAAATGATTGCACATAGGATGCCTGCATCTTAAGGTGCGATTCCACCAAGCGCGCAAAACGTTTGTGAATGTTTGCAAATATTTGCAAACTCAATATTTGTTTGGTGGAGACGTTTAATCACGCGCATTCGCAAACGTTTGTTCGTATTCGGCCGTGTTCCGAGCGGTGTCGGTACATCAAAGGGATTTGTTGTTCGTGTGTGCGCTCAGTGGAGACGGCGCCATTACTACTTATTTTCTGGATCGATGACAAATGTTTGCAAACGCACAGTTGTTGGCAAATATTTGGGTGGTGGAGACGAATGAATTGCAAACATTTACAAACGTTTGCAAACGTTTGTTCGCAATAATTTTTTGGTGAAATCGCACCTTAATACAGTGTATAAGATATTACGGAGAAAAACGCTTAAAAGCTTAGCGGCTGTGCGAACTAATTTGTTTTAGATTTCTTTTATCAAATTTTGTTTTTAAATTTTAAATTTTTGATTTAAATTTTCAGTTACTTCAAATAAACAAAAAATAAGGATAAAATTGAAAAAAAAATAATAAATTTTTCGTCTAATATTATTTGGTGCGCTTATTTCTAATCTGTAGTCGGTATTGCCTCATCAGGTTAGGTTTTCGTAAAATTCCAACCCAAAAATAGTTCATTACATTTTTTTTCTTATTTGAGGTTATAATACATCCCAAAGTATCTTTTTGCGGATAACTTGTTACAAAATCTAAAAGTACTGCTTTTTCCCTCCAAAATCTTCTTTTAATTTAATGACCGAAACTATAAATCCAATTTTTACCCAAACCAAACTCATAACAGAGTTAATTCTTAACGCTCGATTTATTTTGCAAATCTATAAAAACTGATCTCTTTTACCTTTTTATAATCACCAAGTTATTTGATCATCTCCCTGCAGGGAGAAAATATACCTATAACTTTATCCGTTAATTATAAAATTTATCTTCAATACCATTTAGATTATTTAAGGATAAATTTACACGGATATTTTTAATTAAAAGTCCTAAAACTTTTGAATAGTTTGATAATTTTATAGTCGTTTTAGACGCGGTAAATGATGAAGTCAGGATGATGTTACATACATGGATCTGTAAAACTCTTGTAAGCTTTGGAAAAAATACAAATAGATGTGAAGTTATAATATTAGTTTTTACGTTGTTTTAATTAAAATAAATTTAAAAATATATTACTGAAAATAAAAATCGATATTACTTATATATTTTTTCTACTTTCACCTTTAAAACGCCCTTTATAGTACATGTTTTCATGACTAACTGTTTTTTAAATACACATTAACAAGTTATGGCTTTATGGCCTTTTAGTCACGGGTTGAAGTAAGCAACAGGTTTTTAGTCACAAGCTGAAGTTAGTTTTAAGTTAGTTGAAGGTTGTCAAATGTCATAAAATCGTTAAATAAAGTGCCCTTATTGTGAAATAATAATAAGAAAATTATTTTAATTTCTTAATACAAAAATAAAAAATATTAAATAGTTTCTTAACGGCAATACCTATTTGAAAAGTGTAAATGCTAGTTTGTCCTAACCTTTTAATTTCGCGGGTAATACAATAGATTTAACCAATAAAGCATAAAAAAAATTCGGGTGGTCTACGGTAAAGTGCCCATAAAAAATTCTCTTCACTTTAACTGTGAAAAACTGCTTCTCTATCATCATTGAAAGGGTTGTTAGTCCATTTTCAAGGGATATTCGATTTACACATAAAAATTTGACATTTGACGCGCCGGTAATACAGATTCCCAGGTTGGTTGGAAATACTTACACGAGTTACTCTATTTTTTTATAGATGTCGCTCTACACAAATATATAGGTAATTTAAATCATTTTTGGATAATAATAAGTATTTTTAGCAAAAAAGTATAGTATGCAACTCTTTTTTAAACTTTTTTAGGCACGCATTTAATTAAAAACTCAATCACAAGCCTGCTCATGCCTAATTAAAATTCGTGACTAAAATGACGTGTATGAAACTTGATACATAATATAGCAACATAAGGCGTTTAAGATATATTATTAATAATAATTTAGTATGTGGGTACTTAATTCTAAATAATTAATTCAAATATTAAAAGCTTACTTTATTCATTCGAGCGTATAATGTCTAATTATTAATTATTTTGGCACATGATTGTCAAAATTTCCATGGTAATTCGGGTGCGATGATTTCAAGAATGACCACCATTTTGCCTAATTGGCTCTTGTTTTAATGATTTTCTAAAAAAGTTTTTTTAATATTAATATTTTTTGACGAACCTCGTATACGACTGCAATAAATTTATATATGATTATTTTATTTAAGGATTAAAGCCATGCAAAGCTTTTTATTAGGATAAACTTTTTTATAAAACCAACAATAAAAAAGTTTTCCTTATGGTTACAACTGTAGATAAATGTACAAAATTTTGTAAATTTAATTTAAATCGGACATTGCAAAAACTGGGGTTAATTGTCCAAAATGATTTATTTTAGAATTAGCGCACCCAAATTACCCTAGAAAAGTTATTGTCCACCATGTTGCAAACAATTTTTTTTATTTTATCGACCAGTCTTATTTAATAAAATTTATACAAAATTCATTAACATTTAAATCTTTTATATTTTAGATAATAATTAAAAAAAGTATAAACCTTGGAAGAACTTTTTTGTTAAAATTACGCTAATAAATTCATACTAATTAAACCTGGGACACCCTGTGTATTTAAGCAAATTTTACTGTTGCTACAAAAATTATAAAAACTATTCCAAGTTTATTTTTAAAAATCATGCATTTGTAAGAGAGTTTATAAACTTTTATACTTTAAAATAACTGGCAAATCGTTGATAAAAGAAGAAAATACAAAACAAACTACTAAATAGGGAACAGTATACCGATTGAAAACTATTATTGGAAAACTTAAACCTATATTTCTAAATTGAATTTCAAAAGTTTGTAAAAGTATTAGACAAAATGACCGACTTTATATTTTCATGTCACGTTTTCAATACCTTAGCGACCTAAATATTTTGAAAAACTCAACCATTGTTATCTTAGGTTCAATAAACCCTTTTCAAAAGCCAAATCCTGTTATCGTATAATAAATTAAATTATATTTTGTAGGCCATACGTGGTGGAAAAAAATTCCTGATAGTAATCTATTGTTTATGGCGATAAACGGAAGATGCAAATTCGGGACTAATACTTACATAAAAAGTCCGGAACCGAAGGAAATTATTTACAATAATAATACATTACCTTGCTACATTGCTACCAAAAATAACTACACTAGAAGAGGTTACATGAAATGCTACAATAAAGATAACCGGGTGAGTAAGATAATTGGGTTATTAAAAAAAATACAATATAGATTTTAGTGTAAACTGAACTCGAATTGTACAAGTGTACAATTGTACAAGGAGACGCATATATTGAATAAATTGTATTTCAATGTATTTTAAGCCGCTGAAAGAATCTGAGGTCGAACTAATATAATATACTTATTCAGGCCCGTTCCTGGGGTGTCTGGCGCCTACGTGCAGCATTCTTTGGTGCGCCCCTTTTATATTTAAATATAATACATTAAATATTTTAATTTTAAGTCCTAAAATTTTAAAAATATATATTTTGCAATAAGCTGGCAAAATGTAATTGAAAATGTAAAAAAAAACTGCTGAAATTAAGTATAAAAAATATGTATTAAATTAACAAACAAACAAACAAAATCATAAAAAATAGTTAGTAATAAAATTACTCTAAAGAAAACAAAAAAAGTTTTTAAAAGAAACTTTATAAACAATATAATATCAACTACAACTGGTTTTTAGTGACGTACTCTCTAAAAATGAATTAGTCAAAAATGACTAGTTTTTAAAGTGAAAGAGCAGTCACTAATAACTGTAGTCCACAGTAATTTGTATCCTGGACATTTAACAGCTTATTATTATGTAAAATTGTCCCCTGAACCAGAAAAAACGTCAAAAATTATGAAAGTAGGGCAGTTTTTAAGATATCGTATATTCCATATAATATGGAAAATTTACCATATCTCAAAAACTGTTCTATGTACTTTTATAAGTTTTGATGACATTTTTGGATTCAGCGGACAATTTGACATAGGAGTTGACTGCTAAATGTCCGGGATACAAATTGCTGTCGACAATAATTACACTATAGAAAGGTGAAAATATCACAACTACACTGAAAAAAATAAGCTGTTGAAACAACAAAAAAAATATTAATTCAACTCTTTATGCACTTTAAATACAAGCAATGGTTTTTGCACGTTTACTTAACCATCTAAAAATGTCAAATTGTATTGTTTAATTGAACAACAAATAACAGTCAAATGAACAAAATAAGAATATTTGTTCTAATCTGCTAATTTGGTTAATTTAACATTCTTAGGGTGTTAAGGTAAATTTCTTGAAATGTCCAGGTAACCTTTTTAGCATATTCACTTAACACCAATAAAATGTTAAATTAACATTCTGAAAATGTAAAATTCTTTAAAGGTTGGTATCCAAAACAAAATTATGGAAATAATATATTATTATATATAAATAGAAAGAATTGAACCTTCACCTCGCCCAGAGTTTTTGTTTTGAGCGTGTTCCACCCATGATACATCTTTGTATCATGTGTTCCACCTACTTCAAATACCGACAGACTGTTTCGCCCTGTATTGAGGGTCTTAACAGTGTCGGGCAATATGGTGTAGTGAAAGTTCTACTGTGGAACACACCTTAAACAAACAGATATCTCATCTTATATACACCTAATCGTAAGGTAACTAAGGCGAGATGTAAGAAAACGTCATTGTCTAATGACGTGGCGTGAGTGTTCGAAGCGCCATTCTCGGCAATTTTATGAATGCAAATTTTACATTTTAAATTTTAAAGTAACATTTTAAATTTGTTAAATGAACAAATTTAAAGTTTTGGATTAAAGAGCAACTAAACGTTAACTTAATAGTTTTTTTAGGTAATCCTAAAAATTTCAGTAGTTGATTCAACAAATTCCAGCTATTAAATCAAAGTACGATAAACATTTTAATTCAAAATATTAGTTTATGTTAAATTAATATTTAAACTGTCAAATGAACAAATAAACTTTGACAAACTCTGACTTTTGCTTTAACACCAAAATATAGATTAATCCAATAGGTTTTTTGTTGAAACAACATTTTTAAAAATGACATTTAGGCAAATGTTAACTCAACTACATTATTTTTTTCGGTGTAAATGCGTAATTTAAATTGTAGCATAAATAATTAAGTTTGTAGTATTTTGTAATTAAATAAATTAATTTTTCAGTTTTCAAATTAATACCTACATATTTATTATGTATACATGTATAATAGGTAGTATGTTTTGTAAGCTATGTGTATGCAGAATAGCTGTTACTCATGATAGTCTTGTCAAATACCATTCGGGCATCTAATTTTTCCTGTGAAAAAAAAACGAAAAAACAGAATGCTAAGTAATATTTTTTAACAAAATGCATTCGTGCAGGTGCCACAAGCAGTCATGCTTCTTGTTAAAATATTACTTAGCAACGGGTTTTTTGATTTTTTTTGGAAAAAATAGATGCCCTTATGATATTACCACAGACCACCAAAACAAATGGACGGCGCATTGCCATTCAATAACAATGCTTTGTTTGCGGTCAACAAACGGTCACAGTCTAAGCGTCAAATTGGAGATAGAATTTTATATTTTCTTCCAGTGACGTCAACAAACGGTCACAGTCTAAGCGTGAAATTGGCGATAAAATTTTATGTTTTCTTCCAGTGACGTATTGGGATTAAAAAAATAATAAGTAGGTAGATACTTACAAACGATATTTCCATGTATTGTTATTTTTAGTAAAAAATAATGTATTTAAACTCCATAATTAACTTAAACACTATAGAAATACACAAACGAAAACACAAAACAACAAGCTGTCAACCTTTTTCTATGCTGTCAAATATGACGAATTTAACAACGTTGTTAATATTTAATTTTACTTTTTTTTATTAAATGATTTACTTTCTTTAAATAGAGAAAAATATCTAAAGAAAATGATGAACAAATCCTTTTTACAATTTTTTTTTATTATTCACGAATTACTGGTAATTATTAATGTTCATTATGTTATGATGAACGTCCAAAATTACACGCCATCATCCATACTTCTGACAACGTTGGAAGCCGTGTTTCTTTCGACGGTGTTTAGAATGTGAAACTATGCTTTACTCGCTTTTTAAACGTAAACAAATCCGTCCATTTGTTTTGGTGGTCTGTGGATATTACTTACGATAATTAAGGAAATTCAAAAAAAATTTTGCTATTTTTTTATTAAGTAAAATGAAATAAAAAGCATAGGAATGTTTGCACAAGAGGTGACATATATTATTATACAAATAATAATATACCAGTATACAGTGTATCCCCGGATCGGATTTCCGACAGGAAAATCTTTTTTAGACCTAATACAGCTAAACCGTGTACGGATTTGGAATTTACGACCAAAAATTATGTTTACGTGTACGAGCGTTTAGCTGTGATATTTCAAGAGTTAAAAATTTAACTACACTGTTATTAGTGGCTGCTTTTTCGCTATGGCAATTGGTCATTTTTGAATAATTCATTTTTAGAGAGTAGGTACCTACCTAGTAAAGTCATGCACTGTGTAGACTACTGTTAAACTTTGCTACCGTCAACTGCAACTATTAAACAAATACTCAAAATATTATGACAATTTCTTTCCTTTTATTTTACTTATATCAATAAAAAAAATTAAGTCGCCAATATTTTAAAGCGGCAAAAGGCGCTTTATAGCGGCCGAAAAAAATAGCGGGAACCTTTATCCTATGTATGTTTAAGTATTTGTTTATTTGAAAAAAAGTTTATCGTTACAAAGTACCGATTGACCCTTTGATTTTGCGCCCCCAAAATGTTGCGCCTGCATGCGTGCACGCACTGCACGCTCGCCAGAAACGGCCCTGTACTTATTCATCGAACGCAACGATAATCTATGATCAAACCATCAAAGTCATCACCACAATTTAGTTTTTTAATTCGATGAATATAGTACGATTGTCACGATTGGTTTTGAACATCATACTAAAAATGGGGTTTTTAAGGTTATGTTGAAAAGCAATTGTAAAAGGTACAGGTTAGACCTCGGTTTCAGCGGCTTAAAATACATTGGTCTCGTTTAAAGTTTTATTTTCTAGTGCCTTTTTAATTTAATTTTTATTGATTCGTGCAATTTTAATACATCAATTAACATTAATGATTTTGGAATAATTATTTTAAAAAGAAAGTTTGTTACCATTAACAAATTACTTCTAGAAATTATAATAAACATTGAATTTACACCTGCGTCCAATTAAAAATAACTTAATTCTGCCACCAGAGCTTTTAATCTAATCTGCAAATAAATTATAATTTATAATTTGATTTTAACATTTCTGTATTACCACCAGGAGTAATTTAATTATTACAATATAAATTCATATAATTTCGCTTTAAAAATTTCATTTGAAAAAGTAATTGTTTTATATGGTTGTTTAAAAAAACAATCAAAACAATCCAAGTTAAGTATTGCCACTTTAATCTAATTTTAATCTTTGGCCTAACATTTTATTTTTAATAAGTAAACATTTAATTTTACTTAAATTTATTATTTAATTTTTATTATTTACACTGTAGGGAACTGAAAAAGACACATGAAAAATCCGGGACACGTAAGCGGTCATATAATTTATTGGTTTATTTTTTCCAGGTTAGCTCGTTTTCTAAAGATATTTCAGCTTTAAGTTTTCCCTTGTGGAAATTTTTCTCTGAGAAAGTTTTAATAAGTAAAAATAAAAACTCTGAATTAGTCAGAATAAGCCTTAGTAAGTCAGACTTATAGCAAGATTTAGTCTTCTAGACCTAAACAGACTATTAGCAGAGAAATGGTAGGTAGGTACCTATAGCGATCAAAATAAATATCGGGAATTATTCAGAGGTTCTATTTGATTATTGTAAAATAAAACACGAAGAAAAGTAATTTCTGTGTTGTTTAAGCCAACCTATAACAAGAAGAGTTTCAAACGATGCGCTCGACTTGCTTTCATTCTTGCCATGCAAATATTTATCTGACAATTGTTCCAAAAACCACGCATCTTCTCGCGTTTTCTAGATAGCTCTAGGTCAGTACGTACCGTGTTGCCGTTTGTCGATCAAAATACTAACTAAAGAAATTTTCAGTGAATTATGTTGTATATTTAATAAATATACAAAATTTTAAACTAATTTAAATTTATTTTTAAAAACAGGGCGAATGTGCTAGTAACTTTAGAATTAAACTAGTTTTTGTTACTCTTTAGGGTAATCTTACCGATCGGATATTTTGTAATTTTTGGTCGGGAACTTTCATGACATTCATCCGGCAACACTGTACGTAACATAAAACACAAAAACCCAAGTCGAAGTTCGAACATATTTGATATATGTTATAAACAAATGATGACTACGCGTTGCAAAAAATATAATTTTTATAGTTATTACACTTTATGTAATCAACAAGTGATATCTGTATCTATATCTGGATATTTATTTTAATCGCTGTAGGTACCTACTAGGGCTGTACAATTTAGCCGGTTAGGCCGGCTAAACAAGTTAGTTACGTTAATTAGCTAGATAACTGATCAGCTTAGCTAATTTAACCGGTTAACTGAATTAGCTTAGCTAATTAGCTGGCGGCTTAACCGGTTAATCTAGCTTCGCTCAGCTAATTAGCTAACGGCTAACCGGCTAATTAGCTGAGCTAAGCTAGATTAACCGGTCGAGTCGCCAGCTAATTAGCTAAGCTAATTTAGTTAACCGGTTAAAATAGCTAAGCTGATCAGTTAGCTAGCTAATTAAATTAGCTAACTTTTTTAGCCTGCTGAACCGGCTAAATTGTACAGCCCTAGTACCTACCAGTCTTATTAACTCTTCCAGAAGACTCATTTAGAGTTTTTAGGAGAAAGTAAGACTTTCAAAACTCTTATTTTTGTTTATTAAAACTTTTCCATAGAAAATTTATTTTAAGCGTGGGTACTTTTTGGGTTGATTTATTTGCTATATTTTTTTATTTTTAAAAGAAAAGACACCAACATTTTTTTCAATTATCTAATTTTTATTATTAATTCTCAACTAACAATTATCCTGTTCATTTTCAGGGGGATACAGTTCGTTGTTTATAATTTTTTGTCTGTTTTTTGCATAATTTTTGATTTTTTTTGCCTGAAATCAGCCATGAATTTTCGAGTTTATTAATTTAAAATAGTAATTTTACTATTATTCTATTTTATTATTATTACTTTTAAATAATAATAATAACCTTTTTATTAAGAAAACATCTTCACTGCGGAATTTGATTTGAAAAAATAATTAAATTAAACATTTTTAATTGTTCTGTGGCGATTGACCAATAGAAATCGGCAAGCATTGAGTCGAATATCTTGCCAGAAAACTGTTTTTAAAAAATCATGATAGGTTGAAGAATTCTTTCACTGGATTCAGATGATTCTGTTGACAGTTGTTTGTCGTTGAATTTAAAATGGGCGTGCAAAATATGTGTTTTTAAAGACATATGCGAATGTTAATGAAAACGCGTAGCAATTGTAACGGTCATGTTTACCTGGATTAGTTCAACCCATTAAGAAGTATTTTTTTTAATAAAAAAAATTACCGTCTATTTTAATTTAATCCGATAATGATTATCTTGTAGCACGTAAAAAATACATTCTTTTACCCTTCAATTTGTGTTATTTGTTGGGCGAATTTCCTTTTCGAAACATTTATAACGGATGGGTGGGTTATTTTCAAGGAATAAAATTTGATGACCGTCCCAAAGCAAATTTTTCCCAAATTTCGATTTTCGGTTAACGTACGAAATTGAACGGAAAAATAATTTTGACTTTTTACGGGTATCGGTTTTCGAATCACCGAGATTCGAATTAAAAAAAAAAAGTTGTTAAGAATTCAAAAGCGAGTCGATACATAGATTTGAAGGTAAATCTATCGTTGCTTCTTTAATATGTAGGATTTTATTAAATAATTGTATACAAAATTTAATCTTTGGCCAAACATTTGGCTTTGTCCAAAATGCCAAATGTTTAGCCAAAGCCTACTTCCTACCAGGAATTTACAGGCAGTCTGTTAAATTTTCGGCTTCGGATCAACCTTTGGAATTGATTAAAATATAAATATCTGAGAATAGGCGCACCCCTGTAACTTTTTATTTATAAAGATGGACAACTGAAATTTAGCATGGTTAATATAAATGCCACTTATAAGAGTACAAAATGAATTTTTTGAACTTCCGGTTTTTAAATGGAATGCCCTATATATTTTTACATATTTGGAATCCTGAGAAAATTCTGAGTCAGACAGCATCCTCAAATTGACCTTTTGACGTTTCGTCATCAAAAAGTGTATCATCATAAAGATCAATCTAGAGTGCTTTGAACTATCTTATTTTCTTCTAATGGATTCACACAATGCCGGAAAAATGGAACTTGCCTTAGAAAGTTGTATTCAGCTATTCCCAGCAGTCTAAACTTGTCAAAATTCGTATTTTGTATTCTAATAAGTGGCATTTTATATCCTAATTAACCATGCTAAATTTCATGTGACTATCTATAAATAAAAAAGTTACAGGGGTGCGCCTATTCTCAGATACACCCGGTATATTGAGTTCCAAAAAAATCAAGAAAATGAAAAAAGTTTAATTCAATAGACTTAAATTAAAAAACAATGTATTTGCCTGAAAATTAACGGTATGGTAAAAGGTGATGAATTAAAAATAAAGACATTTTAAAAGAGGTTTTTGTGTTTTTTTTTTAATAAATAAGCAAAATATAGCAAACAAGTACCCAAACTTAAATCTAAAATATTTTGAGTTAACGAGCTAACCTAGAAAAATGGAATACATCACTTACCTTTACGACCAAAAGTAGTTAAACGTGTTGAACACCTACAGTGTTAAAAGAGTTCCCAAAAAGCACGTCCTTTGAATTTATGTTTTTTTTTATTTGTTAAACCTATTAATTAATAAAAAAAAAAATTAAAATTCTAGAATTGGAATTTTAGTGTTGGCTTTCGAAAAAATATGATATGTTTGAAATAATCAAAAAGCATGTAGACATATTTTTTTAAACATTAATTTGCAGATAAACGGCTTTTACACTCTTTTACTTTTTTAGGAAAACAATCTAAACTTAAACAAATATTACTGTGGACACACTTGGAAACCTGATGAAATAGTTTGTTAGAGCTTAAAATTTATCCTATTTTATTAAACAAAATATTTTTATCTCTGTTAGGTATATTTTGTGCTTTATAAAAAAAATAAAGGTAAGCTGTTAATTTGTGTTTTATTTTTTTACAATTTTCTATGAACAAATAAAATTGTAAATGCTTTTGATTTTTAATAATCCACAAGAATTTCACCCTTAAAAATACGTTAAAAAGTAACTTATTTTTAATATTTTTTTCGTCACCCTATTTTTAATATTTTGAATCAACGAAAAAAGTAATAAAAAATACATAATACCTATATATTGCTTAGGGTTACTTTTTTAAACAAAACTTTTTAATGGAGAGCTTTCCTTTTAAGAAAACACGTTTGTAATTTTTGTTTGTAAATTTATTTCAAGTTTATTAAACCAATCAAAACTTTGCATAGCAACCACCCTGGTAACGTTGTCTTATCGGGTAGGAACTTTCCCTAACTCGATAAGACCGCATGGTCATGCATTTTTTTATTTAGTAAATTATCTTGATATCTCTTTCATTCACTGGAAGCTCGACTATTCCATTAAAATTTCTATACTTAATACTATTTTCACTTATGATTAGAGATAGGACCACTCAAGCTTTAGCTCTCATATCAGGTCATAAACTTTCTGAAAATTGGCCTCTTCCATCGGTATCTTACTGTTGACAACACAACACAACACAAAGGCCACGTCGTTTGACGGTGTGGATCACCTAATGTTCTTACATCTCGCCTCTGTTGGCTTATCAACCGAGCATATAAGCTCAGGAAGTCCTTTATTTTGAGTGTGACACTCAGTGTGTTCCATTACACCAAGTTGCCCGACACTGATGAGACCCAATATAATTTAATAAAACATGGCAAAAACTGTGCTAGTTTGAAAAAACGCCAATGAAGTTGAGTATGAAGCATCTTTATATTTTGATATACAAAACAAATCATATATGAACACAAATAACTATAGTTATTTGTGTTTCCGTAAAAAAACAATACAAATTATTTAAATACATGTGTAAAACTTTACATTTTATTAAAGTTATATATTGACTTCCAAGTTTACTTTTTTTTGGATTGTCTGTTACATCCATATTTAAGCAAGATTACACTTGCTATAATGCTCTAAATTCTGTACCAGGAGGAACTTCTATTGCTGATGAATTCCTGCTAACGTGTTTGTTTTTTTATTAAATCTGTGGTTGGTCATATTTATTTTATCTGACCGGCTAATCGCATATTTAAGCCACGTCCTTCGGACAGTAGATAGAGCTAATTACCTTTCGTTTTACCGCTGTCTATCTCACCGCCTTAAGGCTGCCTAGCACGGTCAAAACGACTGAAGTAGGCTGTCTGTTCGTAGAGGCACACTTGAAACAAAAGCGGGGTGACAAGGTTAAAAGTTCTTAGATAAAGTTAGATATCTAGAGAAACCACGTCAAATGTGTCAAAAAAATTTTATTGATTTTTTTTGGAAAGGAACAATAATTGTTAAAAGTTAAAATCTGTACATAATATCAAAACATTTTTTTAAAATTATGCACCATTTTTATTATTTTTAGAATTTTAAAAGAAAGTAATAACTCACGCTATAATTAGATGAAAATAATATTTGCAAAAAAATTTGGATTTTAATAACAATATTTAAACAATTTTAATTATTACTATCTTCTAGACTTAAAACTACAATAATTTTTGTAACCTGTACTCTGTCTTTTTATTTTCGTATTTCCAAAACAAACAAATTGTCATAACCAAGGACCAGATTTTAGGCAAAATGCCTTTTTGTTTCTAGTTTAGGCATTTGTTTTGGACCTTGAAATTATTCCTAAACTTAAAAAAATTAACCGTTTGACACCCCTTTGCTTTTTCCTAAAAGCCTAAAATGGCGAAATTTTGATTTATTGTCCTAAAAGGACATTTTTATGAGCCTAAAATAGGTTCTTTTAATTTTTAAGTAAAAAATATATTTTTCATTGCGGAAAAGTAAATTATTCTTAATTGGACCCTGCTTTTATGCTCTTATTTCGCCTAGACGCCCTTGGCGAGTACGACGACCAAAATTACAAAACTAGTGAAAACCTAATAAAAAAAGAAATTGTGTTTTTGCTATCTAAATATTTATTATAAATAATTATGGATAATATTAAGCTTGTAAAATAATGGTTGAAAATTATTATTTACTTTGCTTTCATAGGTTTTACTGTAATTTCCATATACAGGGTGTCTATTTTAAAACGAGCAATGCTCTATAAGTCTGGACCTATAATAGAAACGGTTTTAAGAAATTTTTGATATCTATATCAAAAATTTCTCAAAACCGTTTCTAGGATACATAGGGGGAACAAGTATGAGCACAAAAATAACCTTCACTAAGCAACCCCTGGAGCTGTACCACCCCAACTCAATTTTTTTCAATGGCAACATACCCTTTGTGATACCTCATTGGAAAGCTCTTGAAAAATGCTATTAAACAGTACTAAACTTTTTACCTTTTTATTTAATTTATGAGAAATACGCGATATAATTTTTATAATTATTTATTTCAATTTCTCATTATAAAAAAAGTTAAATAAACAAAAAAACATAAATAAACACATTGTTCAACAATAATCAAAACACTTTTAAAATAGACACCCTGTATGTATTACATATATGGTAATTTCAGACTTTTTAACAGTTTTTAATAATATAATTTGTCGCCATCTATGGCATAATTAAATAACTCTCCACAATTTACAGGTGTTAAATAGTTTGTCTATAAAGACAATGGCAAAAGCCAACTTTGACAACCGTTGGAATCAACGTATCGTGCTTTTGTTTATATTTGTTTATATTTTTGTTCAGCGTCGCCTGTTTATTCCATATGCATACATGTATATGTATATATTAGGGTGTTGTTATTTTTTTTTCCTAATGGTGTTGAAAAATTAATAGTACATTAAAAAACAAAAATTTTGTCGCCTATTTGAGCCCTTAATATTAATATTAAGGTTTGCCTCAATTCATTTCTTGTTTTTCCATTTTAATAACACGGGAATGTAAAATCAATTTAATTCTGTTAACCTGAGACTGTAATTTTTTTTTTTTATTTATGATGTATGTATAATATACATTGTATATATATATATATACATATGCGTTATCCTTTTCTTTATTCATACGGGTAATTGTTTGCAAGAGTTTGTGTTATTATTTTTATTATGTATTTTTTGTTTTATTTTTAGAACCTGAATAAATGTTATGTTTGTTTTTATTTTCTATCGCCTATTTTAGGCGGTGGAGGTCTAACTTTCGGCCTAAAACGGCCTACAATGTAGGTTTTTTTTGCCTATTTATGTGTCCTAATTTCCAATTTTTAAGGGCCTTAAATCCGGTCTTTGGTCATAACTATTTACTCTGTCAGAATCGAATTTTTTGTCGCCGTGACCACGAAACCGCTGCGGAATTATTCTAACACTAGCTGTATAAAGTTTAAGTACAAAAAAATAATATTGACATAAAAAAATTATATAACTTATCTACACGGTGTTCGATTCAAGAGCAAAGTACCTTTATTTTTATTTATTTTTTTTAACATTCTTGTACAAAAAAGTTATTTTTAATAAAACAAAGTCTAAAAAATTATAATAAAAATTATAAAGTTAATTTTTCTTTGTTTTTTTAGGATCATGTTTATACCTGATAAAATGTTTTGATCGATAATTACGTAAAGGTTAACCTTTACGAAGTAAAATTTGGGATTTTAACTACAAGGTGTTTATAATGTCTTGAATAGATTTTTTTGTTTTTATGTTTTTCTAATCTAAAAACACCCTATATAGGGTGATCCAAAAATGTGCAAAAAATGCAAACAAAAATGTTCCAAGAATTAAAAGAATGTAAATTTAAAAAGAAACTTTTTACGACGGAATCCATAAATATCAATTAAAGCCAAAAATTTATTTGTCACTATAAATTCTAAAGAATTTGTCCAAATTTTTACAGATAATCAAAATTTAAAAGTTTAATTTGACTTTAGAAAATGTTGATGTTTCATATTAGATACTTTAAAGCCACTTTAAGTTAAATGGCCGATTTGGACACATTATTCAACTTAAAGTGCTACTCAACCTCAATCACTGACCCACCAAGTCGTTAATTCTTCAAAATTTTTGTCGGTTTTTAATAGGCATATTATCTTTAAGTTTAAGTTCATCTGATAAGGAAAATCCAGAAATATTTTTAAAAAGAAAACTATAAAAAAGAGAAAACAGATTTGATGATTATGGTGATGTTAAGTTTTTTGACAGATTTCGTCAAACAAAATACACCGCTCTATTCCTTTTCAATTAATCATACATATATGTCATAATATGATATGATATGATATTATATATGATAATATTTTTAAAAAAAGTTACGGTTACGGTACGGCTTATTGACATGTATACCTATATGAAAATAATTTCCAGAAATATGAAACAAATATCGGAAATTTTCTTCAACACCAAAACAAACCTCAGTACTTTTCGCCAACGATGTTGGCTTCGGTTCTGAAGATACGAGCATCGTTGGCAAAAAGTACTTTAAGCAATTGGTGTTTTGTATTGGTGTTGGGAAATATTTCTAATACCAATACTTTTTTTGTTTTCCAATTTTATATAAAATGGGTATGATTATGAAACAACTTAACTTTAGCTCTCTTTAAAGTGGACTTAAAGTTAAACTTTATCTTTAGGTAAATCACTTCAATCAACTTCTACAGTTTTCTTCTACTACTCCCCTGGACATCAAGAAATTTTTTATTTAGATATTTATCGGGTAACACTGGGATTCAAAAAATGCGAATGACTACCGAAAAAAGATTTTTGTATACATATACATAATTCACATGCTTGTAACGGGTGATTCATTTAGACCTTTATTTCTAAATTCTAAATAAAATGCATAAAATGGAATTGGATGGCGAAATCTTTATTATGACCTGAAAGAACAATCTTTGACATTTATTTTTTGAAAATAATTTCATTTAACTGTGGCCGGGACTACGGCGTACGTGGTCCATTCGGAAGGTCCAATTTTCGATCACTCTTTCTAGCATTGCGA